AGGGCAGGATAGGAGAGTTAAGGAAGTGGGTGTGCCTATAAAAGGGCAACATGAGGGATCCTTGTGGTGATGGGCATATTCTCTGTCATTACTGTATTAATGTCACTATTCTGCTTGTGACATTATACTATTATTTTACAAAATGTTACCATTCAGAGAAACTGGATAAAGGATGCCAGAAGACCCCTCTGTTTATTTCTTACAATTGCATGTGAATCGATAATCATCTTCAAAATGAGAAGTTTAATTAATAAAGCAGCCAGAAAGAAAAGACACACTACCTCCAAAAGAATAACATTTGTGGGGTGCCTGGGTGGCTCAGTCAGTTAAGCATCTGCCTTTGGCTCAGGTCATGATCCTAGGGTCCTGGGATCGAACCCCATGTTGGGTTCCCTACTCAGTGGGGAGTCTGTTTCTCCCCCTCCCTCTGCTGCTACCCCTGCTAATGCTCTGTCAAATAAATAAGTGAAATCTTAAAAAAAAAAATGACATTTGGAATGACAATAGATTTCTCCACAGCAATAGTAAGTCAAAGATAGAATAACAGAGTGCTGAGAAAAAAAAAATTACTGTCACCTTAGAACTGAGTATATTAAAAAAATCAACTTTATTTTTTTTTTAAGTTTTTTAAAATTTTATTTATTTACTCATGAGAGACACAGAGAGAGAGGCAGAGATACAGGCAGAGGGAGAAGCAGGCTCCATGCAGGAGCCTGATGTGGGACTTGATCCTGGGTCCCCAGGATCAGGCCCTGGACTGAAGGCGGCGCTAAACCTCTGAGCCACCTGGACTGCCCCTAAAAAAATCAACTTTAAAGAACATGGGGGAATTAACATTTTTGTTAAGGAAAAAACAACAGGTTTAGCCACCAACAGACTGTCACTCAAGGGATATTAAAGGACATGCTTCAGAAAGCAGGAAAATTATGCTAGCTGGAGGGCCTGAGAAGCAAGAAGACTGGTGAGTAAAGAAATTGATTTAACACAGGGGAACATCTAAATAATTATCTGTATAAAAACAGTAATAGGGTCTCATTTGCAAGGTTAATAATCACATGCTAAGACTAAAATACTTGAGGATTGTAGCAAAAAGTTGGAAGAGGGGTGATTCCCACAATAGTTAAAAAAAAAAAAAAGATTCCCAAGATCTTCAATTAGAGAGAAAGGTGAAGATATTAACATTACACTTGAAATGCAGATGGTAAAATTCAAAGGAAATTCCTCTAATCAAAAAAGTTGGGGGAGTTATGGAATTTTTTTAACTGTTTTAAATTAGAAAAAAGAGTGGAGAGGGGTGCCTGGGTTGAGCTCACTCGGTTGAGCAGCCAACTGGATTTTGGCTCAGGTGGTGATCTCAGAGTCTTGGGATTGAGCCCTGCATCAGGCTTCATGTTCAGAGGGGAGTCTGCTTCTCCTCCTCCCTCTGCTCCCGCCCCACCCCCCGCCACTCTCTCTCTCTCTCAAAATAAAGAAAACTAAATCTTCAAAAAAATTTTTTTCACAAAGGACGTACAAAGTTCAGACAATGTCATAGGCAAGCTCTACTCAATTTTCAAGGAATGGATAATTTAAATCTTTTTCTTCTCTTTCAGTAGAAAAAAAGGGAGAGAAAACACTTGCTAAATTATTCTATAACTTGGACATCAAAACCAAAGAGGAGCCAACAAGCACTTGAAAAAATGCTCATCACTTGCCATCAGGGAAATACAAATCAAAACCAGAATGAGATACCACTTTACACTGGTGAGAATGGTTAAAATTAAGAAGTCAGGAAACAACTAATGTTGCTGAGGATGTAAAGAAAGGGGAACCCTCCTGCACTGTTGGTGGGAATGCAAGCTGGTGCAGCCACTCTGGAAAACAGTATGGAGTTTCCCTCAAGAAGTTAAAAATAGAGCTACCCTATGTCCCAGCAGTTGCACTACTGGGTATTTACCCCAAAGATACAGATGTAGTGAAACGATGGGACACCTGCACCCTAATGTTCATAGCAACAATATCCACAATAGCCAAACTATGGAAGGAAACATGATGTCCTTCGACAGAGGGATAAAGAAGATGTGGTGTATATATAGATATAATGGAATATTAGCCATCAGAAAGGATGAATACCTACCATTTACATCAACATGTAAAGAACTGGAGGGTATTACCCTGAATGAATTAAGTCAATTGGAGAAAGACAATTATCATATGGTCTCACTCATATTTGGAATATAAGAAATAGTGAAGGGACCCTAAGGGAAGGGAAAAAACTGAGTGGGGAAAAATTAGAGAGGAAGACAAACATGAGAGACTCCTAACTCTGGGAAACAAAAACAGGGTTGCAGAAGGGAAGGAGGGAGAGAGGATGGTAACTGGGTGAAGGAGGACACATGATGAGATGAGCACAGGGTGTTATACTATATGTTGGCATATTGAATTTAAATAAATTTTTTTAAAAATAGAATTCAGTAAGAATTCAAAGAGCAACACAAAAAAAGGAAAATTATAGGCCAACTTCATCACTGGACTTAGAACTTGTAGCCAGCAAGCACAAAAACACCACCACTACAAATAAGTATATATATAAATATGTTTTAAAATAATTTTAAAATAGGAATGGGGAAAGAAAAGAACAATGTATTTGCAGATAACATTATTGTCCATGTAAAAGAACCCAAAAAACCTAGCCAAATTCTAAATATAAGACTTTAGTAAAATGGCTGGATATAAAAGGAGTAATCAAAAACATAACTTGTCTTCACTTCAGGAGCACATATACTGGAATTGGACCTAGATATTAGCACAGACGCTGAACAAGAATGATGTGAAAATTAGCGTTCCATACTTTCATTTTTGTAATGTTTCCGTAAATCTTTTTTTTTTTTTAAAGATTTTATTTGAGAGAGAAAGAGAGTGCACAAGCAGGGGGAGGGGCAGAGGCAAAGGAGAAGCAGACTCCCCACTGAATAGGGAGCCTGACACAGGGGTTGACCCCAGGACTCTGGAGTCATGACCCAAGCTGAAGGCAGATGCTTAACGGACTGAGCTACCCAGGTGTCCCTCTGTAAACCTTAAATTATCTCAAAATAAAGTGAAAGAAAGGTTAACCTCGTAAGTCAGGAAACAAAATCATGTTTAAAAGATACTATTTATAATAGAACAAAATAGAACCTTATTCATAAAAGGTACAGAAACTAGGAGTAAATCTAGCAAAAGAAGTATAAAAACTTTGTAAGGAAAATTCTAAAAGGTTCAAGAACCGGAGGGCTATGCTATTTTTGAGTACAATATTATAACGTTTTTTCCATGAAAATTTCTATTGTTTGAATGCAAATGCAATTAAAATCCCCAAACAATTTTTTGGGAAACCAGGGAAGTTGATTCCAAAATTGCACAAAACAAAGGGTACAGGCATTACTAATAAAACGGCTGTGGGGGACTTGCTTAAATACTTTCTATAGTCATAGAAATGTAGACATTTGGTACTGGGAGTGGGATAAACAGTAAACCAATGGAATAGAGAACTTACGAAACAAAACCCACACATATATGGAAACATGACAGAAGTAGAAGGGTAGATCAACAGGGAATAGATGAGCCATTCACTAATGGGTTTGGACAATTGGTTGTATCCATATATATTTTTTAAGTGGCTTTTTCATTATAACACCATATACATACACACATACAATGTAGATTAAAGATTTAAATGTAAAAAACAAAGCTTCACTTACAACTTTTAGAATATAGGAGAATATCTTTATTAAGGATTTCTTAAAATACAAAAAGCACAAACACATGAAGGATAATAAATCTGACATTCAATTTCTGCCTAAAATATATAACCTAATTCTAATCAAACATTTAGAAGTAACTTCCAGTTTATGGGAAATAGAGAAGAACTAGGAGATACCATGAAGTTACCATCAAATAATTTCCAGAATCTGAAACATTCTATGACATATTCTGGCTTGAATTCTTCAAAAAGTCAATGCCATTAAAAAAAAAAAAAAAAAAAGAGGTGGGATGGATGGGTAAGAAATTCTTCTGGATTAATAAAATGATAAAAGAGCATGCAATTCATGAGCCTTGAGTTTGTGGGTTTAAAAACAAATCAACACCTAAAAATGACATTCTTGGGACAATCAGGGAAATTCAAATAGACTATATGAGATTATTGTTACTTTTTTCTAAGTAATCTCTACACCCAACGTGGGGCTGCAACTTATGGTCCTGAGATCGAGTCACATGCTCTACCGACTGAGCCAGCCAGGTGCCCTTACTGCTAATTTTCTGAAGTATAATAGTAATATTGTGGTTATATACGACACTTGCTTTTAAAGAAATGCATGGTGAAATACAGAAAAGTGAAAGGTCATGATGCTTTCAATTTACTTACAAATTGTTCAACAACAAAGTGTTACGGACTGTTAAATCTGTATGTAAGGTATATGGATGTTGTTTTCATGTTTCTATATATGTAGGACATTTTTCACATTACAAAACTGAGGGAAAATTTATAACTTGTGCTCTTCCAAGGGCATCAGTAAAAAAGGTGAAAAAATAAGCCACAAACTGATAGAAAGTGTTTACAACATCTAACAGTAAAAATGGATTAGTGCCCTCAATTCAAAAGAAAAACTCTTTAAAGAATTCTGTAAGAAAAAGTAACTTCACATAAAATGGGCAAAAGACATGTAAAACTTCTCACTGAGAACAATCAAGAATGACTATAATATATACGAAGATACTCAACCTTGTTAGCATTTAGGAAATGCAAATTTAAATAGTGAGATTTCCACTCTGGCCACAAAGAAGTGAGGGAGCAGAATTTACCTTCTCCATCTTAAACAACTAAAAACCTGTACAAAATATATACTACAAAGTGTTTCAGACGCTGGACAACAGCCAGTGCAGAACAGTGACTCTTGAGAGAAGGGAAACAAACAAGGAAGCGACAATTGCCTGAGCTTATCGTGTGGTTTCCACACTGTCGCACTCTGACAGGGATGTGAATCTGAAGAGCCTGGGAGTCTGGGGGTGGGGGTGGGGGGAGTCCAGATAAAGTTTGTAGGGCAGAGTACTGTAAAGAGGAGGGAACTACAGAGGGAGAGCTCTGGATCTACAGAGGGTTTGTCTGAGTCTTCAGCTGAATACTCATCAGTGTATACACATGAGGAAACCACCCAAAAGTGGGAAAAAAACACCAGAAAAGAACAAGCAGCACAGCCTAGGAGTTCAGATAGGGCTCAAAATAATTCTTGTTCCCAACAGCCAAAGAGGAGAAATCTCAGATGAGATTAAGCATAGGGGAGATTATTCAGAAGGGTATTAACCTCAGTGGTGAGCCAAATTAGCCCTACAAGCTCTTCTGGTCTGACCTCATTCAACTTAAAAGTAAGCTATGAAAGAATCAGACTGTATCCAAGTAACTTAATTATGTTCTAGAAAAAAACTCAACATATTTAAAGGAATACAAAAACTCTAGTACACGACAATGTAAAATCCAAAAATTACCAGGCCTGCAAAGTAAATTACAACTCAGTAACAGGAGGGGGAAAAAAACATCAAACAATAGAAACAGACCAGAAATGACACAGATGACAGAATGGTCAAGTACAATAGAACAGCTATGATTAATGACTCCAAGGTGTTTTAAAAAAAAAAAAAAATGGAGGAAAACATGAGCCTGTTAAAAGGAAAGGCACGGGAGACATAAAAAAGACTCAAATGGAACTTCTAAAATTAAAAAAATTACATCGAAGGTAAAAAATACACTGGATGGGATTAACATAAATTAGATACTTCAGGAGAAAAGATTAATGAACTTGAGGACACAGCAATGAAAACTATTCAACACAGAACAGAGAAAAAGATTTCACCCAAAAGGAGCATTGGTGCAATGTGTGACAATTTCAAATGGCCCAATATACAAGTCACTGGAGTCTTAGGAGAGGGTAAGAGGAGGGGTGGGACAGAAAAAAGTAATACCCACAGCTTTTCCAAATTTGGTGAAAACCATAAACCCACAGGTAAACAGCCCCAGCAAAAGAAACATGAAAACAAACTACAGCAAGTACATCATAATCAAATTGCCTAACAGCAGTGATAAAGAGAAAACCTTAAAAGCAGCCAGAGAAAAAGAACAAGCTACATACAGAAGTATAAATATAAAAATAATAGTAGTCTTCTTGCTGGAAACCACAAGAAGGTACCACACTAAGCATCCACTAAATTGGCAAAAATTAAAAGTCTAAAACTAAGAAGTGGTAGAGATGATGTGAAACAAAAGTAACTCACATAGCGCTGGTCGGGGTATAAACTGGTTTGGCCACTGCAGAATATAATTTGGCATTACCTTGTAAAGATGAAGATATCCATACCATGTGAGCAAGCAAGATCACTCCTAGATACAGAATGTTCATAGCAGCACTGTTTGTAATAACAAAACCAAAAACAAACCAACAATCCCAATGTCCATGAACAGAAGAATGGATATATTGTGGTCTATTCATACAATACTACAAAGCAATAAAAATGAATGACTCTAAAAATACTAAGTCAAAAAAAAGAAAGTCACAGAAGTAAACATACATTATGTCATTTATATAAAATTCAAAAACATACAAAATTTAACATTTTATTTAGGAATACATACATATGTTGTAAAACTATAACAAGCAAAAGAAGGACAAATACAAAATTCAGCATAATCATCACTTGAGGAAAGAGCACATAGAGAGTCTCTAAAATGCAGGGGATACTCTATTTCTACAGCAGGCTCATGGGTACACAAATATTTACTATTCTTTATGCCATATATATACATGTCTGTGAATTTCTGTAGGTATGAAATACTTAATTTAAAAAAGAGTGGAAAATGTGAAAGACTTTAAAAATGAACACTACTGTTTATGTATAACAATAAAATTTAGTGTAAAAAAAGTATACAAAGAAAATGTTCAGGTTTTTATTGTCTTTCTGTGCCCTATACCATCAGTGTCAATCAAAAAGGGCCATGACCCTAGTGGGGGAAAAAAAATAACAGAGTCTTTAACTGCTTTGACACAAAATCTGAATATCTGGTGCTGTAAGTTAGACAATAATAATTACATTAGCCACTCATGTCTGATTCTTCATCTTTCATCTGTACTTAGATTTTTCTTTATCTTTGGATTTCTTGGGACTCCTGCTTCGGTCTCTCTTTTTACTCCGTTCTCTTTCGTAGGGGTCAGTTTGGTATTTGGATTTATGACTGTTACTGTAGTGGCCGTCCCTTTCTCGAGATCGGCTACGACTTCGGTTTTGAGGTCGGTCTCTCTTTTCACTCTTTTGTTTCTCCCAGCAGCTCTCTTCTTCCTCATAGTGACCAAACCCCATTTCTCTGTAGATATCCTGTCAAAGGAATGGATAGAGATTTACAAGTGACTCCATAAAATAATCATTTTGTAGGTACTATCAGTTAAAAACACTTAGAAAGTCTACTATTAGCAAGCAGCTATAAAAGCTCAAATTTGAACACCACCACGAATACCAAGAATCTGGTAAATTAGAAAGCAAAAATATTCAAAAACAGACTTAAATCATTTTTCTTATCAGTCTCATTGCTTTGTTTCTACCACTTCAGCTGAACTGAAAGATCAGATTCAAACACAAAGAACTGAAATCGCCCAACTGAAATTAGAACAAGCCTTTAGGACAGAGGGCCAGAATATGTATTTGAACAAATCCTAGCTGAAAACTTTCCCAATCTGGGAAGGGAAACAGGCATTCAGATCCAGGAAATAGAGAGATCCCCCCCTAAAATCAATAAAAACCGTTCAACACCTCGACATCTAATAGTGAAGCTTGCAAATTCCAAAGATAAAGAGAAGATCCTTAAAGCAACAAGAGACAAGAAGTCCCTGACTTTCATGGGGAGGAATATTAGGGTAACAGCAGACCTCTCCACAGAGACCTGGCAGGCCAGAAAGGGCTGGCAGGATATATTCAGGGTCCTAAATGAGAAGAACATGCAACCAAGAATACTTTATCCAGCAAGGCTCTCATTCAAAATGGAAGGAGAGATAAAGAGCTTCCAAGACAGGCAGGAACTGAAAGAATATGTGACCTCCAAACCAGCTCTGCAAGAAATTTTAAGGGGGACTCTTAAAATTCCCCTTTAAGAAGAAGTTCAGTGGAACAATCCACAAAAACAAGGACTAAATAGATATCATGATGACACTAAACTCATATCTGTCAATAGTAACTCTGAACGTGAACGGGCTTAATGACCCCATCAAAAGGCGCAGGGTTTCAGACTGGATAAAGGAGCAGGACCCGTCTATTTGCTGTCTACAAGAGACTCATTTTAGACAGAAGGACACCTACAACCTGAAAATAAAAGGTTGGAGAACCATTTACCATTCAAATGGTTCTCAAAATATACCCTAAAAACTACAGAACACTTCTGAAAGAAATTGAGGAAGACACAAAGAGATGGAAAAATATTCCATGCTCATGGATTGGCAGAATTAATATTGTGAAAATGTCAATGTTACCCAGGGCAATTTACACGTATAATGCAATCCCTATCAAAATACCATGGACTTTCTTCAGAGACTTAGAACAAATTATTTTAAGATCTGTGTGGAATCAGAAAAGACCCCAAACAGCCAGGGGAATTTTAAAAAAGAAAACCATATCTGGGGGCATCACAATGCCAGATTTCAGGTTGTACTACAAAGCTGTGTTCATCAAGACAGTGTGGTACTGGCACAAAAACAGACATATAGATCAATGGAACAGAACAGAGAACCCAGAAGTGGACCCTGAACTTTATGGTCAACTAATATACGATAAAGGAGGAAAGACGATCCACTGGAAGAAAGACACTCTCTTCAATAAATGGTGCTGGGAAAATTGGACATCCACATGCAGAAGAATGAAACTGGACCACTCTCTTGCACCATACACAAAGATAAACTCAAAATAGATGAAAGATCTAAATGTGAGACAAGATTCCATCAAAATCCCAGAGGAGAACTCAGGCAACACCCTTTTTGAACTTGGCCACAGTAACCGGAGAAGGACAAACAGTGTATGTTCTCATTCATTTGGGGAATATGAATAATAGTGAAAGGGAATATAAGGGAAGGGAGAAGAAATGTGTGAGAAATATCAGAAAGGGAGACAGAACATAAAGACTTCTAACTCTGGGAAATGAACTAGGGGTGGTGGAGGGGGAGGAGGGCGGGGGGTGGGGGTGAATGGGTGACGGGCACTGAGGGGTACACTTGACGGGATGAGCACTGGGTGTTATTCTGTATGTTGGTAAATTGAACACCAATAAACATTAATTTATGAAATTAAAAAAAAATAAATAAATAGAATCTTAAAAATAAAAATAAAAAAAAAAAAAGAACAAGCCTTTAGAGAAAATCATACCAAGAATTCTGATTATGGTTGGTCACCTTTTTATCTCCCCCTTCTCCATTCTCCAATTATCTGCAATGGGATTACAAAATTCCCATAAAAACCCTAATAAAGAAGACATTTAAATAACAAAGCCAGAAGAGGTTTTAGACAAATCAGTCTAAAAAGAAAAGATACTGCATACTTTGGTCTGAGTATTTTTCAAGTGTTTATTTTATAAGCTCCTCTCCAAATCCTCAAATTTTCCTTGTTTATATTAGGTTGTTTTTTTTATTAAAATCATTTCTTGGGGTGCATGAGTGGCTCAGTTAGTTAAGCATCTGACTGTTGGTTTTGATTCAGGTCATGATCTCATGGATCATGGGATGGAGACCCATGTCAGGCTCTGCACTCAAAGGGGAGGCTGCTTGAGATTCTCTCCCTCTGCCCCTCCCCCTGCATGTTTGCATGCACTCGTTCTCTAATAAGTAAATATTTTTTTAAAAGATTTTATTTATTCATAAAAGAAACACAGAGACAGAGGCAGAGAGAGAAGCAGGCTCCATGCAGGGAGCCCATTGTGGGACTCGATCCAGGGACTCCAGGATCACACCCTGGGCTGAAGGCAGGCACTCAGTGGCTGAGCCACCCAAGCATCCCAGTAAATAAATCTTTTAAAAAATAATAAATAAAATGATTTATTTACATATTTTTAAAATGAGTTAACAATGAGAAAGGGACTCCTGGGGGGCTCAGTCAGTTAAGCAACTGCCTTCAGCTCAAGTCATGACCCCAGGATCCTGGGATCTAGCCCCACATCGAGCTTCCTGCTCAGCCTCTACCTCAGCTCACACTCTCTGTCTCTCTCAAATAAATAAATAAAATCTTAAAAAAAAAAGAAAAGAAAAAGAAAAAGAAACAATGGGAAATTTCACTGCCCTTAAGTCTTTTTTTTTTTTTTTAAGAGAGGAAGGGGAGGGGGAGAGGGAGACAAATAGAGAGGGGCAGAGGAGGAGAGAGAATCTTAAGCAGGTAAGCCATCCAGGTACCTCTAAATTCTATTCTTACTAATTAAGTAACAGTAGAAATTTTCCCACGTGAAGAGGGCTAGTTACAATTCTATTTCTGTTTATGTTCTATTCCTAATTAAAATGAGTCTCAGGAGAGCGTGGGTGGCTCAGCTGGTTAAGTGTCTGACTCCTGATCTCAGCTCAGGTCCTGATCTCAAGGTCATGAATTCAAGCCCTGCACTGGGCTCCACGCTGGGCATGGAGCCTACTTAAAAAAATAAGTAAAATAAAATGAGTATCTGAACAAGAGGCTGAAATCTAAAGAGACCAGAGCAATGATCTTTCAAAAGACAGTTCATAAAATTTAACTTCCTTAAAAGAGTTCTCTCAAAGGAAAGGCAAAATCCTAAGGATTGAACTCCCAAGGGTTCCAACTCTATCACCACAGACATTATTATAAGAGATATAAATGTCAAGGTTTAAAATCTAGAGTGATGAATACCCACGGTTAAGGACTGGGTTTTAAGCAAAGGATTCATAATTATTCCATATATTGTCTAGATATTGTACATTACACCTGGCATGGAGATTGTAGCATGTGAAAGTAGATCTAACATGATTGTTATAATCAGTGTTTATGGAATACAGCTTTATAAGCTGATTCATGATTTCCTGCACAATCCTAATAGTTCCTGTAATTCCATAAGAGTTCCAGAGGTAGAAAAATGAGTATTTGGTTTAACCCTTTACCAACTATTTTCTAGCAAAATATGACAGCCCTAGATAAAATAACTTTTTGTGCTTCCTGTAACATATACAAAATGTAAAAAAATCTATGTACTATTCTGTCTGTATACTTAATTCCTGTATTGGCTGAGATCATGAACTCTGAAAGTGGAGAGACTGCTAACTGGTATATAACTATAAAATCTTCAGTAATTATAAAAATAGGCACGTAAGTGCTTTCAGTGTTTAAAATAAGAGATAAACGATTATACAGTACTTAATACTTTGAAAAACTTGAGGAAGCTAAAAATCTGAAATGCACTGAAACCTTAAAACCTCTCCTACTTGGAGTATTTTTTTTTTAAAGATTTTATTTATTCATGAGAGACACAGAAAGAGAGAGGCAGAGACATAGGCAGAGGGAGAAGCAGGCTCCATTCAAGGAGCCTGATGTGGGACCTGATCCCAGAATCCCAGGATCATGCCCTAGCCAAAGGCAGATGCTCAACAGCTGAGCCACCCAGGCGTCCCTTGGAGTATTTTTCAAAGCTACACAAGCTTTAAAGTCAGGCAGCTCTCGGTTCAAATGGTCTTTGCCATTTAGGAGATGTGTAAATAATCTTGAGGTCAGATTTACCAGGGAAGGTTTCAATAGAAAAGTTAGGACTTGAGATGAACCTCAAAGAACAGGTGAGTTTGCTGTGGATTGGCTACAAGAAGGTTAATGCACGGAGTGGAAGTGACAAGTGAAAAGCAAGGAAGAATCAGCATCATGTGCGTGGGAAAAGGTCAGGTGGCTCGATGAAGCCATATCAGAACAAATCTTCTTGGAGTATTTGCTAGAACAATGCTAAGTGCTTTTGGAGTACATTACCCTCATTCTAGAAATAAGGAAACTGAGACTCAAGAGATCTATACAGGTTAGAGATCATTATTTAATTAATCAGTAAACAGATGTAAACTTGAAATGATGGGATGCCTGGGTGGCTCACGGTTAAGCGTCTGCCTTTGGCTCAGGGCGTGATCCTGGAGTCCCAGGATCGAGTCCCACACTGGGCTCCCTGCATGGAGCCTGCTTCTCCCTCAGCCTATGTCTCTGTCTCTCTCTCTCTCTGTCTCTCATGAATAAATAAAATATTTAAAAATAAAGTAAAATAAGGGATGCCTGGATGGCTCAGCAGTTGAGCGCCTGTCTTTGGCCCAGGGCATGATCCTGCAGTCTCAGATCAAGTCCCACATCAGGCTCCCTGCATGGAGCCTGCTTCTCCCTCTGCCTATGTCTCTGCCTCTCTCTGTGTCTCATGAATAAATAAATAAATCATCTTTTAAAAATAAAATAAATAAATAAATAAAATAAAATAATAAAATAAAATAAATAAAAAATAAAATAATAAAATAAAATAAAATAGAAATGGGGATTGCACCTGGGTGGCTCAATCCGTTAAGTACCTGCCTTTGGCTCAGGTCATAATTCTAGGGTCCTGAGATGGGCACCACATGGGGCTCCCCACTCAATGGGGAGTGTGCTTCTCTCTCTCCCTCTGCTCTTCCTTTCTGCTTGTGCTCGCTCGCTCTCTCAAATAAATAAAATCTTTTTTTAAAAAAAAAGTAAAATAAAGTTGAAAAGGGGAGAGTACAGAATGAAAAAAACCTCATACCTGAATGAATTAAAATAATGTTAAAGTTCTAGCTCTTTCATTAAACTGTGAAGGGCCACAGGTCTTTGGGGTCAGGATCTCTACATCTAAGGTGAGGAGAATTAATCAGATGAGCTCTTATGCCCTTTCCAGTACAGACTAAGCAATTCTGCAATTCTATAACACTTAAGACATAGGACAAAATGATTAAACTAGCATGTGGCTAAAAAAGAAAGAAAACACCATAAAATGGCCAACTTATTTATTTTTTTAAATGGCCAATTTAAAGGAATCACCTTAATCTACCCAATGATTTCATGTAAAGCAGTCCAAAACAATCTAAACTAAAAGCTATCCTTGTTCAGGCCTCTAAAATTAAAAGATTTAGTTTAAATCAACAAAGTAACACTAACTAATTAAAATGATGGCAAAAACAGAGCCCCAATTATAAGAATAACAAACACCTATGAAAGCCACAGAGGAGGACAACCAATATGAATACTTCTCAGCCAGGTAACCAACCCACAGCTGAAAACTCACTTCCTGGAACCCCAGTAAAACCCAAACCTCAACAATATAGTAACCATCTTTGGAATCAAGACATGAGATGGAAAAATTAAACAGAAGTTTTCAAACTGAACAGTAAGGCTATCACTCAATAAAAAACAAAGAACTTGAAGAAATAAGTTAAAACATTCTTAGGAAACTAGGCTCACGAAGCAAAATACCAACAAATAGGAAAATCTGAGCTATACCTGAAAATAACCTAGTACTGAAAATTCCCTTTAATGATTATATTTTTGAGAATGAAATCAAAAGGATAAAAATAAGAATACAAAAAAATGGGCCCATTAATATCTTAAATACAGATGCTATTTTATTGGAAAGAAAATAAAAAAATTAGTATACTTATATTACTAAATCAAAGTATATAATCAAAAAACATTTGCTTTAATATGCTTTGAGGGAAGAAATAAAATTAGGAGATTTAGATCTTAATAATTTTATAACTGTCAATTAATTTAAAATTATTTTATTTCTTAAAAATTTATTTGAGAGAGAGAGCACGCGAGCACACAGAGGGAGAAGCAGACTCCCTGATAATCAGAGAGCCCGATGTGGAGCTTGTTCCCAGGACCCCAAGATCACGACCTGGGCCAATGGCAGACACTTAACTGACTGAGCCACCCAGCCACAGCTAAAATTATTTTTAAAATACTAACAACAACAACAAAAAAATAAAATAAAATAAAATAAAATACTAACAACATTCCCCCAAAAAAACTACTTGATGCCTTTTACTTCATTTCAAAAAAGAAAACTATTTGCTAGTGTAAAGTTTTAAGTAATCAAACAGCAGGATAAAAAAGATGCACCAGGGACAGCTGGGTGGTTCAGTGGTTGAGTGTCTGCCTTCTGCTAGGGTTGTGATCCTGGGGTCCTGGGATTAAGTCCCGTGTTAGGATGCCTTTTGGGAGCCTGCTTCTCTCTCTGCCTTTGTCTCTGTGCCTCTCATGAATAAATAAAATCTTAAAAAAAAAAAGATGCACAAAAAGAAAGGGGGAATCACAGACTTAAAATGCAGCCACATTTTGGATTTCTTAGACCTGTGATTATTTCAAATACACCAACATGTATCTCAGACCTAAATTCACTGAAGATTCCACATATAAGTGCAGGATGAGAAGTCATAGCTAAAAGCAACACATAGTGGGGGAGGTGACATGGGAGGGTGGAGATCAAGGAATTTTAGTGGAAAACATGCTAAGTATTCAGAGAAATGTGATATAGCCACCATTTCAAAAGACTGGGGTAGTCTTAGGCTAAATAAATACAGCACAGGAATTAAGAAGGAAACGTACCAGTTAGATCATACTGGAATATTACAGTAGGGGATAAATTATATTAGAATAATAATAGCATTAAAGAGAGAAAACTGCCAGGAATATACTCCAGATAAGAGCAGCAGCAGAGTGGCTAGTGGTACAAGTCTGGATTTACACTGTGGCTCTATGTAACAGCTGTGCAAAACCAAGGCAAATCGTTTAAACTCTTCAGTTTTCACTTTCTCTGTTGTGAAATGGGGAAAATGGTATCCACTTCACAAATGTAAGCACAAAGCTCAGCTCAGCTGTCACTGATTCATGTGCATATTAGTTAGAGAATTGAGTAACAGAGGAAAGGTGTGACTTAAAAGCTGAGGGTGGGGCATAAATGATGGCACTCTTTAAATGGCAAAAAGACTATGGAAAAAAGGTCCACAAGAGTAAGAGTATTTGCTATCTAGAATGTAGGAAACTAAGAATATATACAAAATATATACCTGCTGGAATTTTTTAAAAGTGAAAAACAACCCATGAAACACACGGAGTGGTTGCCTTGGGGGCAGAAGAGAATGAGGATGGGGCAGGAATAGAATCTAGGTTCTCTGTACATACCACTTTGTAGATTTTACTTTGGAACCACACAAGAAATTTTTAAAACTACAAAACCCACAAAAAATTATTTAAAGGGCACCGGGGTGGCTTAGTCAGTTAAGAGACTACCTTAGGGCTCAGGTGATGATCCCCAGGTCCCTGGACTGAGACCTGCATTGGGCCCTCTGCTCAGCAGGGAGCCGCTTCTCCCTCTCCTTCTGCCCCTCTCCCTGCTCCTACTCCTTCTCTATTAAATAAGTAAAAAAATCTAAACTATAATATATAGATAGATAGATATAGATGTATTTAAAGCAATCCCTAAACATTGAAAAGAAACAAATTAATTGAAATATGAATTCAGTGAATGGCCTTACCACAGAAACTATTCCAATTTAAAACACATTAATATAACTGTAACAGTAAAATAACAGCCAGTAGACACACATATTTCTTCATTTAATCTTAACATACCTGTGAGATAAGTATAATCTCAATTTCACAGAGGAGGAGACTGTGACTCAGAAAGCTAAGTAACTTGTTGAGGCCACATCAATGGCTAGTGGCACAGAAATTTACACCTAGCTTCTCTGAAGCCAATCCTGCACTTTGCCAACCATACTACATCTCTCCTCTGGGTCATTGCTTGACGTGCCATTCTCACCACCTTGAATTTTCTCTCACCTCTGCCTACTAAAATCTCCTTAAACACCAGGCCCAGCTCAAGTCCTCTAGTGGTAACACAAAAGTAAGGGGCTGTCATGTAATTTGCATTTCACTTAACTGAAAGCCAAAATGCAGGCTGGAAATGACTTCTCTCTAGAATCAATTTTCTTTAAGGAATTATTAGTATCACTGTCTGAGAAAATGTATTGTTGGAGCACTTAGGTGGCTCAGTTGGTTAAGCAACTGACTTCAACTTTGGCTCAGGCCATGATCCCAGGGTCCTGGGACTATCAGGCTCTGTGCCCAGTGGGGAGTTCACTTGGCTCTCTGCAGCTCCCCCTGCTCATGATGGTACACACTCTATCTCTCAAATAAAAAAAGAAAGGAATATGTATTGTTCAAGAATGTATTTGGGATGATATATTTCAGATACACAATATGTAAGGGCATAAATATTTCACAGGTCTTAAAACCTCAAGAGCTACAAGTATTATCCATAACGTGGTGATAATTAAAATGACGTAGGAGTCTTTTTTTGGCATAACCACACTTGCTTCTGATGGGAATAAGTGTCTACAGGTTCAGAAATCACTCTTGTTTCACAATAGGGAACTGAATGATATATTTAGTTACTTTGAAAACAATCTTTTATCATTTGTGTTACATATTCTTGAAAATTAAAGTCCATTACCCAGTGAAATCATTCTACGTTCTAGAATTAGGAATACACTCACCTTGTCCAGAACTATATACCCTTACCCTCTATCTTATGTCACTAAAAAGTAATTTACAGAGGGATAAAATATTTATCTCTACAGCAAAGGCTGGACATTACAAGTACCTGATTAGTATTTCTAATTGGCATATAGTCCTCATCTTCTTTTTCTTCAGAGCAGTGACGAGTTTTCTTCTTGTGTTTTTTACTTGTGTGTGAGTGACTGGATTTTGAATCTTCTGCTTGCTCATCCAGTATAAGATCATATTTTGCACTGTAGCAGCTAGTTAAGGAAAGATGTGAGAACTGACACTGATAATACATCAAAACATCAAGAATCTGGTAAACAAAGGAGACTACGAGGATAAACCTTTTTTTTTTTTTTTAAGATTTTCTTTATTTATTCATGAAAGAGACACACAGAGAGAGAGAGGCACAGACATAGGCAGAGGGAGAAGCAGGCTCCACGCAGGGAGTCCGACGTGGGACTCGATCCCGGGTCTCCAGGATCACACCCTGGCCCAAAGGCAGGCGCCAAACTGCTGAGCCACCCGGGCTGCCTGATAAACCTAACTTTTTAAAGCAAAAAGCATCTCACAGTGTATTTCTAAAACAAAACTAACTCACATTTTCTTTCAAGAAAAATAGAAAGAACCCAGACCCTAAATAAACAATTAACAATTGGCAAGTGAGTGGGCAAAAAATATGGAAGCCAAAAAAAAAAAAGTATATCCACAAATGAAAATCTAAGTAGCCATAAAAAATAAGGAAACATGTTTTTCAGTAATGAAAAAATTTAAACTTAGAAAAAAATAGGACACATGTTTCACTGGAAAAATTTAGGATAATGCCAGAAGAGCTATAGGAGATAAAAGATATATTCGTGTTACTCCTCTTTTGAAGTACTAATTTGTTAAACAAACAAATGTATGTATAACAATTATTTTTTATAACAGAAACTTAGAGTAACAAAAAGCCTAGTAATAAAGAAGACATTCTTAAATATATTGTAGAACTTCAACAGGATATATTATTACAAAGAAAGTTATTAGCAATGATAAATGAATGCTATGAAAAAAACAGAAAGTGTTTTATGAAAAATTAAAAGTGAAAAAAGCTAGAAATAAAAATTACACCATATGGTGATTTTAACTTCACAAAACATAAAAGATCAAGATTTGAAAGAAGCAACAAGAAAAGGTATCATTTGTCTAGGTGGTAAACTGTGAGTGAATCTTTTTTTATTTGAAGTGTAGTTGACTTCAACTAAATGTGAGTTTAGTTGAATGTGAGTGACTCAACATTCATAGATATGGGTGAATCTTGTTTTAATTTCACATAAATGTGTTGTAAATATGATAATGTGTTTTAAAAAAGAGATAAATATTTTTTCTGATATACTTATTATCCCTTAGAAGAGAAAATACAAAATAATCATACCCCCTGTTGAAAATAATCTCAAATCCTAGAACAGTATTTGAGGAAGGCTGACAAGGGCTGGAATAGTGGTTTTTTTAAAAAAAAAAAAGCTCATGGGGAAGCCCAACATGCAGAGCTGTTTCAGTGGTGTGTGCAACTAGAGGAGTCTCAAACACACTTCCCTCAGGACTAGAGAGTCGGGTTTGTTTTCACCACATCATAGCTCTATGCCTTTCTCAGGGACATGTCACTTCTATATAAGACTGAATATGAAAATGCTACGTGCTCTTGGTTTTTTATAAGATGGTTAAAGATGGCCAGTCAGGGACACGTGTGAGTGGATCAGTTGGTTAAGCACCTGCCGTTGGCTCAGGTCATGATCTGGTGTCCTGGGATTGCCCCCCACCCTCTTCACACTGGGCTCCCTGCTCAGCTTCCCCTCTCCCTCTGCCCCTACCCCACGCTCTCTTTCTTTCTTAATAACATCTTTTTTTTTTTTTCTTAATAACATCTTTAAAAAAAAAAAAAAAAAAGGGTGGCCAGTCAGTCTGTACCATATCCTACTCCTACTTCATTATCTCTAACTTTTTTCCTTTATACTATGTCACACTGTTTCCAGAGTAGCTTCTGGAGCCTCTCCTTTTTCAGTATGAATTCAATAGCCCTTGCCTAGGACTTTACCTTACTGTTTTGTTTTACATATGCAGCTCCCTCTGTCCAAAATCCATTTAGTGGGTCGTAGCCAGCACTGTGTAATAAATAGAATAGAAAATAGAATATACAGCATCTAATAAAAATACCATGGCATTTGTTTCAATTATGTATGCATGTGAATAGCTGTACTTGGACTGTGCTGGATATAAGATGAATTGTATTTCTTAAACAATGGATCAAGTTAGAGGAAAGAGCATCCCATCTTAGCCCTCCCTCCTCTCCCCTCATATTCAAGGTGCAGCTTTATTTTTTATTTTTTAGATTTTATTTATTTATCAGGAGAGACACAGAGAGAGAGGCAGAGACACAGGCAGAGGGAGAAGCAGGCTTCATTCAGGGAGCCCGACGTGGGATTTGATCCCGGGTCTCCAGGACCACACCCTGGGCCGAAGGCAGTGCTAAACTGCTGAGCCACCTGGGCTGCCCAAGGTGCAGCTTTAATGTCACTTCTTTTATTGTCACCTGAGGGCCTTCCCTGACTCCTCACCTCAATAAGCTCCATATCCCACAAACGTACTTCTTTGCAACACTCTATACCTACTTATATTTGAGTCACAGTAATTATTCTGGTCATCCCCCCCCCCCATCAATAAAACACAAGATCTATGAGGGCAGGGGCTATGTTTCACTGCTAAGCTGGGTGTGCAACAGATGCCAAATAAGTAATTGTTAATTATTTCTCATACCACCAAGACAATTTGTCTCATCTCTTTTCCCTTGCTTACCCACTATCTTCTACTCACTACTATAGTCAACAATAGTAGATGTCAAATGTTCCCAAAGTCCTTTGAATTAAACACAAGTTTGTGATCTTTCTTTCCCCAATTCTTCCGTGAGGTCTATCCTGGCCAAATTAAACCTGCCTTTCCTTCTGTTCTATTTTTAAGCCTAGTAGCTAATTTGTGACAACTTCTCTTTCTCTCGAGATCCATAAAAGCATATCTCCACCATGCCTTTTTAACTTAAAACTTAACTTGATTATATATATAAAAAAAAAAAAAACAACCCTCAAACTTATCTGATTATTAGATTGCCTTCTCAGGGATCCCTGGGTGGCTCAGCGGTTTGGCACCTGCCTTTGGCCCAGGGCATGATCCTGGAGTCCCGGGATCAAGTCCCACATCGGGCTCCCTGCATGGAGCCTGCTTCTCCTCTGTCTGTGTCTCTGCCTCTCTCTCTCTCTCTCTCTGTGTCTCTCATGAATAAATAAATAAAATTTAAAAAAAAAAGATTGCCTTCTCAATCTCTTTTCCTCGTCATAGTAACAGTCACATAATATATAATATACAATGTGGAAAACATATATATATATATATATCTTACATATTATAAACACATGTTCTATCACTGTATTATTGTACCTGAGATTATAAATGCCTTGCTAACATGAAATCTATCAATTACCAAGAACATAAATCTTACTGGGTCAGATTCAAGAATTTCCCTTTTCTTGTTCAATATTATGTTTGAGAATGATTAACAATGGTTTGTATCAGGACATATCTGTCTTCTCCATCGATTTCAAAAGACTGAAAGCAGGCACTGTTCAATACTAGCCATATGTGGTTGTTTAAATTAATTAAAATTGGGCAGCCCCGGTGGCTCAGAGGTTTAGCGCTGTCTTCAGCCCAGGGTGTGACCCTGGAGACCCAGGATCAAGTCCCACGTTGGGCTCCCTGCATGGAGCCTGCTTCTCCCTCTGCCTATGTCTGTGCCCCCCGCCCCCTGTGTGTGTCTCTCATGAATAAATAAAATCTTTAAAAAAAAAAATTAACTAAAATTAAACTTTAAAATTCAGTTCCTCAGTCCATTTCACATGCTCATAAACCACATGTGGTTAGTAGCTAAACCGGATGGTGGAGATATTTTCCATCACTGTAGAAAGTTCTATTGAACAGTACTAAGCTATAGATTTATTCTCAAACATGTCTGGTTTCCTTTCTTAAATTTCAGTAATCTACCATCTTGAATTTAAAACATTTTAATACTGCATATTCTTTCTTTTCCTCCTGAACTACTTACCTTTGTGAGAAAAGATGAAAGACATCTCCTCATACTTTATACTCTATGCCTGTACTTACTTTCATTTGCCCTACATATTTCTCTTCTTCCACCTGCAGTTACTAGTGGTTAGCCTAAATTTAATTTCAAAGATTTGTTAAATGTCAACTTCCATCCACACCTTTTATGATTTTAATATTTCAATCATATTCCTCCTAATGTTCATCTTTTCAGACTAAATCTTAGCTTACTGTTTGGTGTGTCTCCCTCTCTTTATATTGAACACGTCAATATATTTCAGACTTTATCCATCTCTTGTACTTTACAATGCTTTATGAATTGTAGACTGTCAACACATTTTTTAAAATGAGTATATAACAAGTCAACCTGATACTCATCTTTCCTTGATGAATACTTGGAAAAGAAATGTCTAAGACAGTGTGGGAAAAGAGAATCCCTAAAACACCAACAGAAATTAGGAAACAAAGAAACCATTTACAGAAAGAATCACAAAGAGATAACTTTTGCAATGTGTAGAGTGATAGATGTATAATGAGAATATCAATGAACAAATTCAAATGACATAATGTAAATAGTATGTTTCATTGATTTTTACTTGTCTCAACCTAAAACTTGGAAGAATCTAAATTAAATGCTCAAGTCAATGGATTTCGTTTTAATCCTATAAAAGCCAATTTTTACATACAAATAGGAGCCTGATAAATATTTGTTGCTAGACAATGTACTAAGCTGAAAGGAGCTACCTAATCATGTAAGAGAACAGGATGTTAATCTACATATTTACCATCTCCAAAGAAGTTAAACATTATGAGGAAAGTTAACACCAAGAATTTAGCTTAGCTATATTAAAAAAATTTCTGAATACAAGGAATTTAAAACATTACAATTAAATACAAAATACAAATCTTACCTGAAGATTTCAGAATTAAGTGTTAACCTTAACCTAAAAGTAAGGGAGGAAAGAATTAGGCTAAGATTTCTTTCAACCAAAGCCTTCTCCAAACAATAGGGAATATACCGAAAAAGAGAAGTGTATGTAAGATGGTGAAAAAGGATTAACAATAAACTAAATGATTTCTTCACATACCACTGGATTCAGGAACCTTGTCTTCCACACACTGTGACTTTTTATAACATATCACACAGTACTCTACACTGGGTGGATGGTCTATACATATTGACTAACTGGTTCTTGTAAAGGATACTCCTGCTTGGGCTTTACTTTATCCTTCAGGACTAAATTAGATGATTTATCCTGTTCCTTTTCATACTCCTTGAAATCACTCTTGGTGTATTTCCCACCTATTTATTAAAAAAAAGAAAAAGAAAAACAGACTTAGTAAGAAAACTCACCTACTTTATTAAAGAACAAAAATTAATTTATAAGAAGCATAATATATCAGTTGTTTTATAAGCAACATATATATTGGTGGACAGAAAAAGGCTGAGAAGGTAACAAAGAAATAGTAATTCATTCTCCGTTACTATTTTAAATGAAATCAGATACCCATTTTGCTAAGTAGTCATATGCTGCCACCTAACGATATATACGAGTATTACAACATCAAACTTTCAAATCCTAAATTACACAGTGAATACATTCCCTGGGAAATAATGCAGTGTTTAAGTAGAGCCATAAAGCCCATGAGAAAATTAGGTCCAAAGGAAATTGAGGGCTTGAGACTGGAGTCTGAGATCTGAAAGGCTTAGAAGTTTGGAAGAAGTGAGGCTTTAAAGTTCTCTGATCTGTCAGAAGAGGCACTTATTACCAAAATTTCAACAGAGCACCAAGCAGATAGGGGGACAGCAGGAATGTATACAGAAGTTCACTAAAGGATGTGAGAGGGAAGGGTTGGTAACAATATCAATGACGAAATATCTCTGTTTTGGAAATTCTTGCCTAAGGCACCTATACTCCCTGCCAATTGTCAAAAATGAAATAAAAAAACCCTTCAGAAAAATAGGACCTACTATTATATCCTGACTGGCCTTCAGTGACAGGGCTAGGAAAAAAGCATCCTATGCAGCCCCTCTACTCTCAGGCCTAGTCTCCTACCAGATGAAGATTCAGTTCCTTACCCATGTCCCAGACCTGCTGACTGACCTGCCTCTCCTATCCCCTCAGCTACTATGATGAAATCCTTCCAGACAGGAGAATCCAAGATTAAATGTACAAATAAAGCAAACTACAGGTACACACAGAGGTACTTTGATTATGAATCCTATATAAGCCTTGACTATCATCAGGTTCTTTAAACAAAGGAGAAAACAGGAATAAAAGGAGTGACTAAACATCAAAACCAAGATGAATCTACTTGGTAATTCCAGAGGCTCCTGAAACAAAAATGGCCAGTAGATAATATAAATGTGAAATAGATAACTGTATGTGTTAAAACACTAATAACTGTAATAAAAAGATACCACTTCATCACTGAAAAGAGATTCTGTGCTTGTCTTTAGGAGTTTCATGATGAATGAGGCAGTTGTGGTATAATAGAAAGAGTAATGGATTAAAGTTAGAAGTTCTGTGTTCAAATTCTGACTCTAATGGGAGGTCTTAGGTAACTCACTTTACCTCTTTGAAACTCAATTATAGGGACACCTGAGTGGCTCAGTGGTTAAGTGTCTGCCTTTGGCTCAGGTTGTGATCCCGGGATCCTGGGCTCCTCACAGGGAGCCTGCTTGTCCTTCTGCCTATGTCTCTGCTTCTCTCTCTCTCTCTCTTATGCATGAATAAATAGAATCTTAAAAAAAAAACTCAATTATATTCTCTTCATTATAAGCCAAATATAATATCTACATTTCACAGAGCTACAAGAGAAAGTGCTTAGCACTGTGAATGGTATATAGTATATATTCAATTTATTAAATTTATTAAATATAAATAATATATAAAACTGTTTCAAAATTAACAAAGATGACAGCTAATGTGAAATTGAAGTATCTGTCTCCTATATGACATTTTATTTTTTTATTTTTTAATATTTATTTTTATTTATTTATGATAGACACACACACAGAGAGAGAGAGAGAGAGAGAGAGAGAGGCAGAGACACAAGCAGAGGGAGAAGCAGGCTCCACGCCGGGAGCCCGACCTCAATCCCAGACTCCAGGATCGCGCCCTGGGCCAAAGGCAGGCGCGAAACCGCTGAGCCACTCAGGGATCCCCTCCTATATGACATTTTAGAAAAAAATAAGAAGTTACTTAAAATAAACTGTAAATAAACTACATTGAAACTACTTAAGAAGGCAATATCACTTCTTCAGTGGGTAACTGGGTTAGGAAGAATTGAGAGGGGAAAAAAAGCAAACATCAAGTCCTGTTTACATCATCAGTTTATGTGACCTAAATAAATCACTTCACAAGATGATACCTCAAGTTCCTTCTCTGTAATGAGGAACTGTATTTATACTGGTTTCATACATATACAAAATGATAAAATTAAATTAGCTTTTTTGGGTGAAAAGCCTCATAGAAGAACTATCTGGCAGTACCACAGGACCAGAACTATAGTTCATTATGCCAGCAGCTCATCCATCATTACTGTATATACTTCTTTGATTCTTTTGTTTACACAGCCACTATTACCATATGAAAAACATATCATCTTAATGCCACTAAAATTTAGTTTCCACAAGTCACTCAAAATAGGTAACAGTGTCAAAATCTAGTCATGTATTCCCACTGTAGGAAAGTTTCATGGGAGAAACCAACAGTAATAGGGAATCCCAACCCAAGTCACTGTCTCCTACCACAGGAGTCACAGCTTCCAGCGGGCCTTCCTTGCCTATTCTGGCCATTAATAGTATCTCCCTTTTCTGAATTTCCACAAGTTACCAGGATCTACCAAATGATTCAGCACATCACCCTCAAGTACTGCTGTTTCTCTCTTATTAAAAAAAAAAAAAAAAAAAAAAAACTCATGAAAGTCATGGGAAATAAAGAAAACTGTTATACAGAAAAAGAAAGTTAAAAAAAATTAAAAGAAGAAAAAAAAGAAAAAGAAAGTAATCCTGGAATTCCTGGTAAAATTAAGTATTACATGGTGAAAGCGAACCTTTTAAAAATACTGCAGCAAAAATCAAAAACTCACATTAGAATACAGACATTCAACCCCCATGACAAGCCACTACAGAAATTCAACTGGCACATATACGTGTATGTGGAAAATGTCATATGCATACAGATAGTATAAAAAAGAATAAAAGATTAGAAACTTCACTGTCCATTAAGAAGATTGGTTCAATAAATTATGATACATACATTTAATAGAACACTGCAGCTACTTGAAAATGTCGCTTTATATACGGATATGAACTGCTCTCTTAGATTATTAAAATGAAAAGCAAGGTAGGAAAGCAATTTTAAAGGAGAAAACCTATAAACATAAAACCTACATGGAAAAAAAACATAAAATAAAAGGAAATTCCAACATAAAATAAATAAATAAATATATATACATATATATGTATATTCAAAGAATGTATGTGGAAAATTTATAGGGAACAGGTAACAGTGGTTACTTCTGGAAAGGGAAATTGGATAGATGAGGGGCAGGAATGAAAAGTTTTTTACACCACCTTTTCAATTTTGTGCCATAGGACAACTAAAACAAACAAACTTCAAAAAAAACTTGTTTAATGTTTTACATCTAGAAGAACCAAGCCACCACAATCATCAAAATCATTACTTTTCAAATATGCCATGTTTGCAATGGGTAATTGTAAGTAACTTATAACACAAAGATAGTAAATATATTCACCATCAGTATAAATACACACTCACACTCCCCTGTATCTAAGATTCTTGCTAGCAGCTACCATAAATGGCAAAAGTCAGATCAATGAACATTTCTCCTAATGAGTATCTCTACAGCAAAGGAGGTACAGGCAGGCACAAGCATACACACACACACACACACACACACACACACACACACACACACAGTGAACAGAAACAGAGGAAGATGAACTAACATACCTTTTCCTTTCCATTTAACCTTTGCAACAGACTGGCTAAAATCCACATGTATTCTTCTGTCATCTATAAGTACATTGTCCATTTTGAAGAATGCTTTCTCACAATCTTCTTCCTGACAGTAATCACAAAAACTCAAGCATAAGTCTTTATGGAAAAGTTTTCTGCAATTAGGAAAAATACTGAAAATACAGCAAGCATGTCTCCTGTTACTAATATTTGAGTGCCTATTATACACCAGATGCTGTTACATGCTCTGCATCTACGAGCTCAGTTAACTCTGATAACAACCATGTCAAGTACTATATATTATCTCCATTTTCTTGAAGAGAAAACATAAGTTTAGAGAGGTACAGAAATTGCCAAAGATCAGCTGGCAAAGGTAAGAGTGAGGACTCAAGCCGAGGCAATATGACCGTAGTGGACGATACACACACTTACAAATTGTGCTGTACGTGTTCTTCCACAAATCCTTTCCTTAGAAACCCAAAAATATCCTCAAAGTTGAAAGTTGTTTTTACAAATTTGGTGTTAAAATCCACTTGACAATAAAACTTGACCTACCAGAAGACCGTGGCCTTGATTTATTCCACTTAGTATGAATATGCATTTGTTTCAGTACAAAAATAGTTTGTGATTGATTATGGAGTGCTGACCCAGAGGAGTATCACACAGTCCACAGATGTGTGTGTGTACCACACATATACATACTATTACCTCTCTAAGTTCTGAAAAAGCCTGAAATCAGAAACATAGTTGCTCCCCAAAGCATGGATACCGTGGATACCTGGATACCGTGGGCCTAAGATACAGGTCTGTGTTACATAAGGATTCTTCCTGTCAGCAACTTTATAAACCCCGTATCTCCATTTCCAACATCTGAAAGCTAGTAGTGATGCATTTCTTCTACCCAGCACTGATCAATTATCTACTATATTCTTAGAAACATATCCTTTGGTCTGCTCACAACTTACTAGAGACAATTCAGAGAAACAGATTAGTTATAATCGCATTTATTTACCATATATGTCAAGAATTAAATGGATTATAAACTCCATGAAGATACAAACAAAGCCTTAATCATCTTTGTATCTACATTATTTAAACATCATCTGGCACATGGTAGGCAATCAGTATATACATATTTTTTTAAGTAAGCTCTACAGCCAACATGGGGCTCAAACTCATGACCCAAGAGTTACATGCACTACTGACTGAGCCAACCAGATGCCCCAACATCAATGCATGTTTGATGAATCTGTAATGATTATACTTGGGTAGGCGTAATTGCATCATTGCGCCATTTCCCTAAAGAGAAAGTTCTCAGATACTTTATACTTATGCAGACATCTGATTTATGACAAAGATGACACTGCCAAGCCGTGTGGATAGGACAACTTTTTTAATAAACTACACTGAGTCCCTTGCTATCTAATGTAAGAAAAACGAAATTTAACATGATAAACATAATACACAAAAATCAAATTACAGGTCTAAACGGGAAAGATAGGGATGCCTGGGTGGTTCAGTGGTTGAGCATCTGCCTTCGGCTCAGGGCATGATCCTGGGGGCCAGGATCAAGTCCTACATCGGGCTCCCCGCGAGAAGCCTGCTTTTCCCTCTGCCTACGTCTCTGCCTCTCTCTATCTCTCATGAGTAAATAACAAATAAATAAAATCTTTAATAAATAAATAAAATAAATGGGAAAGATCATTTCACAGCAAACTGTCTAAAGGGAGCTTTGGAGAATATTTCTATGACTTTGGGGGTAGGCAAAGTTTTTTAAAACAAGCCATAGGAAAAATATTGACAAACTGAACTAAAAATTAGAAATTTCTGCTTATCAAAAGATGCCATTAAAAATGGGAAAAAGGCAATCTACAGAGAAGATACTTGCAACATACAAAACCAAAAAATAAGCCTGTAACCAGAAAATGTAAAAACTTCTTACAGATCAAGCAAAAGGCAACCAAACACCCAATCAATAAGTGGGCAAGTCTATAACAGTTACTTCATTTAAAAAATTAAAAAAGGACATCCAAATGCAATAAGCACACAAAAAGGAGAAATGCAAAATAAAACCACCAATAAGATACCACTACACATCCACCAGAATGGACAAAAATTTAAAAGATTGACCATACCAAGAACTGGAAAAGATATGGAATGACAAGGACTCTCACATATTGCTAGTGGAAGTGAAAATTAGTATAACCACTTTTGGGGGTGGGGGGGTGCTGTATAACCACTCTGAAAAACTGACCGAAAGTATCTACTATAGCCACAACTACCCTATGACCCAGCAATTCACTTGAGGGTATATGCCCAACAGAAATGCATATATACGTACACCAAAACATAAGAAAGAAATGGTTTACAACAGAACCATTCATAGTAATTCAAAATTACAAAAGACCCAAGCATCCATCAACAGGTGAATGGAAATCTAAATTGTTTTATATACACATAATAAAATACTCTGACAATGAAAATCTATATACACACAACACAATGAAATACCATGTTAATGGAAATTAATGAAAAAAGTTAACAAAAGCTTCATGTAGTAATATGTGCAAACCTTACACACTTAAGCAAATGATGCTGAACACAAAAAATACATACTGTGTTTACATTTATATCAAGTTTAAAATTAGACAAAACAAGTCTAGGATGTTAGAAGTAGCAATGATAGGGAAGGCCTTTGGAATACTGGTAAGTTTTTTTCTGCGAATCGCAGTACCTGAAATACAGAAGGTACTCGATAAATGCTCTGGAATAACTACCACTTGGAAAGAACTACTATTGGACACCATCAATCCAAAGCTACATAAAGAAATGGCACAGCCTTGCATAGGAACTAAAAGCAACAGGAACAGAGTCAGACTTTTCTAAATTCAAATCCCAGCTATGACATTCACTAGGGGTATAATTTTAATCAAGTCACATGACCACTATATGTCTCAGTTTACTTATTTGGAAAAGGAGGAAAGTACCTATCTCATAGAGTTATAAGGATTAAATACAGGTCAAGTCGTATAATACCTGGCTTAAAGAAAGTTATTTGAACGACATAAGCTATTATTATTTTACAGATCTAGAAGATACCATCTAATCCAATTTTCTTTTGTTTAAAGTTTTTTTTTTAATTTATTCATTCATGAGAGACAGAGAAAGAGAAAGAGAAAAAGAGAGAGAGAGAGAGAGAGAGAGAGAGAGGCAGAGACAAAGGCACAGGGAGAAGCAGGCTCCCCACAAGGAGCCCAACGCAGGACTCAATTCCGGACAATGGGATCACACCCTGAGCCGAAGACAGATGCTCAACTGCTGAGCCACCCAGGCATCCCTAATCCAATTTTCAACTTCTATTTATAAGGAGAGTAATACCTAGAAATAAGAGTTCTAAACAAACTGCCAAATATCATACAACAGCTAGTCAGTGACAAAGCTCAGGTTAGTATCTACAACTTTACACCCAGTCCATTTCTCTATTATTCAAGTATAAATCTACATAAACAATGCTGAAAAATTATTTATAAAATGTGAAGGACTCTACCAAAACTTTAAAAATGGTACAGCCACTCTGGAAAATAGTGTGGAGGTTCTTCAAAAAGTTAAAAATAGAGCTACCCTTCGACCCAGCAACTGCACTACTGCGTATTTACCCCAAAGATACAGATGTAGTGAAACGACAAGACACCTGCACCCCAATGTTTATAGCAGCAATGTCCACAATAGCCAAACTGTGGAAGGAGCCACAATGTCCTTCGACAGATGAATGGATAAAGAAGATGTGGTGTATATATACACAATGGAATATTACTCAGGCATCAGAAAGGACGAATACCCACCATTTGCTTTGACGTGGATGGAACTGGATGGTCTTATGCTGAGTGAAATAAGTCAACTGGAGAAGGACAATCATCATACAGTTTCACTCATATGGGGAATATAAGAAATAGTAAAAGGGATCATAAGGGGAAGGAGGGGAACTGAGTGGGAAAAATTAGAAAGGGAGACAAATCATGAGAGACTCCTAACTCTGGGAAACAAACAAAGGGTTTTGGAAGGGGAGGTGGGTGGGGGCTTGGGGTAACTGGGTGACAGGCACTGAGGAAGGCACTTCATGGGAAGGACACTGGGTGTTCTATGTTAGCAAATTGAACTTCAATAAAAACAAATGAAAAATAAATAAATAAATAAAACTTTAAAAAATACATTAACTCAGACTGCATCTGAACCTAAAGTTAAGGTATATATATTAACACAAACAGATGTTGAAATTATCTTCTATTTGAATGTAATAAAATTATTTTTCTTGGGTGCCTAGAGAAAGGGTAAACTAATTTTCTCATTTTAGAGACTAGAGAGTTCTATAATTTTTCACATTTTAACACTATATAAGAACAAAATAAATATAAACTTGAAAAATGTATATTATGACCTACCTTTTCAAATTCGATAAAAGCATAACAGAGGGATTCTCCTGTCTTCCAATCTCGAATAACTTCACAACTGAAAGAAAGTTTGGAAAAAGTGACTTTAAAGAAAAACTATGCATTCTTCCTCTTCAAAAGTGAAGAACAAAACAAACCAGTTATTAAAAATCAAAGTTAAACTCGTGGAACTATATTTCTCTACATTTCTTCAATAACAATTAAAAAAGAAATAGTTCCCCAGTGTAGTAATGAAATTATCCAAGTTCTACCCTAAATGCCCAATCTTGGCCTACAGTCCTAAATTTCTAATGCAGTGAAGAAAGTAGAAGATAAAAATATTTACCTTTCTGTGCCAAAAGAAAACTACTGCTAAAATATTCTTTAAGTCATAATTCACTTCTGGTCTAAATGTAGATAAATTACAGAAAATAAAATGTTACTATAGAATAATATATGTACATTCATACATATATACACATTTAATAAATTTATGCTTTGTAGTTTTAGAATGTTAATATAAACCAAGCTTAAATTTAACCCCCTTGGTACAGCTGTTATATAGAACTAATCTATCTTGACAATCACGTAAAAGGGCCAATAACATAGGAGTTGAAACCATGTGGCTTGTCCATTTCCTCACATTTAAGTCTCATTTTAAAAACATGAGATGAACAGGAAAATAATGTGAGAGAAAGGAAAAATAATCACATTATGGTATATGGGTCAGCTGTTGTAACATTTATATACATTAAAATGCAAATATGGAAGGAATAATATCTAACCAAAACTACAACACAAAGTAGAAGGAGGGGACAATAGAGATGGGAAGGTAAGAATAGAGGTAAATCCTCAATTTCCTGAGCAGGAAGTCATTAGTAATGTCTAAAATTCAAAAATAAAAAGCAGCAATACAGAAGTGTTTTTTATAAATATGATGTACTATAAGGGGTAGAAGAATAAAACTGAGTAGCCATTTATAGAAAGATTTTTCTGTCAAAAGGAAGAATAAAGAATGATTTCACAGGATTAGAAAAAAAAAGGAAGCTAAAAGGAAATTCTAAACATAAAACAATACTTTTTAATCAATTACAGCTGGCCATTGAACAACAACATTATGGATTAGGCATCCTGACCCCAATGCAGTAAAAAATAAGCATATAACTTTTGACTCCCCCCAAATTTAACTTAATAATATAGTCAATTAACACATATTTTGTATATGTATTATATACTGTGTTCCTACAATAATATGTGCTAGAGAAAACAAAATGCTAAGAAGACAATAAAGAAAAGGGGTACCTAGCTGGATAGTTGGAAAAGCACACAATTCTTGATCTTGAAGTTGTTGAGTTAAAGCCCCATGTCTGGTATAGAGATTACTTAAATAAAACAAAACAAACAAACAAAAATATGGGGTGCCTGGATGGCTCAGTTAGTTCAGTGTCTCACTTCATCTCAGGTCATGATCTCAGGGTCTTAGGATCAAGCATCATATTCCCTGCTCAGTAAGGAGCCTACTTCTCCCTCTCCTTTCTGCTCTTCTGTTTGTGCTTGCTCTAATATGTAAATAAAATCCTTGGGATGCCTGGGTGGCTCAGTGGTTGTGCACCTCCCTTCGGCCCAGGGCGTGATCATGGAGTCCCGGGATCGGGTCCTACATCCGGCTCCCTGCATGGAGCCTGCTTCTCCCTCTGTCTCTATCTCTGCCTCTCTCTGTGTCTCTAAAGAATAAATAAATAAAATCTTTTTAAAAAAAAAACGAATAAAGAATATACACTGATAGCATTATACTGTATTTATCAAAAGAAATCTGTGTGTAAGTAAGTGCAGTTCAAAACTGTGTCATTCAAGCGTCAACTATGTAATTGACCTTCCTCAAGAATATTCCCCTTTCTCACAGAAATACTAGCTTCATAGACTTTTACATTAACAATACAGGGGAAGTGAGCATTAGTAGCAAAAGAAAACTTTGGGAAGATTTAGATTCAAATTAATTTTGACATAGATTGCTGTAACTCTAGGAAGAACTTAAATGAGATAAATATTTTAAATATTAAAGATTATTGAGAATAAGAACTAGACTTAAACTGTTCTACTCACTTCCTGTTTTAGAGCAAAAATGTGTGTGTTGGAAGTGGGAGAATCATTCAATTATGTGTGTGTATATATATATATGTATTTGTATCTACATACACACACATATAAATACGTATTTTTCTTCCCTACTGTACAAAAGACTCACCTGTAAAATTAACCACTACAAAATTCTAGAGTTCACAGATCCATCAAAAAGTGCTATTAGAAAACTACCAATATCCAGTTTTTCTAAAATCTTTCATTAATTCTAAAGATTACCTTCTTATTGGCCCAAATCTTGAGAATATTATCTCCAGATCTTCATCAGTAGTCACTGGATTCAATTTACACACAAATAGCACGTTTTCTGGAGGTTTAATATCTGCATCAGGTAGGTCTCCAACCTAAATTATAAGTAAACAAAAATTTAAATCAATTCCTTTGTTGGCTCTACTCTAAATACCCTATCTAAGCCCAAAGTACTGATTTCCCTAAACAACTGAATTTACATTAGAAACTACAAGCTTAAGAAAAGAAACCTAAGATTTCAAAATTTGAAATTACAATGTTCCTGGTAGTAATATTAATAGCTAATACTTGTCTGAGTCTTTGTGTGAACGCCATGCTTGCCACTTTATATATACTACTAACCATTTCTTAAAACAACTGTGTGGTTTCCATTTTAAAAATGAATAAAGTATATTATGATAGTGAAATAAGTCAATCAGAGAAAGACAATTATCATATGCTTTCATTCATATGTAGAATATAAGAAATAGTGAAAGGGACTATAAGAGAAAGTAAGGAAACTGAGTGGGGAAAAATTAAGAGGAAGACAAACCATGAGACTCCTAACTCTGGGAAACAAAGGGTTGCAGAAGGGGAGGTAGGTGAGGGGGATAGGGTAACTGAGTGACGGGCAATAAGGAGGGCATATGATGAGATGAGCCCTGGGTGGTGTACCGAATGTTGACAAACTTAATTTAAATAAAATATTTTTTAAAAAGAAACAATAACAAATGAATAAATTTTTAAAAAAATGAATAGGGGTAGCCCAGGTGGCTCAGTGGTTTAGTGCCACCTTCAGCCCAGGGCGTGATCCTGGATACTGAGATCGAGTCCTGCATGGAGCCTGCTTCTCCCTCTGCCTCTCTCTCTCTCTCTCTCTGTGTCTCTCATGAATAAAAAAATAAAATCTTTTAAAAAACAAATAAATTAAAAATTAAAATTAAAATTAAAAAATGGATAAAGTAAAATTCAAGAGCACTAACTAACTTAAGGCCACACAATAGTAAGCAACAGAGTTGGGATTTGAAACACAGATCTATCTGGCTTCAAAGTCCCAATTTTATCTCCTCTTTCTCTTTTTTCTAGTATCTGATATACTAAAAAATAATTTATATAAAGTATACCTAAGTTATGAAGCATGAAAATATAAAGTACCCATGACACCAACAACTAGGTTAAGAACTAAAATGTCCCCTAATCCCATGACTCTACCTTTCTCAACAGAATATCAAATATCCTGCTTTTTAGTTTTCCTTTTTGGTCATGCCCCTATCTCTTCAGTTTTCCCACATAAGTATGATTCCCCAAGTAATATAGCTTAGTTTTGCCTGTTTTTAAACTTTTGAAAAACATTATCACACTGACTCTAGCCTTCTGCATTAGAAATGTCCTATTCTGGGGATCCCTGGGTGGCTCGGCGGTTTAGCGCCTGCCTTTGGCCCGGGGCCTGATCCTGGAGTCCCGGAATCAAGTCCCACATCGGGCTTCTTTTTTTTTTTTTTTTTAAAGATTTTCTTTATTTATTCATAAATAAAGAAGAGACACACAGAGAGAGAGAGAGAGAGAGAGAGAGGGGGGGGGGGGGGGGGGGCAGAGACAGGCAGAGGGAGAAGCAGGCTCCATGCAGGGAGCCTGACATGGGACTCGATCCAGGGTCTCCAGGATCACACCCTGAGCTGCAGGTGGAGCTAAACCGCTGCGCCACCAGGGCTGCCCCCATATCGGGCTTCTTGCATGGAGCCTGCTTCTCCCTCTGCCTGTGCCTCTGGCTCTCTCTCTCTATCATGAATAAATAAAATCCTTAATAAAAAAAAATGTCCTATTCTTTCCACATTGTTGTTCAATATGAAACAGCAACAATTCCTGGACAATGTTTCTAGCTTTTAATAACCCTCACCTCACTATCATCTACTGACCAAACTGAAGTAAACTTCATGGACAACTACTGCACTGAGAAGGACATCCCACTTTCTACTGAAGAACAAGTGAGGATGACTATGGGAGAAAACTATGATGATGGAATTGGTTTCTCTATGGGAAAACTGTATTTCCCGTGGACCTTTAGATAAGAAAACAATAATCCTTTATACATATATCCAAAAATTCTGAGAGATAATTTGTGATAACATTATTACGTTAAGTGTTTCCTCTTGGATAAACATACTTAAAACTTTTTTTTGAAAATCAGAAATAGTAATAAGCAAGAGAGCCAGTTATATCTGTTCAGTGTTTCTGAAGCCTATTAAAAGACAATAATCTGGGGTGCCTGGCTGGCTCAGTCAGTAGAGCATACAACCCTTGATCTCAGAGTCATGAGTTCAAGTTCCACATTAGGCATAAAGTTTACTTTAAAAAAAATTTTTAAGACAATAATCTATGTCCAATAAGCAATATCACAGTATGTAAGGGGGAAGAATAAATCAGCAAAAATCCTGAAAAGCACCTACAATACCACATCTGAAGGAAACACAAATGGAAAAAAAAAAAGGTTGAGATAAAAAAAAGAATTCATGACAGCCCCATTGACGCAGCAGTTTAGCGCCCGCTGCAGCCCAGGGTGTGATCCTGGAGACCCAGGATTGAGTCCCATGTCAGGCTCCCTGCATGGAGCCTGCTTCTCCCTCTGCCTGTGTCTCCGCCTCTCTCTCTCTCTCTGTGGGTGTGTCTCTCATGAATAAATAAATAAAAATCTTAAAAAAAAAAAAGAATTTGCCACACTACTTAGTCAGAGGTAACTTTAAAATTCTATGGGGCGGCAGTGGGAGTGGGAGGACAATACACTGGGGAGCCTCACTCAGTGGGGCATGTGACTCTTGATCTTAGAGTAGAAGTCTAAGTTTGAGCCCCACACTGGGTGAAGAGATTACTAAAAATAAAATCTTTTTAAAAATTTAAAATAACAATGAAATACTATAAGGAAATTTAAATATTCATTACAACTATCAAGTTCAAAACTAACACTGCAAAATACTAGTTGACTTACTCTATTAGACACAAAGGAAAAGGAACTGATTTCTTTTGGTTTGGTTTTCAGTTTTTTATTTTTTTAAAGCCTTTCTAACCCTCTGAGTTAAGATATTCTTCTGTTTTAAAGATTTTTTTTAGGGATCCCTGGGTGGCGCAGCGGTTTGGCGCCTGCCTTTGGCCCAGGGCGCGATCCTGGAGACCCGGGATCGAATCCCACATCGGGCTCCCAGTGCATGGAGCCTGCTTCTCCCTCTGCCTATGTCTCTGCCTCTCTCTCTTTCTCTCTCTGTGACTATCATAAAATAAATTAAAAAATTTTAAAAAAAATAAAATAAAGATTTTTTTTAAAGATTTATTTATTTATTCATGAGAAACACAGAAAGAGACAAAGACACAGAGGGAGAAGCAGGCTCCTTGCAGGGAGCCCAATACAGGACCTGATCCCGGCCGCCAGGATCACGCCCTGGGCCGAAGGCAGATGCTGAACCACTGAGCCACCCAGGCATCCAGTTTTGTTTTTTAAAATAGAAGACAGGGGTGCCTGGGTGGCTCTATTGGTTAAATGTTGGACTCTTAATCTCAGCTCAGGTCTTGATCTCAGGGTCATGAGTTCAAGCCCCACATTGGGCTCCATGCTGGACATGAAGCCTACTTAAAAGAAATAGTAATAAAGATTTTAAAATAAAAATAGAAGATAGAGGGGCACCTGACTGGCTCAGCTGGTAGAGCATGTGACTCTTGATCTCAGGGTTGTGAGTTCAAGCCCCATGGTTGCGCATAGAGCTTACTTCAAAAACAAGGGGAGGTGGTACCCAGCTGGCTCAGTTGGAGGAACATGTGACTCTTGATCTCAGGGTAGTGAGTACAAGTAAAAGTCCCGTGTCGGGTGTAGGGACTACTTAAATAAATAAAACAAAAGATGAAACCTGTTAATATGGAGAATAAAAACACAGGATCACCTATTAGAAGGGCTGAAATCCAAAACCCTGACAATACCAAATGCTGACAAGAATGTTGAGCAATAGGAACTCTCAATCATTACTGGTGGGAATGGCAAAATGGACAGCCAGTTTGGAAGACAGCTTGGCAGTTTCTTACAAAGATAAATATAGGGCAGCCCAGGTGGCTCAGTGGTTTAGCGCTGCCCTCAGCCCAGGGCCTGACCCTGGAGACCATGGATCGAGTCCCACGTCAGGCTCCCTTCATGGAGCCTGCTTCTCCCTCTGCCTGTGTCTCTGCCGCTCTCTCTCTCTCTCTGTGTGTCTCTCATTAATAAATAAGTAAAATCTTAAAAAAAAAAAAAGATAGATATAATCTTACCATAAATTCCAGTAATTGTACCTTTAGGTATTTACCCAAATGAGTTAAAAACTTCTACCTAGGGCAGCCCCGGTGGCACAGCGGTTTAGCGCCACTTGCAGCCCAGGGCATGATCCTGGAGACCCTGGATCGAGTCCCACATCAGGCTCTCTGCATGGAGCCTGCTTCTCCCTCTGCCTGTGTCTCTGCCTCTCTCTCTCTCTCTGTGTGTTTCTCTCATGAATAAATAAAATCTTAAAAAAAAAAAACTACCTATATAAGAATCTAAAAAAAAAAAAAAAAAAAAGAATCTGCACACAAATGTTTTTAGCAAGTATGACTATACTTGCCAAAACTTGGAAGCAATCAAGACATGTTTTAATAGGTGAATGGATAAACAAACTGTGGTATGTCCAAACAATGGAATATAATTTTATGATCAAAAGAAATGAGCTATCAAGGTACAAAAAGACATGGAAGAAATTAAATGCATATGGCTAAGTGGAAGAAGCCAATCTTAAAAGGATATATACTGTATAAATCCAACAATATGACATTCTGGAAAATGCACAACTATGCAGATAGTAAAAAAGATCAGTGGTTGCCAGAGGTTGGGGACAAGGAGGTATGAATATGCAAAGCACAGAGGATTTTTAAGGCAGTGAAACTATTCTCTATATTATAATAGTAGGTATTTGTTATCATACATTTCTCAAAAACCACAGAATGTACAACACAAAGAGTAAAAACCTAATGTAAATTATAGATTTTACTTAATAATAATAATATATCAATGTGACTCACAAATTGTACCTCACTAATGCAAGATATTAATAAGAGAAACTGTTGGGGAGGAGGATGGAGGTACACAGGAATTCTCTGTACTTGGTGTTCCATTTTTTTTTATAAACCTAAAACAGCTCTAAAAAATAAAGCCTATTTACTAACATTAAAACAAAAAAAGGAAATCATGAGTCCATACCAAAAATGAACATATAATAAAAAGATAGGAAGGCCATTCCTTACAATAGAAAGCAGGCTGACAATATGGAAGGAGTAATGGAGTTAGAAAATTACCATTTTGCACCCATCAGAGTTAAGACTGGTTCAGACAAGAATCATGAAGATCTAAGAAATCCATAGGGGGCTCTTTTTCTCTTCTGGTCCAAGGTGCTTGGGGAGCAGCGGGCTTTAGTGCAGACGTGGCCAAGTCCAAGAACCACACCACACATAACCAGTTGCAAAAATGGCACAGAAATGGCATCAAGAAACCCCGGTCACAAAGATACGAATCTCTTAAGGGGGTAGACCCCAAGTTCCTGAGGAACATGCACTTTGCCAAGAAGCACAACAAGAAGGGCCTGAAGAAGATGCAGGCCAACAATGCCAAGGCCATGACTGCACGTGCCGAGGCTATCAAGGCCCTTGTCAAGCCCAAGGAGGTTAAGCCCAAGATCCCAAAGGGTGGCAGCCACAAGCTCAATCGACTTGCCTACATCACTCACCCCAAACTCGGGAAACTCATGCTCATACCCTCATTGCCAAAGGTCTCAGGCTCTGCCGGCCAAAGTCCAAGGCCAAGATATGCAGAAATCATCATCCGTTGGTTGTTGACTGTGGCTATTGGGGCTGACTGTGCTTATCCAGAGTTGACAAACAAACACAAGCTTGCAGATTTATGTAAAAATCTCAATTTCTGGCACAAAATGGCTCAGTATGCCCAACGTGCATCAGTGTCCTTTCATACCCAGTTGTTTTTCAAAAGCAAAGGAATAGTAAGTGAAGAAGCCTATATTCTGTTTGTAAGAAAGAATGCTATTGTGGTGTTAATTCCAAAGTATGGTTTAGAAGGTACAGTCTTTTTTGAAGAAAAGGACAAACCAAAGCCAAAGCTTATTTAGGATGATGAGGAACCTTCCCTTAAAACAGGATACAGTGTTCCATATATTTGATAAAGTTAAACTGAAAATCATGCTAGACTCATCCAATCACCAGCATCAGAAAATCCGAATGTCCCTGGTAGAACCACAGATTCCAGGAATAAGCATTCTGATGGATACTCCAAACATGGACAGTGATGAACCAGAGAGAAAGAAAAAGAAACGTGAGAAATAGCTATACTCAACAAAATAACTTCAAAGACTGGTTTCCTTAAAACAAAACAAAAACAGAAACAACAACAACAACAACAAAAAACCGATACAAAAAACCTGAGAGAACACTTTTAAACCTAAGTGTGTAATAAAAATAAAATAATAAAATAAAATAAACCTAAGTGTGTGATACAGTTTGTTACTTTTATTTTTTTTTCTGCTTGTTACTTTTAAATACATTTTAATGGCTTAAAAAAAAAATCCACAGGGGTGGTTTGATAAGGAACAAGATATTTGAAAGGTCTCAAATGCTACAGATTGTTACTAGTTACAAGGGGAAAACAAAGTATGCAATGGAGACACCAGGTAGTGGATTACCTTAATCAAGTAATCAAAATGAATACTTTCCAGCTAAGGGCAGATGGATATTGTACACCTACAAATATAACATCTGAGAAGGTCATTTATGTAGTATTCTGGTTGTGTGCATAATCTGAATCTAATCACAAGGCAACAGTAGATAAATCTAAGTTGAAGAATATTCTAAAAAACAGATGACCTATATTCCTCAAAAAATGTTAATAACATGAAAAATAAAGATAAGTTAAGGAATTCTTCCAGAGGTAGAAGAAACATGATAAGTAAATTCAACAGATGATTGATCATGAGCTGGATTCTAGCCTGAATGGGAAAAGCTATAAAAGAGATTACTGAAATAACTGACAAAATTGAAATATGGGTTATAATTTCAATCAATTTTAAATTTCCTCATTTTGGGATCCCTGGGTGGCGCAGCGGTTTGGCGCCTGCCTTTGGCCCAGGGCGCAATCCTGGAGACCTGGGATCGAATCCCACGTCGGGCTCCCGGTGCATGGGGCCTGCTTCTCCCTCTGCCTGTGTCTCTGCCTCTCTCTCTCTCTCTCTCTCTCTCTCTGTGTGTGTGTGTGTGTGACTATCATAAATAAATTTAAAAAAATTTAAAAAATAAATAAATTTCCTCATTTTGGTAACTATTATAAATATGTAGGATGATACTGTTGCTCTTCAGAAACGCACACTGATGTAAGAGGTAAAAGGAATGATGCTTATGACTTATTTTCAAATGGTCCAGAAAAAATAATATGTGTTTGTGCATATATATTCAGAGAGAGAGGGAAAGAAAGAAAGAATGAATCAGCAAGCAGAATTGGCAAAAAATGTTAAAAACTGATGAATCTTGCTTGGTGCGCCTAGCTGGTTCTGTTAAGCATTAGGACTCTTAATTTCAGCTCAGGTCATGATCTCAGGGTCATGAGACTGAGCTCCATGTCAGGCTCCACACTGGACATGGAACCTGCTTTAAGATTCTGTCTCCTCCCTCTGCCTCTCCCCCTCCTCCTTCCCTCTCTTGAAAAAAAAAAAAAAGTGGTGAATCTGAGTAAAAGGTATAGAGAAGTTCTCTATGCTACTTTTTATAACTTTCTCATAAATTTGAAATTATCAGAAAATAAAAGGCTTAGTTATGTTAACCCAACATCTTTCTGGCATAAACTGCCTACACTTTTGGTGTTAAAAACTCTGATGATAATCTAATATTATTTCCCTTTTAAGTCACTTGCTCTTATTACCCAGTTGCTCAAAAGATTTTTTTTTAAGATCAGTAATTTTCTTAAAATTTGCCATCCTGTTGGCTGTTCTAGGCCAAGACACAGTGTGCTCGTTAAAATGTGTATTTTCAAATTTTTTCAATTCAATAAAATTTTCTTGAATTATAGTCTTTAACATTTGTTCCTTCAGCCTGGTGATGTGAATATGAATTTTGAAACAGATGCGGAATCTTTCTGAAAGCTCTACTATATAAAACAATGGTAATAATAAAAACAGAATTATCCTTTCAAATATTTATTATCTACTGTGTAATAGGTATGCCTATTCCACAAAAAAATAACAAATGGAAAAAATGTCTAGTAGATCAATTAATCAGTACTGAAGAACTTCAAATGACTTCATACTGTTAGTGATACAAAGGAGTATATTTTAGAGTGCTCAATTTCAACCCAGGTTCCTTGTATCCTGTAATCACCTCAGTGCTTGAGTTATAAAATGAATTATTCCTTAATATACATAAAATTTGGTCAAATAAACACTATTCAAAAATGAAATGAGGGCAGCCCGGGTGGCTCAGTGGTTTAGCACTGCGTTTAGCCCAGGGCCTGATCCTGGAGACCCAGGATCGAGTCCCATGTCAGGCTTCCTCCATGGAGCCTGCTTCTCCCTCTACGTGTGTCTCTGCCTCTCTCTCTCTCTCTCTCTCTCTCCATCTGTCTTTCATTAATAAATAAAATCTTAAAAATAAAATAAAGTTTTAAAAAAATGAATTGAATATATACAACTAAAATTCAATGAGTATTTGTAAATTGTATATCCACTGTTCATTTTTAAAAAGGCACTTGGCACTATATTGATTATGGAACCAAATTTGTTTACCTTCATGTATTGTATCATATAAAATTTAATCTAGAAAAAAAACTCTTTGCTAAATTTTTAATATTTTGACTAACAAAGAGCCTAAATAGGGGTGTCTGGGTGGTTCAGTCGGATGAGCATCCAACTCTTAATTTTGGCTCAGGTCATGATCACACGGTTGTGAGATTACATAGGGCTGTGCTGAGAGTGTAACCTACTTGAGACTCTCTCTCCCTCTCCTTCCCTAGCCCTGCCCTCTCCCTATCTTAAAAAAAAAAAAAAATCCAAAAATAAACTCACAATGAGTTATATATTAAATAAATTGCAGAACATTATCTTAACAAAGATAATCATCTTACCATTTCTAATAGAATGGCTTGAGTTTTGGCCTCTTTTTCTGCCTTTATTTCTTCTACTTCTTCAGCTGATCTTCCTTTGAAATCATCAATTTCTTCATCTGCTCCTATTCGACCACTCTGTAAGGCAGAAGTTACTTAAACATATAGTAAAAGAACTGAAAAATCTGAGAAACATGGGAGACATGATGATTTATCCTTAGCTCCATCAAATCTGTTAGAATAGAAACTGAAACAAACCTATGAAAATTGATATAAATTAATTTAATAATATGAGCCACACAAAGCTTCTAATTTATTGTTAAAACAAAATATACATTATAAAGAAGCTATCTGGTATCCAAATTACTGCTGAATGCAGAAAAGAAATGATCTTAACAATTAAGCACCAAATCCCAACTATAAAGACCAATTTAGCTTTGAGAAAGCTTCATAAACAGAAACTTATACCTTAAAAAATCTGAGGGAAAAGTCTGCATTATTCTACAAAAATTTCTGGGTTCTAGCATGGTTCCAAAGTGTTCCCAGTTGAAAAGCTCCCTTACAAGATGTTAGTTTAACTGAGCTTTAAAGCTATACTCCTAGAGTTAGGAGACAAGAAAAACATTTTCACAAGGTATTTATATAAGCTTCCAGAGCTAAGGCTCCTCTAGTGGAACAGAAGCTGAAGAACAGAAATTAGGGAAATGAAAAGACAGTTAGAAAAATGAGTTATCTTTATGGAAGAGAAAAAGAATTTTAAACTTGTCCTAGAAGAATTGATCAAGAAAGATAGTCATTCTGAAGAAATAAGTTTTAATAGACTAAAAAGCAAAATCTATGCAAAGCATTAAAATGCATGTACAATCACAAGAGGACTCTACTTACATCTAGCTGTTCCCTCGTAGGTTCTGGTGATCGATCAGGAATTAATAAATCAGGAGGGTCATCAAACGGATCATCTAAAATCACTGTATGATTTATCCTTACAAAATAAATTCAAGTCAAAGGTTACACTTACATTATTTCAGAATCTGTGTTTTACTTTTTATAAAGATAACAAATGTCTCAAGTATCTCTAATGCCCAAAAATCAAAGGCACTTAAATTTTAATGCACCAGTATATATTACTAGAGTGTTCTTTCACAGTTAATATCACTGTTTTTCATTGTTTGATATCAGATTCATTACTCTGGGGGCACCTGCATGGCTCAATGGTTGACCATCTGCCTTGGGCTCAAATTATGATCCCAGGGATCCTGGGATCAAGTCCCATATCAGGCTCCCCTTAAGGAACCGGTTTCTCCCTCTGTGTATGTCTCTGCCTCTCTGTGTGTCTCTCATGAATAAATAAATAAAATCTTTTAAAAAAATTTACTACTCTATTACTTTATTTTATTTTTTTAAAGATTTTTAAAAATGTATTTATTCATAGAGACACACAGAGAGAGAGAGAGAGAGGCAGAGACACAGGCAGAGGGAGAAGCAGGCTCCATGCAGAGAGCCTGACATGGGACTTGATCCAGGGTCTCCAGGATCATACCCCGGCTGCAGGCGGCGCTAAACCACTGCACCACCGGGGTTGCCCTCTGTATTACTTTAATAAATCTAATATTAGTTTGTCTAAATCTTAGTACTTCTACCAAATTTCTCAATAATATACATTTTTAAAAACTAAATTAAAGATTAATAATTCTTCCCAACATAAGCAATTATAAATAATTAGCACAAGTATAAAAATACAAAAAGTCTTTTTTACTTTATGGATTCATATAGTTTTATATTAATTCACATTTTGGAATTATCCAAAAACCAGTCCTATGCTTGCCATTTCCACAAATACCACAGGATTAAAACATTCTAGTATACTGAGATAGCAACCACACCTGATATCTTGATATGGTACAAAGTCCTTGTCAACAAAAGTCTCATTAATTTTCTTAATTATGTCCATGCCTTCTGTCACCTCACCAAACACTGTATGAACACCATCAAGGTAATCTAGATTATCTCCTGTAGTAATAAGAAACTGTATAGAAAGACACAGAAAAATATAAACATGTATCTGTAATTCAAACTGGAATCAGGTACAGACTGACAAAAAACACACAAAACCAATACTCTACATTTAACTGCATGATTTCTTACCCACTTGTTACTAGTACGAATTAAAAAGTACAAGCTTATACATAAAATATCATTATATACACAAGGGCTTCCCTGGTTGTTTAAATACTTGGACAAACCAAAGTTCAGTTTCTTCATATACGAATTGTGAGGGGGAAAAAAAGCATCTGCCCCAAACTAGGTTGTTGTAAGGATTAAACAAGACAATGAATGAAAGGTTCTCAACATGATATGTTTTGAAGTAATAAATACCAAAAGGAAATAGACCATAACGTGAACAGCAATGATCCATGGATAGTATGATTGTGGATAATGTTATTTTTCTTTCATGTACTTTTCTGTATTTTCTGAATTCCTCACAATGGACATGTCTCAAATTTAAAAAAACAAAGCAGGGCAGCCCCGGTGGCGCAGCGGTTTGGCGCCTCCTGCAGCCTGGGGTGTGATCCTGGAGATCCGGGATCGAGTCCCGCTTCGGGCTTCCTGCATGGAGCCTGCTTCTCCCTCTGCCTGTGTCTCTGCCTTTCTCTCTCTCTCTCTCTGAATAAATAAATAAATCTTAAAAAAATATTATTTAAAAAAATTTAAAAAAAAATAAAAAAATAAAAATACAAAGCAGGCGTGCCTGGGTGGCTCAGGTGGTTAAGCATCTGACTTTTGATTTTGGCTCAGGTCAAAATCTCACACTTGTGAGATTGAGCCCCACGTCAGGCTCTGCACTGGGGGTAAAGTCTGCTTAAGATTCTCTCTCTCCCTCTGTCTGCTCCCCCCCCCATAAAAATAAATAAATAATTTTATTTTTAAAAACAAAGTAGTTTCTTATAAAGATTTTATTTTTAAGAAATCTCTATACCAAACACAGGGCTCAAACTCACAACCCTAAGGAGCTGAATGCTCTACTGACTAAGCCAGCCAGGTAACTCCCAAAATAATTTTTTTTATATAGAACACAGTGTAATATTTTTATTCTAACAGATATCGTTGAAATTCTCCTCTTATTGGATAGCTTAAAATGATAACTTGTGGCTCTTTCCAGTCCTTCATTTTAAAATAAAACTCAACTTTTTACTCATTTTCTAACCTGAGATCCATGTTGATCACTTCCATTGTTCACCATGGACACAGTGCCTTTCTTCTTGTGCTTAATTCTTGGCACTTTTTCAGCCTCAAAAAAGCTTGCTTGATCACCATACAGTTGACTAAAAGTACACATAATAAAATTATAATACTGAAGTACTTTCAACATGAAATACAGAAGTACTAGTAACAAATAGGATTACCATTTCTTTATAGAAATGCCACTATGATTCAAAATATTTGTTTTTTTTAAAATTTGCTATAGACATTTAGGGAACTTGGAAAAAATCTATATTTGAACTGTATTTCAAAATGCAGATTGACATATGTTAGATAACACTGTTAAGAGGCAATTCTATTTTTTCTCATTTAGAAATAAAAGAACTCACCCAAAAACAGATTCTCCTCCACGGCCAGTCCCTGTGGGATCACCAGTTTGTATGATAAAATCCCTCTATAATAAATAGGATACTTTGTTAATTCACACAGTTGCTAAATGGTTCCCATAATAAAGGACATGACTAATAACCACCAACTCACCTGTACATTGTGAATAAGACAATAATTATAATATTTTATCTTGCACAACTTTAGGAAATTCAAGCAGGCTGAAAGAAAAATAAATACTAAATTTATCAGTAGTTCAGAAATACATTTTTAAGCAAGTAAAGGCTCTGTTGGCATAATTTAATTTCAAATTACCATACAAACACTCCCCAATGGTCAAACATCCAAAGTCACAAAGAAGGCAGTATGCCTAGAAAAAGGCAATTATTTTAAATTATCTTTTTATTTTCTTTTTCTCAGGACTTTCAGGGCATCTGAGCTAATGCAGGAAACAGGCTTATTTGGAGTAGACAAACATTTATTAATGGATTAGTTTTGCAAGGGAAAAAGAAAACCAAAGAGAATAAATACTATGATGGAAAAGAATCTATCAGAGTAACTGCAAATGGGTACAATTGTATATATTAGAGAAAATTAAATATCTGAGACCAATTTTTAAAATGATGACTAAATAGCTCTTCAAAAACTCCATATGGTAGGATGCCTGGGTGGCTCAGCAGTTGAGGGTCTGCCTTCAGCTCGGGGCGTGATCCTGGAGTCCCAGGCTCCCTGCATGGAGCCTGCTTCTGTCTTTGCCCCTTTCTCCTCTCTCTCTCTGTGTGTCTCTCATGAATAAATAAATAAAATCTTAAAAAAAAAAAAAGTCCTGGGGATCCCTGGGTGGCTCAGTGGTTTATTTAGTGCCTGCCTTTGGCCCAGGGCATGATCCTGGAGTCCTGGGATCGAGTCTTGATCAGGCTACCTGCATGGAGCCTGCTTCTCCCTCTGAGCTCTGCTCCTCTCTCTCTCTCTCATGATTAAATGAATAAAATCTTTTAAAAAATGTTTTTTTAAGTCCATATACTTATCATGTACCAGCTTTCTCATATAAATGAACTCATTTATTCAATAAACATTTATGGAGTATCTTCTAGGTGCATGGCATTGCTACCACAAATGCCATAAAACCATAGTCCCTCCCTTCAAGTTCATAGTCTAGTTAGACATCAAGCTAGAAAACACACAGAAAGACATATGAGGCTCTCCAGGGTCCTTATAACTGAATAAAAATAGTTACTATATAGATGTATCAATACTGGATACATCTGTTAATACCATCATGCCATGTATATAGTAAAATGGTAAAAACTGGTTTTAGGGGCACCGGGGTGGCTCAGTTGGTTAAGTGTCTGCCTTCAGCTCAGGTCATTATCTCAGGGTCCTGGGATCAAGCCCCACATCAGGCTCCCTGCTCAGTGGGAAGTCTGCTTCTCCCTCAGCCCTTTCCCCCTGCTCGTCTTCTCCCTCTCTTATGCTGTCTCTCTCTCTCAAATAAATAAATAAATAAAATATTTTCTTTTTTAAGTGGTTTTACAAAAAACCACAAGAGTTCAAAAGAGGAGTGTTTCTGGCCAGGGAAAATAGAACACCTCACAGAGGCCAATGGTTGACATTAAAAGAACTAGACAGGCAAAGAGTTGAAAGTGAGCATTTCAAGCTGGTAAGACAGTATGAATAAGTCTGGAAGTGCAAATATAAATCTTTTTTGAAGGGTCCAAAAGCCCAGTCTAAGTTCTGTAACACTCTAGTAATAAGAGTAATAGATGGGGTAAACAGACCGGAGGGGTAAGATGGGGCCAAGATATTGAAAGGTCTTGAATATCAGGATTTTGATCGTTTTTCTAGAAAAATATATTTCCGGGATTACTGTTAAGTACAAAAGAGCAGTCCTTTAACTAGAAAACAAAAATAATGAATCTAGGCAGTGATCTTCAATGGCTGCCAAAATCTTTTTTTTTTTTTTTTTAGGATTTTATTATTTATTCATGAGACACACACACACACACACACAGAGGTAGAGTCACAGGCAGAGGGAGAAGCAGGCTCCATGCAGGGAGCCCAACACAAAACCCGATCCCGGGACCACAGGATCATGACCCAGGCCAAAGGCAGAGGCTCAACCGCTGAGCCACCTGGGCGCCCCGGCTGCCAAAATCTTTAGGTGAAAGCTAATGGGGATGCTGCAACATACATCCGATAGACAAGCCTGAACCCACGGACCAATTTTAACTTCGCAGAAAAAGCCAACCAGACGTCAAGTGTTTCCTGAACGTGATACCGCTGAAGTGCAGACTACCTTATATGAAAATATTCTTTGGATGCCTGGATGGCTCAGTGGTTGAGCGCCTGACTTTCACCCAGGACGTGATCATGGAGTACCGGGATCGAGTGCCACAGCCAGCTCCCTGCATGAAGCCTGCTTCTCTCTACCTGTGCTTCTGCCTTTCTTTGTGTTTCCCATGAATAAATAAATAAATAATCTTTAAAAAGAAAAGAAATGAAAATATTCTTGCCAAAAACATTAAACCTATAGCTGATCAAGCCTCTAAGTCTAAGTGGCAATTTATGAGAAACAGAAGAGAGAAAAATATATTTAAAGATACAAGGATAAAGTCAGTCAAATCCAAAACGAGGGAAATTCTATAAAACAAGAGTCAGATTCCTTCTCAAAAAGTTGTTAAGGTAGGGACGCCTGGGTGGCTCAGCAACTGACCATCTGTCTTTGGCTCAGGGTATGATCCTGGGGTTCTGGGATCGAGTCCCACATCGGTCTGCTTCTCCCTCTACCTGTCTCTGCTTCTTTCTCTGTCTCTCATGAATTTAAAAAAAAAAAAAAAAGGTTGTTAAGGTAGAGGTGCCTGGGTGGCTCAGTTAAGCCTCTGACTTGATTTCTGCTCAGGTCATGATCGCGGGGTGCCGGGATGGAGCCCCAAGACGCCTCCATGCAGAGTCACTTGTCCCTCTCTCTCTGTTCCTCCCCTGCTCATACTCTCCCCCCTCTCACTCTCAAACAAGTAAAATCTTTTAAAAAAAAAAGTTGTTAAGGGATAAAAGTGGGGGACCTATACATTAAAAGATAGCAACCAATATAACATATGGACTTTGGCAGTTTTCTTACAAAACTGAATACATTCTTACCATAAATATAGCAATCACACCTCTTGGTATTTACTCAAAGGAGATGAAAATGTATGTTCACACGAAAACCTGCACACACGTTTATAGCAGGTTAATTCACAATTGCCAAAATATGTAAACAACCAAGATGTCCTTTCAATAGGTGAATAAATAAATAACATGTGGTACATCCAGACAATGGAATATTATTATTTGCTACTAAGAAGAAATGAGCTATCAATCCATGAAGACATGGAGGAATCTTAAATACATTTAACACATTGAGAGAACCAAGCCGTAAGGATCATATGCTGTATGATTCCATCCATACAACATTCTGGAAAAAACAAATCTATGGATACAGTAAAAGACCACTGGTTGCCAGGAGTTGGGGAGAGGGGTGCAAATAAATAGGCAGAGCACAGAGGATTTTTAGGGCATGATTTTTCTGTAGGATACTGTAATGCTGGATATGTGTATTATACATTTGTCCAAACCCACAGAATGTGTAACACCAAGAGCATGCCTGGATGTAAACGATGGATTATGATGTGTCAATGTAGGTTCATCAAATGTACCACTGTAATAACAAGTGTACAATGTTACATAGTGCAAACGGTACAAACATACAACAAATATACACTCTGGTGGGAGATACTGAAAATGGGGGAGGCTGCGCATACAGCAATCTCTCTATTCCTTCCCCTCAGTTTTGCTATATATTTTAATTGCTCTAAAAAAGTAAAGTCTTTAAAAATAGGCAAGGGGGGTGGTGAACATAGCATAATGTATAGAGAAGTTGAATCACTATGTTGAACCTGAAACTAATGTACATGTGAAAACTAACTCAAATAAAAAAAAATTTTTTAAAAGGGAAGAAGTAAAACCTATAGATTAAAAGATGTTTAAGAGATATATCAGCCAATAATAAACCTTGTTTGGATCCTTAAATTATCAAATATATATTTTTAAGATTTTATTTATTTATTCATGAGACACATAGAAAGAGAGGCAGAGAGACATAGGTAGAGGGAACCCAATGGGAGACTCAATCCCAGAACTCGAGGATCACACCCTGAGCCAAAGGCAGACACTCAACCACTGAGCAACCCAGGCATCCCAAATTATCAAATGTTTTAGACACTGATGAGACAAAACAAAAATATGAACGGTACAAAAAAAGTTAATTTTTTCAGATGTGATTAATGATTGGGGGTTATTTTTTAATCACATTTTAGAAATATAAATGGAGGGCAGCCCGGGTGGCTCAGTGGTTTAGCGCCGCCTGCAGCCCAGGGCCTGATCCTGGAGACCCGGGATCGAGTCCCATGTCGGGCTCCCTTCAGGGAGCCTGCTTATCCCTCTGCCTGTGTCTCTGCCTCTCTCTTTCTCTGTGTCTTTCATGAATAAATAAAATCTTTTTTTTAAAAAAAGAAAGAAATATAAATGGAAGTAACTGCAAATTAAATAAATCCCATGTAACGGATACAAAAAATCCAGTATAAATTAAACAATATTGGTTATGTGTTGACAACTGTTCATTAATTGTTCACTTGCAAATGAGGGCTCATTTTTGTGACTCTATTTCTATATATAAGTTTTCTACAACAAAAAGTAAGAAAAGGAAAGAAACGGAAGGGAGAGAGGGAGGAAAAAAGGAAGAAAAATAGGTTTGGATATATGTTTACTAAAAATCGATAAGGGGGACGCCTGGGTGGCTCAGCGGTTTAGCGCTGCCTTCAGCCCAGGGCCTGATCCTGGAGACCTGGGATCGAGTCCCACGTCAGGCTCCCTGCATGGAGCCTGCTTCTCCCTCTGCCTCTCTCTCTCTGTGTCTTTCATGAATAAATAAATAAATACACACACACACTAGTCACCCTAATGGGCCTTTAGTGTGTGCAAAGTGGCAAGCATTGCATTAGGTGCTTAGGATAGAAAGACAAGGAAGCCGCAGTCGCAGCTCTCTTCCTAGTTTACATCCTTGAGAGGAGACAAGATTTGCAAACAATTCCAGGATAACAGGTAAATGACACAACAAAATGCGTTACATGCTGTTTTAAAAAGATCTCGGAGCAGAAGAAACAGATCTAACTCGGCTTAGGGACAAAGGAGAGCTTCACAGAAGAAATCATTCTTGATCCAAGGTTTGAATAATAAACAGGATGTCTGCCAAAAGCACAACAGTAGAGATAATGTGGGAGTAGAAGCAACAGCCTAAGAAAGACATGGATGCATGACTGAGCCTGTAATGTGGCGAAGTGGGCGTGGGGGGTACAACGGAGTGTGGGATAGAGTGTAACATGCAGGAAGGCACTTACAGTTTGTACTGTACCTTGTTTCATCCTCTTTGATAAACTGCATTCCAAGGGCACAAGATCCTGATTGTAACTAATCTCTTTGGCCTCTAGTTTCTCCCTGCTTTGCTACATTCTCCGCGCTGTTGCCTGTTATCTTCCTAAAACAAGTTGGCTACGCCTCAATCCTGCTTTTAAAACCTTCAAAGACCCTACTCCTCAGTAGGGCACACAGGACTATTCACATCCGACCTAACAGATACAACCTACACCATCAGACTCCTAGTCTGCCATTCCACGTCACGTATCATTCCTTCAAGCCATACCAAACCACGTGCTGTTTCCAGAAAAATTCCAAGCAAAACTTAAACACAAAAAAGAACACCCTCACTCCCGCTCATCCCTGAAAGGGCTAGTTCCAAGTGTTCTACTTTCTTCACTTTCTTCGCTTTCTTCGCTTCTCCCCGCCCCCAACCGGGAAGAATTACTCCCTGCTCCGGTTTCCATGGCAACTTACACATTCTTCCACTACAACACTTACAATGGGTTGTAAGACAACACTTAAAGGGACTCCCACGTCTGTTTCTCCCAGGGGAAGATGAGACCCGCAAGGGCACGCCGCCTGTCCCAGGGCTTGCCACAGCGCGGCACCGCAGCGACCCGTGAGTGTCCGCCAGGGCGCCGAGCCTGTCTCCGCACAGCCCTTCCTCCACCCAGGCGGGACGCTCACGCTCACTGCTCCAAACACATCCTTTCGGCTTCCATCGGGACTCAGCGATTACACGCCAAGGAATACAGGTTGTGCTCCTCTCCCGAGGAAAGCGCAGTATAAAGTCACAAAAGCTATGGGCATGATTCGTGCAGCCTGCAACGCACACACACACACGATGCCACAAGCGCCCGCCACCTGAACCGCCAGCCTCAGACACCGGAGGGAGGCTGCTCCTCACAAAACTTCCCGCACCACGGCCCGCTAATAAAACAGCCCAGTCGTGGGCACCAGGAGCCCAGAAGCTCGAACCCAGTCAGGGGGACCGGGCAGCGAAGGGACAATTGGGGAAAGGAGATAGTGGCCCCGGCGAGGTGCGAGCCGGGCCAGGGGCTCACCGCGCGGCCGCTCCTCGGTGTACAGATCGATGACGACGTCGCCCAAAGTGGTTTCCAGCAGAACCGCCATGGCGCCCGCTCCTCCTCCGCAACAAGCCGCGGGGTGTGACAGGCGCAGCCCGGCGTGGTCTACGCCACGCGTCACTCTCGGCGCGACGCCTCTGTACGTCATCGCTCCGGCGACGCCCCCCTCCCCTCGGCGCGGCCCGCCCGGTCAGTGCCCGGCCCGCCCACACAGGCGTGGGGGTTCCCGCCGCCGTTTTGGAAATCCTGTTTCTTCCAGGGCGCCCGGCGCTGAAGCCTGTGTCTCATAAGAGGACTTTGGTAAAGGTTTTTGTGCCTCCTTTGCGTCCATCACAGCAACGGGGCGGGCCTTCGAGGGGCGCCTTTCTTCTCTGTTCCTCCGGAAGCATCAAGAGTGACTACGGCGCCAGCTTCTCCCACAATCTTTCTTGTTGGGGGTTTCCTTTTTTTTTCTTTTTTTTTTTTTAAAGATTTTTGTTTATTTATGTGAGACACAGAAAGAGGCAGAGACACAGGCAGAGGGAGAAGCAGGCTCCATGCCGGGAGCCCGGCGTGAGACTCGATCCCGGGTCTCCAGGATCACGCCCTGGGCTGAAGGCGGCGCTAAACCGCTGAGCCACCGGGGCTGCCCTCCTGGGGGGGGGGGGGGCCCTAATCAGTGTCTCCTCGTTGTCCTGAATCCAACAATGTACAGCTTGTTACCCCGAAAGGTGGTTACCGAGGAGTTCTTCCTTGGCTCATCGTGCCTAGGACGGAAGCTGTGTTAACAGTGACTGGTCCTTAGTGCGACAAGCTGAGAAACAGTCGCCTCAGCCCCAGACCAGATCACTACTGGTTTTGTCAATCATATTTTACTTTGGAGACTTGGAAAATGACTTTTGGCCTCTGTTGAGGGTTTCCATGCCAAGTTTATTCCCCAAAGCCTCCTGACCAAACAGATCAGCCACTTTTATACCATTTTACACATACTCAGAGCTTCTAGTTGAACATTTAAGTAAAAGCCAACGTTTTCATAACGGCCCTCAAGGCCTTCCGTGATACTCTGCTGCCGCGCCTACCTGTCTCCTCTCTTACTCTGAAGCCACACTAGACTTTTGCAAGACTCTTTGGACACTGTTGGCCTTACTGCCTCTGGGTCTTTAGGCTTGCTGCCCACGCTGGTTAGAACCCGCCTCCACTTGCATGGTTCTCCTTCACCTCCTTCAGGCCTCCTGCTCACTTGTCACCTCTGAGCGAAGCCTGCCATAATTAAGCCCACGGACATACACCTGTTTTTCTCCATTAAGGCTTTTTCCCTATGGCGCTTTTTTACTGTCTGACATGCTATTTATGAATTTGTTTACGATAAGTATGAATTTATGTTTATATTGTTACTAAAACATTAACTCTAGGGGCGCCTGGGTGGCTGAGCGGTTAAGCGTTTGCCTTCAGTCCGGGGTGTGATCCTGGAGACCCGGAATCGAGTCCCACGTCGGGCTCCCTGCATGGAGCCTGCTTCTCCCTCTGCCTGTGTCTCTGCCCCTCTCTCTGTCTCTCGTGAATAAATAAAATCTTAAAACAAAATAAAATGTAAGCTCTAGAAGGCTATAGCCTATTCTGCCTGTTTTGTTTACTGCTGTATCCCCAGTGCCATGACAGCGTGCCACACAATGGATAATAAATAATAGTTGAGTGAATGAATATTGAGAAATGCAAATGAAGATAACAATGAAACTGTTGATGGGAATGTAAAATGGTACAGCTATTTTTTTTTAAGATCTTATTTTTTATTTATTCATGATAGACACAGAGAGAGAGAGAGAGAGAGGCAGAGACACAGGCAGAGGGAGAAGCAGGCCCCATGCGGGGCTTGATCCCAGGACTCCAGGATCACACCCTGGGCCAAAGGCAGGCGCTAAACTGCTGAACCACCCAGGGATCCCCAGTACAAGTATTTTGGACACTGTAGAAAACTCATGTAATCTTTTCCCAATTTAGTGCTTGCTTCTGCAGCACGTATACTAATCTTTTCCCAGTATAATTTTAATAGTAAGACTAGAGATTAAAGGGTAATATTTGGTAAACTTCTGTATATGTATGCTTAAAAGAAATATATCAAGAAAAAAAAGGATTTGGAAAAATTAAATGATTTTTAAAGAAAATTTGGATTATTCAAATAATTAGAAATTTACATAATAAATATGAGGAATGGGGACACCTGGGTGGCTCAGCAGTTGAGCGCATCTGCTTTCTGCTCAGGGTGATCCTGGAGTCCCTGGATCAAGTCCAATATCGGGCTCCCTGCATGGAGCCTGATTCTCCCTCTGCCTGTGTCTCTGCCTTTCCCTCTGTGTCTCTCATGAGTAAATAAATAAAATCTTTTAAAAAAAATACCTTATTATTTATTGTTCAGTGTGTAATTTGCTATATCTTTAAGTTATGCACTACTATATATATACATATATACTTATATATACATATACACATTGATATATCACTAAATATCAAATATTCTACCTTCGTAGGGAAAATATTTCGTGATGTTATATAATTTATGCTTGTCAGCATCTTATACACTTAGAACTCTAATGGTATAAATACTTAAAGTGGTTTATATAGTAGATACATAGGTGAAAAGAAATGAGATATCCATGGGCACCTGGGTAGCTCAGTTGATTAAGCATCTGCCTTCCGCTCAGGTCATGATCTCAGGGTCCTGAGATGGAGTCCCCCCATCCAGCTCCTTGCTCAGCCTCGAATCTGCTCCTCCCTTTCCCTCGGCCCCTCCCTCTCTCTCAGCCTCTCCCTACTGCTTGTGCTCTCTCTCAAATAAATAAATAAAATCTTATTTAAAAAATGAGATATCCTTCAGAATTCTACCAAATGTAACTACTAAGGTAGATTTAGTCTAGAGAAAAGATTAGTAGATCTGTATTCCCTTCTAAATATCAACATCATCAATCATCATAACTAATTTCTCTGTTGACATCACTTTATATAGTTAATCTGAACAACCACATTCAAATGTCTTCAGCCTTACTAAAATCGCCAAAAGTAAAATCCTGATATTAGATGGCTAAATGCATGAACAAAAAAACACATATTTATGATCATATGTGGTGCAGAAGTATTCCTGTGTTTGGCAAGTCTAGCACGATTTTCTTTATTCACCTTCCGTTCCTTGTCCAGCTTTTCCCCACACCCTGAGGAATCTTAGTTGGGTGAACTGAGATTCATCCCAGTCACGTTGTCATAACATTTACAGTAATATATCTGGGACAGTGGTAGTCCAGGGGTTTGAGAACATTTTTGGCTGGCTGGAAAGCAGGACGTTTTGCCTCTTTGGAGGCAATCTTTACCTGTTTCTTCATTTGCCTGTCCTTGTCAAGAACTTTAACTGCCTTTTCTTTGTTGTGATTATTTTATCATTAACCGTTTCAGTAGATGTTTCAGTATGGTGTTTAAAAATGTAGGTTTGGGCAGCCCCAGTGGTGCAGCGGTTTAGCGCCACCTGCAGCCCAGGGTGTGATCCTGGAGACCCTGGATCAAGTCCCACCTCAGGCTCTCTGCATGGACCCTGCTTCTCCCTCTGCCTCTCTCTCTCTCTCTCTCTCTCTCTCTCTCTCTCTCTCTCTCTCGTGTCTCTATGAATAAATAAATAAAAATCTTTTAAAAAATGTAGGTTTTATTATTATTCATGAATGATGAAGCCAACAGATCAGGACATGATCGCCATTGAAAAGATAGTTACAATTCTCAAAGGGGTAAGGGGTGAGGGGACAGGGAGGAGGCACACCATGCCATGCAAGGCCAAAGAGAAAAATACCACGGTTGGTCAGGAGGGGTGGAAGGAGCCCAGAGGAAACTATAGGCAGGAGTCCTTATTGTGGTTCCCTGGAGAAGGTGAGACAAAGTAGGATAAACAGGCTTAGAATCTGCTAGTTTGAATAATTTCAGCAGTCTCTGGAGTATAAAAGCTATCTCTAGGGATGCCTGGGTGACTCAGAAGTTGAGTGTCTGTCTTTGACTTGGAGCGTGATCCTGGGGTCCGGGATTAAGTCCCATGTCAGGCTCTAGAGGAGAGCCCGCTTCTCCCTCTGCCTATGTCTCTGCCTCTTTCTCTCTCCGTCTCTCATGAATAAATAAAATCTTTAAAAAAATAAAAAAAATAAAATAAAATCTATCTCTAGTTGTTTGGTACCTGGCCCTGGGATGATTAGGACAGAGGAATATTGCCTCCTGGACCTTAAAAGCCTGATAGAGGAGGGGATTTAGAATATGGGCTCTGGATCGGTTGTTGCCTATAAAAGGTAAATTAATAGAAAATACATATTGGTCTTTGTCCCCAGTTCCTGGCATGGAGCTTCTGAAACCTTGTAATTTCCTGAGTGATAAGATACTAGGAGCATCCCTTGTTCTAAGATTGGTGTCCCTCTCTCTCTGTTTTTGAAGTAAGCTCCAGGCCCAGTGTAGGGCTTGAACTCATACCCCACCAAGATTGAGAGTCACATGCCCTACCAACTGAACCAGTCAGGTTGCACCTAATACTGGTCTTTGACTCTATTCCTGACACAGAGCTCCGAAACCCTTGCAATTTCCTGGTTGATAAGAGTGTCTTTTGTTCTAGTGAGGTAACTCTGGGTGGGCTTCTGGCCGGCTCCTGGATGAGGGCTGGTCACCAGAAAGACCAAGATGTGAGTGGAAGCTTAGAATTTTCAGCCCTGCCCCTCATTCTCTTGAGGTGAGACAAGGGCTGAAAATGGAGTTAATGATTGATGATGCCTCCATTAAAATCTCATAAGGACAGGGTTCAGAGAGCTTCAAGTTCGGTGAACAGGGGGAGAAGCAAGGAGTATGGCCTGCCTGGAGAGGGCACGAAAGCTCCACCCCTTCCCTTACTCTACATACCTTAACTCTACGCATCTCTTTGCACCAGGCTGTTCATCTGTACTCTTTTAATTAACTGGTAAACACAAGTGTTTCCCTGAGTTCTGTGAGTCGCTCTAGCAAATTAATCCATGGGGTGGGCGTGGGGGGTGAGGGGCGTGGCATTGGAACCTCTGCTCTGTAGCTGATTGGTCAGAAGCGCAGGTAATAACCTGGCTTGCAGTTAGCATCTGAAGTGTGTGTGGGTGAGAGGAGGCTGTGGCTGTCTTGGTGGACAGAGCCATTTTCCTGTGGAATCTGATGTAATCTCTAAGTAGATACTATCAGAACTGAATTAAATTGTAGGACATTTAGCCGGCGTGGCAGAGAATTGCCTATTGGTGCGTGCCAAAACCTCCAATAAACTCCAACTCTAGCAGGCTTCTTCTTTTGTTTTTTGGGTTTTTTTGTTTTGTTTTGTTTTGAAGATTTTGACAGGGAAAGAGAGAGGACAAGCAGGGGGACTGGGAGAGGGAGGAGCAGGCTCCCCGCTGAGCAGGGAGCCAGACTTGAGACTGGATATCAAGACCCTGGGATCATGACCCCAGCGGAAGGCAGACACCCAACTTACTGAGCCACCCAGGCACTCTTTTTTTTTTTTTTAATTCATTTATCTGAGAGAAAGAGCGAGCACAAGGAGTAGCAGATGGTGAGGGAGAAGCAGGCTTCCTGCTGAGTGGGGAGCTCAACTCTGGGCTCTATCCCAGAACCCTGAGATCATGACCTGAGCTGAAGGCAGACACTTAACTGACCGAGCCACCCAGGTATCCCTCTAGCAGCCTTCCTAGAGCTCAGAGCTAGCTATGGAGACAAAAAAGTAGAAAGATAATGAATTGTCAGACTATGGGAAGGGATCTGTTGGGAAACAGACTACTTCACTTTCCATGTCTACTTTTTCATGTAATGTGTTCTGATCTCCAGATTCGTTTTTGATCCCAGCAGTCTGAAATAGAGTGAAAAACCAGGTGGTTGCAGTTGGAACCCAAGAGTGAGTGGGACTTCACTGCAGAAACCACTTGCAAGTTGATACTGTTGTTGTTGCATATCTTACTGCAGGCAAGGAGTTAGTTGAATGATTTTTTAGTATACCCTACCAAGATTTTATTGGGAGAAGGGTTGATATAAAGGGCTATATGTGAAGCAGACTTGTGTTCTTTCCATGTCAAAGTTAAAAAGACTAAATGTTTCTAATTCTGCCTCGAATGGCAGTGTCTCCAAGTTCTCAATCAATATTCAATATTAATCTGAAATGCCTGACTTTCCTGGTATTCTCTGCTTTAGAGAGTTTCATAAAATATTTATTTCTAAATATGAAAGAGGAAAGAGGGACGCCTGGGTGGCTCAGCGGTTGAGTGTCTGTCTTTGACTCAGGGAGTGATCCCGGAGTGCCAGGATCCAGTCCCACGTCGGGCTCCCTGCATGGAGCCTGCTTCTCCCTTGCCTGTGTCTCTGCCTCTCTGTGTCTTTAATAATTAAATAAATAAAATATTTTTTTAAAAAAAGGTGAGGGGGGAGGAGAGAAGTCTATCATCTTCATTTTGTAGATTAAAAGACTGACTAGAAAAGAGCCCAGAGGGCAGGTGGAGTAGCTTCCTGCGGGGAGTGTTGTTCCCAAGGCGCCTACAGTGATCCACTGAGGGTTGAACATTGGATGCGCGGCTTATCCTCAGCCCTGGTGCAATAAACACGGGGGAACAGCATCCCAGACTAATTAAATCAGAAACTAGGTTGCCCTGTAAGACCCCAGAACAGTCATTTTTATTATTTATTTTAAAAGATTTTATTTATTCATGAGAGATAGAGGCAGGGACATACCTAGGCAGAGGGAGAGCAGGGGCTCCCTGCAGGGACCCCGATGCGAGGACTCGACTCTGGGATCACGACCTCAGGGGAAGGGCAGGTGTTCAACCACTGAGCCACCCAGGTGCCCCGAACCAGTAATTTTTAAAACCGCCCAGGCAATTCCCAGGAGCAGCCAAGGGTGAGAACTACCGATTTAATAAAATTCCCCCTCTAAACGTGACATATTCTGTCTATAATGTAGTTTTCTTTGATATTACCATTATTCTCATTTTATGCACATGTAAAATATATGCACACAGAGATATAGCTACGTGCATAGGTACATAGACTAGTTCTGTTAGTATACTCTAATTTCAAAGTAATGTCAACGAAAACATCCTCCCTCCCAGGGTTGGCCGCTCTCTCCAACCGAGACCGCCAGTCTAATGACGAAATCGGACCTGCCCGGGCTTGACTCCGCCCCCACCTTTGGCGGCGGCGCGCATGCGCAGCCCGCCTTTCCCGGAGCGGAGCCGTCCCTGCCACTGGCTCCTTCCCGGGCCCGGCCCGCCCCCTCAATCCGGGTCCCGCCCCCCGACAGGCTCGCCCCGCCCCCGGCCCCGCCCCCCCGGCGGGCTCGGCCCTGGGCTCCCGGCCGTCCGCCGTCGCCGGCCTGTCCAAGATGGAGGGCTCTCCGCCCGCGCCGTTTGCCCTCCGGCTGCTCCTGCTCGCGGCGCTCCCGGCCGCCGGGTGGCTGATGACGGTTACCCAAGAGCTGCCACTGCGATCCCGGGCCCTGAAGGTAGGGCAGGGCGGGCGCCGCTCGGCCGCTCCTCCGCCCCCAGCCTCCGGGGAGGCCCGGGCGGGAGTCGCGGGACTTCGGCGTCCGTAGGTTTGTTGCCACCGGCCGGCGGGCCAGGGGCGGGGTCCGGGTGCCCAGGAGAGGAGTGGGGAGCAGCCCCAAGGACGTGGGGCAGCCGGGGAGGAGGAGGCGAGAGGGCGAAAAGGGGTCCTTGGTGTGCGGTTGCGCCTCGGGCGCCCAAGTCGGGGATTCTTAGGGCCGTCCCGCCGTGGCCAGCCGGAGGGGGTTTTGCCGTCGGAAGGACGATCACAAGTGCTCTCAGGCTTTGGTAATGGCGCCTTCCCGGGGATGCCCCGGCCCCGGCCCCGGCCCCGGCCCCGGCCCCGGGGCCAGGCAGTGTCCGTGCCTGTGTGCTCGGGAAGTGTTCTCGGTGAGCGAAGGGGAGCGAGCGATCCCAGGCCACCTGTCTGCCCGGCGGCGGCGGGAAGCACTGCCCCCCCCCCCCCCGCGAGCGGGGCGGGCACGGCTGGGGCCCACGGGACCGCACGCGGAGAGGCCCGAGACCCGACGCTTAGGTTAGCGGGAGCGGCTCTTGGAGCGTGGCGGGACCAGCCCAGCCCCACCGGCATCGCCTGGGAACCTGCCCGAAACGCACCGACCCGATGCTCTGGGGGTGGGGCCCGACCGTGGGTGTCAGCAAGCCCTCCGCTCCAGGGGCTTCTGCGGCCAGCTAAAGTCGGGGCACCCCTGCGCCCCTGGGCTACAGGGGGGCCGGTTCTTAACCGCTTTTGCCGGGGGTCATGCTGAAATAAACCAGTATTTGCCATCCATCGATTGAATGTATGATTGGGAAAAGTTTGAAGATTTTAAAAAGGGGACTTTCCCAGGATGAAAAGAAACAATATAGCTATACTGTTCCTTACTGGTCAAGACTTGAATACTCTAAATTCAGGGGTGACTTAACACCCTATCACTTTTTTTCTAAAAACACTTTAAAAAAAAAAGATTTTATTTATTTATTCATGAGACAGAGAGAGAGAGAGAGAGAGAGGCAGAGACACAGGCAGAGGGAGAAGCAGGCTCCAATGCAAGGAGCCTGATGTGGGACTTGATCCCGGGACTCCAGGATTACACCCTGGGCCGAAGGCAGACGCTCAACCGCTGAGCCACCCAGGCGTCCCTAAACTTTTAATAACACTACTTTCTCTGAGAAGAGAAATAACCAGCATATCTCAGTTTCAGTTCTGCTAGGCATTTCAGTATTTTTTTTTCCTAAGATTTTATTTATTCATGATAGACACACAGAGAGACGCAGAGAGAGAAGCAGGCTCTCTGCAAGGAGCCTGATGCAGGCAGGACTTGATCCCAGAACCCCCAGATGGGGACCTGAGCCAAAGGCGGACTTAACTACTGAGCCATCCAGGTGCCCCTACTGGGCATTTCAAGAAACCACAACAGGGCAGCCCCGGTGGCTCAGCGGTCTAGCGCCGCCTGCCGCCCAGGGCCTGATCCTGGAGACCTGGGATGGAGTCCCACGTCGGGCTCCCTGCATGGGGCCTGCTTCTCCCTCTGCCTGTGTCTCTGCCTCTCTCTCTCTCTCTCTGTCTATCTCACTATCTCTCATGAGTAAATAAATTAAAAAAAGAAAAAAACCACAACAATGAAAGCCAAAAGAACCCCTTGTATCTGAAATTGTATGTGGACCACAGTTGCAACTGGTTAAAAATAGGAATGTGATTGGCCAGCACCAAGAGACCAGATAAAAATGAAATGATTTTTAAAGTTCTGGAAATATATTATTTTCTAAATTTTAAAGATTCATGATCATCAACTAGTGAATCCAAAGACATTTGAGTCTGTCCCTATAGTCTGAGAAAAATGCATTTTGACTGCAAGCTGAAAGTACTGCACTGTGGGCTTAATGAGGTCGTTGAGGTCGTCATTTCAGTTCTGCCTTTTAACGCCTTCCTTCCACTTTTGGAAAGTCCAGATCTAAACTCAGAATTTCAGGGACACCTGGGTGGCTGAGTCAGTTAAGCATCTGCCTTGGGCTGTGGTGATCTCAGGATCTTGGGATGGAGCCTCACTTTGGGCTCCCTACTTAGTGGGAAGTCTGCTTCTCCCTCTGCCTTTCCGCACCTCTGGTGCTCTCTCTCTTTCTCTCTCTTTCAAATAAATAGGGATGCCTGGGTGGCTCAGTGGTTGAGCGTCTGCCTTCGGCTTAGGGCGTGATCCCAGTTCTGGGATCAAGTCCGGCATTGGGCTCCCTGTGTGGAGTCTGCTTGTCCCTCTGCTTGTGTTTCTGCCTCTCTCTCTGTGTCTCTCGTGAATAAATAAAGTAAAATCTTAAAAATCAAATAAGTAAATATTAAAAAAAACCCTCAGAATTTCATAGATGAAAGAATGCTGAGCAGAGAAAGGGAGCATCTCATTCCTTGGATATGTTTACACGGGAAGCTGAAGCCCTTGATCTAAATTGTTCAGTGTTTTATCTTGAAAATTTTCTTTTCTTTTTTTTAAGTAGGCTCCATGCCCAGCATAGAGCCCATTAAGGAGCTTGAACTCAAAACCTTGACTGAGATCAAGCCCTTAGCCAGGATCAAGAATTGGATGCTTAACCGACTGAGCCACCCAAGCACTCCTATTTTGAAATTTTTCAAATGTACGGAACATTTGAAAGAATGTCACAGTGGTCACCATGTTAGATAAGTGTCATCTACTGGACTTCCATGTAGTGATGGTGTTTGTTTGCTCTCTCCATTACAGTAGTCACCAGACTGCTGTAATTATTGAGTGCTTGAAATAATGGCTGACCAGGGCAACAGAGGAGCTGAGTTTTTAAACTTTTATTTATTTAATTTTAATTAATTTAAATATAAATGACCCATGTGGTTAGTGGGTACCACATTGAATAGCGCAAACTTAGACCACCATTAATATTTTGTTATACTGGCTTTATGCTTTATGACATCTGTTTACCTGTTCATTTTTGTATTCTAACTTGATCTTTTAGTAAGAAAACTGATTGAAGTCAAGAAAATTCTCTCCATATCCCCTCAGTGATGCAGATCTACTGGACTATAGGCATTTTTCTGTTTTGTTTACATGTGCAACTGTTAGAAGTTGAGGTTACCCCACATTGTAAAATAATGCAAATTTTTGTAGTACATTCTTCTAATGTTAAAATAACTTGCTCATCAAAGAAAGACATCCAGAGGACACATATTTTCTTTTCTTTTTTTTTTTTTAAAGGTTTTACTTATTTACGAGAGACACACAGAGAGAGGCAGAGGGAGAAGCAGGCCCCATGCAGGGAGCCCGATGCGGGACTCGATCTTGGGACTCCAGGATCACACCCTGGGCCAAAGGCAGGTGCCCAACTGCTGGACCACCCAGGCGTCCCCACATATTTTCTTATATGTGTATTTATTTCATATACTTCCCTGAAACTTAATTCATTTATCTTTTTTTAAATTTTTTTATTTATTTATGATAGTCACAGAGAGAGAGAGAGAGAGGCGCAGAGACATAGGCAGAGGGAGAAGCAGGCTCCAGGCACCGGGAGCCCGACGTGGGATTCGATCCCGGGTCTCCAGGATCGCGCCCTAGGCCAAAGGCAGGCGCCAAACCGCTGCGCCACCCAGGGATCCCTAATTCATTTATTTTAAACGAGGTATTTATTACCTTTGTCCTTAGGAAGCCATGTGTACCAGCTGGGCATCTTGTGAGTGAAGGAATTAGAGGAGGGATTGAAAATGGGTGGGTAGAAACTTCAGTTCTGCCACCCACTCTTTAAGTATCCGCCACCCTGGCTCCCAAGCTTGAACTTCCAGTTCAGTCAGAGGCTCTCAGGAATAGCAAGAAATATGACCTATCTCTGAACTTGAGCCCAGGGGGCAGTAAGGGATTAAGGTCTCTTTTGAAATGAAATCATTCGGAAGGAGCAAAAAGTTTAATTGAATTTGGTTCTCTACAAAATACAGCAGAATAGTGTCTGCTGTCTTTTACAAACCCCAGATTTCACTATGCAAGTGATATATGTAAGTGCAGTAAGTATACAGCAGTATAGCGTATGTTCACTACTGAAAGGCTGAAGGTGTGAAAAGGTTTCTTGGAATGCCATCATTGTAGGGTTATTTCTGGGCTGTTAGAAGAACAATATAGTGAAAAGAGGAATTCTTGGCTGGAATTAGAACACAAAAAAATATAACCACCAGTTTGATGACTTACTGAATGTTGGTTTGTTCTAGAGATGAGTGTATTGGTTCTAGCCCATGCTTCATTCTAGATTAGGGTGGACCAGGAGAAAGCCAGACTGGTTCTGAAGCTTCCTAAGCCCCCATGCAAATTGGCAAGTGTACCAAATGTATAATACAGGCTTTCCATATTAGAGTCCTGTTCCTTGAATAGCATCATCTCAGTCTCATAAAATCATTTCAGTCTTTTTCTCATTTGCTGGAAATATATAAAATATTGGAGATAGTCACAGTGCTAAGAGATCCACTTGTATATTATTTTTTTAAAGATTTTATTTATTTATTCATGAGAGAGAGAGAGAGAGAGAGAGAGAGAAAAGCAGACACAGGCAGAGGGAGAAGGGGGCCCCATGTAGGGAGCCTGATGTGGGACTGGGTCCTGGGACTCCAAGACCAAGCCCTGGGCCAAAAGCAGGCACTAAACTGTTGAGCCACCCAGGGATCCCCTGTATATTATTTTGATTATGAATAATTTTCCTATTTTCAAAGTTAAAAATACCCCCAGGAAAAAAATATTTTTTATTCTAGGATAACAGTATCTAATTGTGAATAAACTTAGGTAAGGATTTGCTTTACAAATGACAAACTGTAATTCCTCTTAGAAATATTGGTGAATACTTCTTAACAGTGTTTTCTTCTCTTTAGAAGGTGTGTCATTAATAAATTTAAATATTTGAGTAACTGCCTTTGAGCATACCTTGAGAGACACTAAAACTGTGCACAATACATACATGTCCACAGACCCTATGGGACATACTTAAGAAGGGTTAGATCAGGGGTGCTTGGCTAGGTCAGTCAGAGGAACATGTGACTATTGAGTTCAAGCCTCATATTGGGTGTAGAGATTACTAGGAAAAATCAATAAACTTAAAAAAAAAAAGGTTAGAGCAGTCTTGTTCAAAGAAAACAAAAAAGTTGGAAACTATTCCAACGTCCATTGATAGTGGAAAAATAAGTAAATTGGTAATCATTTGATGCGTTTTATACAGCACTGTAAATAAATGTCTTCAGCTGGTTGCATCAACAGTTTTAAATAAAAGAAGTTCCAGAAGAATACATGCAAAATTGTTTCACTTATATAAAGCACAGAAACAGATAAAACTAAACAACTTATTGTTTAGAGAGAATGACACACAGTAAAAGTATAAAGAAAAGTAAGAAATGATTAACATGGAAGAGATATTTCTTCTGAGGGAAAGGAGGAGAACAAGACAGAGAGGGTTATGCCCAGGACTTCTAAGGTGTGGACAATACCCTAGTTTTTAACCTAGGGAGTAGGTACATGAGTGTTAATTTTTTCTTTCAAGTCCTACATTTGCATATTATATGTTCATAAATGTGATATATTTCATAACTAAGAAAAAACACATGAAAAGTTGGAATTATGAATGAGGGCATAAAAAAGGCTGTAAAATTAAAATGCTGGGTTTTAAAAAATGTTCTTTTGCTGTTATAAGTGATTATACAATAAATATAATTGAGGGGAAAAGAAAAACTGAGTTATTCTTACTTAGTGAAATGCATACCTATCCAATTTATATGTTTTGCAGGACAGCATCAGAATTAATGTATCTACCCTGAAAGATGATGGGGAGGTATCTAAAGAACAGGTTTGTCTACTTTTGATTATGTTTTTAATATATAACTTAGCTAAGTATTAGGCAGCCTATGTTATTTTTCCCCACAAATCTATTTTACTTAGGTAATGTATTTTTGACATGAAGAATTTGTCATCATTTTTAAACCATTGGAATTAACATATATGCTGCTTTATTTTAAGGTTGTTCTTAACATAACCTATGAGAATGGACAGGTATATGTAAATGACTTCCCTGTAAATAGTGGTGTAACGCGAATAAGCTGTCAGACTTTGATAGGTGAGTACTATTAAATTATTTCTGTAATTGTTCTGTTTTTAGTAATACTAAATTTGTGAAACACGGTTCTTTATGTGATGAATTTCCATTTTAAGTTAATACTATACATCATTACTGGAGTGTATACTAATACGACTGTGTTTAAAATTCAAATCCTACTTTATATTGGTTATTCCTAGCGTATTCCTATTTCTTTCTTGTGAGATTGGCATTGATGGGAGCTTCATTTCTGGTAGGTTGAGATCGATGTAAGAATGTACAGAGAGGTAATAAGGGAGATTTACAAGTAAGAGGCAAAATCTTGGAGGAGTACTTATCACAATTATACAAAAATAAAGAGAAAAATAAGCTATTGGCCTAATTCTCTGGTTTTCTGTTTCTTCTATCCTTATATCCAGATGATACTTTTTTTTTTTAAGATTTTATTTATTTATTCATGAGAGACACAGAGGCGGGGGCGGGGGGAGGGCAGAAACATAGGCAGAGGGAGACGCAGGCTCCATGCAGGGAGCCCGATATGGGACTCGATCCCAGGACTCCAGGATCATGCCCTGGGCCAAAGGCAGGCACCAAACCGCTGAGCCACCCAGGGAGCCCGACATTTTTTTTTTTTTAAGATTTTATTTATTTGAGAGTGAGTGAGAGAGAGCACACAAGCAGGGGCAGAAGGAGAGGGGAAGAGAGAGGGAGAAGCTGGAGCAGGCGCAGGTTCCCCGCTGAGGAGGCAGCCCGATGCGGGTCTGGATATCAGGGCCCTGGGATCATGACCTGAGCCAAAGGCAGACACTCAACCAACTGAGGCACCCAGGTGCCTCAGATAACATTCTTTTTAACCTTTTAAAATCTTGAGTTGGGGGTCGCCTGGGTGACTCAGTGCCTTTGGCTCAGGGCGTGATCCCAGGATCCGGAATCGAGTCCCATGTTGGGCTCCCTGCATGGAGGCTGCTTCTCCCTCTGCCTGTCTCTCTCTCTCTCTCTCTCTCTCTCTCTCTCTCTCTGCCTCTCATGAATAAATAAATAAAATATTTTTTAAAAAATAAATAAATCTTGAGTTGGGCAGCCCGGGGGGCTCAGCGGTTTAGCGCCGCCTTCAGCCCAAGGCCTGATCCTGGGGACCTGGGATTGAGTCCCACATCCGGCTCCCTGCATGGAGCCTGCTTCTCCCTCTGCCTGTGTCTCTGCCTCTCTCTCTCTGTGTATCTCTCATGAATAAATAAAATCTTTAAAAAAAAAATCTTGAGTTATTTAAAGACAAGCAAATATGTTATGTTGTATCACAGTATTTGAAAGAAATAAAGAATATGAGAAATATGTATAGTCTTCTTACCATCTGTTTTAACATATACATTTAAGGCAGTGAATTTTTCTCTAAACAGTTGTACCCTGTACTTGATTTATTCCATACTTTCATTGTTATTCAGGTCGTAGTGTTTTCCAGTTATTTGTTGTGCAATCTCTTGTCCTGTGGGTCATTTAGAAGTTAAGGTGCTTAATTTTAAAAAATTTTGGAACTTAAGTTTTTTACTGTTTCCACCTCTATCATCAGAGCTACACTGGGTATAAATTTAACTCCTGAAATTAGAGACTTGCTTTGTGGCTTAGCAGATGGTCAGTTTTAGGAAATGCAGATGTCTGTGTGCCCTCAAAAAGAAAGTACATCATATGATTACTTGGATATGATGTTCTGTATGTGTCAGGTAAAATTTTTTGTTAATCATATTGTTCAGTCTGTTATGGAAGTACTGATTTGTCTGTTTGCTTTCTTGCTCTATCAGTTCCTGAGAATGGTATGTTAAAATCTCCACTATGTAGATTTGTCTTTTTTTCCAGCTTTGTTCATTTTTGCTATGTTTTGGCACAATATTACCAATTTCACACAGATTTACTGTTCTGTCTTCTTTGTAGATGGACTTTTTTTTATTATGATATGCCCTTCTTTATCTCTAGTGATATTTTTGCTTTAAAGTCAATTTTATCTATATTATTTTAACAGTAATTGCTTTTTGGCCGGGGCAAGTGGGAAAGAGGGAGATTGTTGTGTGGTATCTTGCTGTTTTCTTTCAGTCTCTCTAGGTTCTTATAATTAAGGTGAATCTCTTATAAGCAACATATACTGGTGGGTCTTATTTAAAATCAGTCTGTCAATCTGTCTTTTAATTGGGATTTTGATTTATTTACATTAATGTAATAACTAATATATTTGGATTTAAATCTTTAATTTGAATTATGTGTTTCCCATTTGTGTCCCATCTGTTCCATGTCCCTTTTTCTTTCCCTTTTGGCCCTCTCCTGGCTTTTTTTTCTTTGATCATTCCCCCTCTAACTTGTTGGTTTTTAAATTATTTTCCTATTCTTTTAATAATTACTGCTGAGCTCAATAAACTGGGAATTTTTATTACTTTCCAAACAATGCAAGAACCTCAGAAAATATAAACTCTGTTATTCCCTTTCTGCTTTTGTATTGTTACTGTCATACATTTTAACTCTTTGTGTTATTAAATCCTAGTACTACCCATAATTATGCTACATAATTGTTTTTACTATTTTGTCTAGTCCAGTACTCATCTATGTTTACCATAATGGTTGCCCTTTCCATTGCTCTTCATTCCTTCCTGAATATCTGTGTTCCCCTTGGGCCTCATTTTCCCCCTGCCTAAAAAGTTCCCCTGAGTAAGAGATCAAGAAATCCCCTAAATGCAGATGTGTTTGCCGTGAATTATGTGATGAGCTTTTGTTTGAAAACATCTTTATTTTGCCTTCATTTTGGAGGATAGGGAAAGACAGGTTAGCATTTTATGTTGTTTTGTTTTTAAAGATTTACTTATTTATTTATTCATGAGATACACAGGGAGAGAGAGGCAGAGACACAGGCAGAGAGAGAAGCAGGGTCCATGCAGGGAACCCGATGTGGGACTCGATCCCAGGACTCCAGGATTGTGCCCTTGGCCGCAGGCAGGCACCAAACCGCTGAGCCACCCAGGCATCCCCAGGCTAGCATTTTAAAGACCAATTTCATGGTCTTCTAACTTCTGTAGTTTCTTTTTTTTTTTTTTTTATGATAGTCACAGAGAGAGAGAGAGAGAGAGAGAGAGAGAGAGAGAGAGAGAGGCAGAGACACAGGCAGAGGGAGAAGCAGGCTCCATGCACTGGGAGCCCGACGTGGGATTCGATCCCGGGTCTCCAGGATCGCGCCCTGGGCCAAAGGCAGGCGCCAAACCGCTGCGCCACCCAGGGATCCCTAACTTCTGTAGTTTCTATTGAGAATCAGTGTTAAGCTCATTGCTACAGGGAGGATAATAGGGTTTTCTTTTCTTTTTCTTTTTCTTTTTCTTTTTCTTTTTCTTTTTCTTGTTGCCCTTGATTTTTTTTCTTAGTCTTAGGTTTTCTGTAGTTTTACTGTGATGTCCCCAGGTGTAGAGTTCTTTTAATCTGTGACTTGATGTCTTTTGGGGAAAATTTTTGACCATTATCTTTTCAAAAAGTGTTATAAGTCCTCTTTCTAATTTCCTTCTTGCTTTTCATTTACATGTATGTTTGACCCTTTCATAGGGTTCCATATAGATTTTGCACTGTTTAGTGCTTTTTTAATCCTTTTTTTCATCCTTCCTGCACAGAAATTCATCAGCTTTGCCTAATTGAGTTAATTTCATTTACTGGACTTTACTTCTAGGATGTCCATTTTATTCTTTTTTATTTTATTTATTTTAAGTAAGTTTTTTTGTTAAATATTTTATTTATTTATTTGAGAGAGAAAGAGAGAGATAGAGCATGGGTGAGGAGGAGAGGAAGAAGCAGGCTCCTTGCTGAGCAGGGAGCCTGAGAAGGGGCTTGATTCCAGGACCCTGAGATCATGACCAGACCCACCCAGGTACCCCCATTTTATTCTTTTTAATTTTTTTTTTTTTCATCGCCTTCTTGGGCCCTGGATACCAGCCCACCTCTTTAAAAATTTTTATTTTATATTTTCAATTTTGATTTTAATAGTTTACACTTATCTGGTGAAATTCTCCATTTTATCATCTATTTTCTTTTTTCTTTAAAGATTTATGGGCAGGGCAGCCCCGGTGGCGCAGTGGTTTAGCGCCGCCTGCAGCCCAGGGTGTGATCCTGGAGACCCGGAATCGAGTCCCACGTTGGGCTCCCTGCATGGAGCCTGCTTCTCCCTCTGCCTGTGCCTCCGTGTCTCTCATGAATGAATAAATAAAATCTTAAAAAAAAAAAAAAGCTTTATTTATTTTAGAGAGAGAGCACGAGCAGACAGGGGAGGGGCAGGGGGGTGAGGCAGAGAATCTCAAGCAGACTTTGTGCTGTGCGTGAGTCCACCGTGGGGCTCGATCCCACGACCTGAGCCAAAACCAAAAGTTGGATGCCTAACAGACTGCGCCAAGTGCCCCTATTTTCTTTTTTTTAATATTTTATTTATTTATTTGAGAGAGAGATTGCAAGCAGGGAAAGAGGGAGAAATGGGTTCTCTGCTGAGCAGGGAGCCCTGTGCGGGGCTCAATCCCAGGACTCTGAGATCATGACCTGAGCCAAAGGCAGATACTTAACTGACTGAGCCACCCAGATGCCCTATCATCTATTTTCTTGAACCTGTCACTTTCAGTAACTTTAAAGTTCATGTCTGCCCCCTCTAATTTTTTCGAGCCATTCTGGATGTGTTTTGTTTTTTCTTTTGATCCTTCTCCTTCAGTATGTGTTGTTATTTTTGATACTGTATATGAAAAGTTAAAAAACATCTGGATAGTATTATCTTGCTCCAAAGGGGATTTACTTTAATCCCTGACAGTCATGATAATAAGGGACAGAATACCTTAATTTTTAAATTGAAGTTTGGGCTGATGGAAGGCTCGATTCTCATCTTTGTGAGCTGTAGTCTATTTCTTAGTAACTATTATTCCTCAGATGGAGCTCATCATTCACCCTACGTGAAAACTTGGGGTGTTTATGAGGGCCTATCCTTTTGTGGGTCCCATGCTCCTCATTGTCATGAGCCTGCCAGAGTTTCTGCTTAACCTCATAGTGTCTTAGGTAGATGCTCAGTTTTTTAGCCCAGCCTGACTTAGTAGTCAGCAAATGTTTTGGGGGGCAGGGGGGCGACCGCATAGAGTATTAGCTTACTTTTATTCTTCCTTCACTCTAGGATCTTGTCACAAGTCCTGGATACCTTTGTAGCCATAATCCGTCTATTACACCCCTCTACATGAGACTGCCAAAATCTGCCCGTTTAGCTCTGTTTAGCTTCTTGGCCTCTTAGTCATTACCTTCTGTTGAGCTCTCCAGCCTCTCTACCTGTTCAGCTTGGGCATCAGTAAATGCCTTTGGGATGCTGACTGACTTTTCAGCTCTCTGGTGCCTCTAGACCCCTGTGGGTTTTGATTGTATATGTGTGTGTTTACATCTTTACTAGTGGCTCTCAGTTGAGAAGGTTGGTATACAGCAAGCTAATTCTTCATAGTTAGGAAAAGAAGTGCCGTTATTGGTATAAGTAATAATTCCATTGATGACATACACATTAGGAATTTCCCGTGGAGTGTGACCTGGCTGCTGTCTGTATTACTATATTACAGTCACCTTGCTGGTCATCCCGGTTGTTGCATTGAGTTTCTTTGATAACTGTAGTAAATGCCCATCCTATCTTCAAGACAAATGTAACAACAACAAAAAGCCCTCTTTCCTTAATTCTTTAACAAACTTATTTGGGAGGTGTATTAGTTGTTGCTGTGTCACAATTTAATTCTTAGTAGCCGACAACAATATTATCTCATGGTTTTTGTAGGTCAGGAGTCTGAGCTTGGCTTAGCTAGGACCTGTGGCTCTGGCTCTCTGGTAAGGATATAGTCATCTCAAGGCGCTGCTGGGGCTGCTTCCTGGCTCACTCATGATTGTTGACAGGATTTAGTTCTCGTGAACTGTTGGACTGAGGCCTCAGTTCCTTGCAAGAGGTTGGCCAGAGGCCTCACTCATTCCCTTGCTGCATGGACCTCATAGGGCATCTCACAAGATGGCAGCTGGCTGTATCGGTAACAGGACAAGGGAGCCTGTCAGCAAGAGCAAGAGTCTAGCATGATGAAGTCACAGCCTTTATAATCTAATCGTAGAAGTGACTTGCCATCATTTTTACTTTATTCTGTTTGTTAGAAACAAGTCACTGGGTCCAGCCCACACTTCATGGGAGGGTCATGGATCGTTGAGAGCCATTTTTTTAAAAAGATTTTATTTATTTATTCATGAGAGATACACACACACAGAGAGAGAGAGAGGGAGAGAGGGGCAGGCCCCCTGCAGGGAGCCGGGTCTCCAGGATCACTCCCTGTGTTGAAGGTGGCACTAAACCGCTGAGCCACCGGGGCTGCCCTTAGAGCCATTTTTGAAAGCTACCTACCATAGTCAGAAAAGTCAGAATATCAAGGGCTTTTTTGTGTGTTTAATTTTATTTCGTTCTACAGCAGGGGTGCCAGATTTAGGGACCAAATTTGATGTATTTATAGGCCTGCATTTTCTCATCCATCGACTCTCTTTTGCCTAGTGTACCAGCCTTTGGACAGACAGATGGACTGCCAAGGAGCCTACTGTTTTGTGAGCAAGACCGATGGGCAAACAGGGAACACATGCTCAGGTGGACCACAGGAGAAGGGAGGAGCTTGGAGGATGGGAGAGAGGTTAGGCAGATCAGAGAGGGAGGAGCAGCAGGTGCTCCCTGAAGAAGGACCATTCAGGGAACCCCCAAAGAGTCATAGGGATGCTGCTGATGGTGTTTGAGCAAGGCGGCTGTATAATCAAAACTCAGTCATGGAAGGTTAATCTGGCACTGCTGTGTGGATGGTTTGAAAGAAGGGACTAGTTAGGTAACTATTATAATGGCGAGTAGTTAATGAACTCCGTATTGGGTGGGGAGGTAGGTGGGGATGAGAAGGACAAACGTTAAGAGAAACTGGACCTGGAATGGCCCAAAGGAAGCAACTAACTAACTGGATAGGGAAGGAGGGTGAAGAAGTCAAATGTAACCTGCTAACTTTTGTCCTTGCTAGTTTGGAGAAGGGTGGACTTATTTATAGAAATAGGGAACTCAAGGAGGAACCATTTTGTGAAGACTTGGTTCTCAATGGAAACGTCTGTACCTGTTTAAAAAAGTGAGAAAAGTTAGACTTTGCCTCCCAGAGATTTTGACTTACAGAGATTGGGATCAGACTCTGGCATCTGTACTATTTCCCAGTTGGTTTTGATGCCTAATTACGATTTAGAACCACCAGACCAGGCGTTTGTACAGTATCGATAACTTATGATGGCATATTATTTTAAATTATGTATTTATAATTCTGGATGGAATCACTGCTGAACAAAAGCCATAGAACAAGAAACCTGATGCATTCTGTTAAGGGAATGCTGCCTGGTCAAGGAGATAGGTTTATGAACAAAGAGTTACATTACAAAAAAGCTATTGCTTAAAAAAAGGCGTGAACTTTTTTAGCAATAAAAAAGCAATGTTGGGATACAGTAGATAGAACTGCCTAAGTAGGAGTTTATTAAAAATGGATGAGAATGGGGCGCCTGGGTGGCTCAGTCGATTGGGTGTCTGCCTTCTTCTAAGGTCATCATCCCAGAGTCCCAGGATCAAGCTCCACATTGGGCTCCCCGCTCAGTGGGGAGTCTGCTTCTCCTTCTGCCCCTATCCCTGCTCATGCTCTCTCTCTCTTTCTCACTCTCAAATAAATTAATAAAATCTCAAAAAAAAATGGATGAGGAGAGAGTGGAGAGTAGAGGACATTCTAGATAAAGGGAAGGGAATAGGCCTATAAAGGCACAGAATTAATTTAAACAGCTGGGTCTGCATGCAGAATATCCATCTGGGTTCCTTTTTAGTGAATAATCCTTATACGATAACATTTGAGGGACTAACATTTGAGAAACTAAGTGTTCCTTTTGCACTGGTCTCATTGATTTATATTGATTTATCTTTTTCTGTACTGTTTTCTGCCTTGATAGGGTAGCCACTGGCTCCCAGGGTGGGGGGGTTCTTCACTAGAGAGAAGTAGGGCCAGCAGCTAATCCTCCCCTCATCCATTAGTGTGCCAATTACAGGGCAGTCCTGTCCTCTGCCCCATTCCTGTCCTCTCCAACAGCAGCAAGTCACTTCCTGGAGAAAGTGTTGAGAAAAGAACTCCGTGTCCTTTCTTCTTGGGCCGTTATGTCCCTGGATTTTGTGAATGAGAGAACAGATGAATGAATGTGCTTGCTTTACTAAAACATGAGATTGATGGGCTGTGTCTTCTGGCCTGCTTCATAAGTAGTTATGCCCCGTTCGTTCCTCCTTGACAAACTATGTAAAAGAATGGGAATGATGTTGCTAGTGTGGTAGTTTAAAGACCATCGAGGAGCACCTGGGTGGCTCAGTGGTTGAGCATCTGCCTTTGGCTCAGGTCATGATCCCAGGGTCCTGGGATTGAGTCCCATATCAGGCTCCCTGCAGGGAGCCTGCTTCTCCCTCTGCCTATGTCTCTGCCTCTCTGTGTCTCTCAAGAATAAATAAATAAAGTCTTAAAAAATCAAATTAAATTTAAAAAAGACCATTGAGCACTTTTCCCTTTTCAAATGACTATAAGCATTTTGAGGATTTGTCAAGTTGTCTCTGTTTTTATAAATTCTGTAACATCGTGAAGTTGGAGATTAAAAAAGGCCAAGAAATTGTTATGTAATTGTCTTGTTCCATGTAAATGTTGAAATAATCAGATTCAGTAACAGATTGGGTGGCATTTGTTTCGTTCAAAGCTGTTTTTTGTTTTGTTTTGTTTTATAGTGAAGAATGAAAATCTTGAAAATTCGGAGGAAAAAGAATATTTTGGAATTGTCAGTGTAAGGGTTTTAGTTCATGAGTGGCCTATGACCTCTGGTTCCAGTTTGCAACTAATTGTCATTCAAGAAGAGGTAGTAGAAATCGATGGGAAACAAGTAAGATAGTATGATTATTAATTGGGACTTAACTGTAAAGATTAGTGCTGGGTGTTATGCATGTGTTGCATTATTTTATTTATTTCTGACTTGATAAGGAAAAATGGTATCCTAATGTTGCCTGTATCCAATCTTTTAGAACTTTTTACTTGTTTTAACATTTGCTTAGCATTTGAAGACTTAGCATTTGAAGTCTTAAGTTTTAAAAAATTCATATTTATACATGTTTTTATAACTTTAAAATATTACAAACATTAGTAAATTGAGTGAGTGAAGAGATTGAATTTCGTTCATAACTCTGCAACTTTTCTTCTGGCTGAGTAAATGAAATGGAACAGAGAACAAGCTTGTGATACTGAATTCTAAAACACTCAGATTAAAGTTGTTAATTAAATGCCTCAAAGTATGGGGAATAAAGAGTAATTGTGAATAGGATAAGTGTTTTAGTTAAAGAGAACAAAAAGGAAACGTTAGTTTTAGATTCTTATAGATCCATTATTTAAAATAAAGAATAATTGCTTATTTTTTCTTTCATAGGCTCAACAAAAGGATGTTACTGAAATTGATATTTTAGTTAAGAACCAGGGAATACTCAGACATTCAAACTACACCCTACCTTTGGAGGAAAGCATGCTGTATTCTATTTCCCGAGATAGTGACATTTTATTTACCCTTCCTAACCTCTCCAAAAAAGGTACTTTAAAAGACTGTTACTTAGGGTATCAAGGAAATTATTTCTTTAGTGGGTAGCTTTCTTTTTTTTTTTTTTTAGTGGGTAGCTTTCTAATCGTAGTTAATATGTCTGGTAGTAGGTTTCTTTCAGAAATGCTTTATAACACCTGTTACTTTATATGTCCATTTAAGAACTCTAGGAACCTATCTGGAGTCTTAATAGAGAGTGACTGAAACAAAAAGTGATCAGTCATGACTGCTTGGTGATATTTTATGGTAATTATCTACCCTTATTCTGGGCAGTCATCACAAGATACATGATAAGAATAGTGTTTAGGTTCTTTTCAAGAAAGAACTATTCATTTTTTTTCCATCGAAACATGGAACTTTTTGAAGATTTGACTTTGTGCATTCTGCGTGATGATAGGATCATAACTGGTCTAGCTCCTTATGACTGTCTAGGTTATGGCTCCTTTCTGGCATTTAAATATGAACAATCAAATGTTACTGTTTTTCTCCTGTGGCAAAATAAATTCTTAGTATCCTACAGGTGTTTGGTATAGTAATGATGGAACTAGTAAGAGACACACCAGAATGCACCTAGCGTTTTGGTAACTTGGCTCTTCCTTCTCAGTAGAAAGTGTTAGCTCATTGCAGACCACCAGCCAGTATCCTATCAGGAATGTGGAAACCACTGTAGATGAAGACGCTTTACCTGGCAAACTACCTGAGACTCCTCTCAGAGCAGAGCCTCCTTCTTCATACAAGGTAAATCAAATATTTTGGATTATCTTGATATTACAAACATTTTTTGAAGAAAATAGCATTTCAGATGAGGTGGAAACCATGAGGATTGGAAGTGTGAAACATTGTTAATAGTGGACTCCTCACTGTTGTAGTATGATGTTTCCAGGTATTCCCATGTTCAAGTTTCATTTAATAATAGTTAGATAATCATTATCAAGTCATTGGATTCCATTTTGGGGCAGTTTTCAGTTCCAGAGTCATTCCCATCCTTATTCCTATTTATTTATTCTGTGGCTGCTGCCTGGTGCACACACACATGCGTGGTGCCCTCAGGATCTTGAACAGTGACCGAGCACATGTGGTCAAGAGTGCAGTCAGGAGTCCGATCGCGTAGGTTTGAATCCTGGTTCTGCCACTTACTCGTTGTGTGATCTTGAACAAGCTCCTAGTCTCTCTAACCTCTGTTTCTTTATCTGTACAATGGAGCATCCACTTATTAAAGATTACTTATAATTATAGATTATAGTATTACTATAATACTATAAGTAACACTTATAGATTACTATAATACTAGTAACTATAAGTTAACTATATATAACTATATATATATAACTATATATATACTATAAGTTAACTATATATGTATAATATATATATAACTATATATATACTATATATATAACTATATATATAGTTATATATGTAGTATATATGTATAATGTATAACTGTATAACTGTATAAATGTATATTTATAAATGTATACATATATAAATGTATACATATATAAATGTATACATATATAAATGTATACATATATAAATGTATAACTGTATAACTGTATAAATGTATAACTGTAGTATATATGTATAACTATATATGTATAATATATATATAACTATATATATACTATATATATAACTATATAACTAGTTACTATAATACTATAAGTAACACTTATAGATTACTATAAAATCACGCAGTTGTTACCAGGATTAAATAACCTGGATACAAACGTAAGAACGTATTTCCATTTGTTAAGTATTCCTAAATTACTAAGGGCATCATATGGTTGCCTGGCCATATATTTGGGGTTCAGACTGAGTATCTTGATATCTTTATACATATTAGCTAAGGCCTCTTACTCAAAATAATTTTTTTTTGTTTTTGTTTTATAATTTCTATTTAAGTGAGCAAGGTCTGTGGTTAGTCTCAAAAGATTCTGGAGGTTTCTTTGAAGTTCCTGCTGAAGGTTGGGATTGCTTATTTGGGGTTGCTGGAAAAACTCCAGTCACCTTTGGCTGGCTGAAACGCCAGCACCCTTCCCCTGCCTGCCTGCCTCCCTCAGAGCAAGGCAGCCCATGCCATCCATGCACCTTAGCGTCTCCTCGGACTCTCTAAGTATAGGAACATATTTTGTGCACTGTGAACTCCCCATCTGGGCCAGAAGCCACTAATATGTTTGTCTTTTTCTCCTGCTCTTGTCCGCCAACTATTAGAAACACATAGTTGCCTCTGGTCTGTTTTGCATAAAGTAGACTAGCTGAACCTCTTACCATTTAGCGATAACTTTCACTTAATTTATAGATAATAGTATGAATAACTGTAAAGTCTAATGAAGCAACATTCCTATGCCTGTATTATTAGGATATAATTTTTAAAGATACATTTACAGAATTTATCAAGGTACATTTTAAAATGAAATGCAGGGCAGCCCTGGTGGCGCAGCGGTTTAGCGCCGCCTGCAGCCTAAGGTGTGATCCTGGAGACCCTGGATCGAGTCCCACGTCAGGCTCCCTGCATGGAGTCTGCTTCTCCCTCTGCCTGTGTCTCTGCCTCTCTCTCTCTGCATCTCTATGAATAAATAAATAAAAAATCTTTAAGAAATCAAATAAAAAAAATCAAAATTAAAAAAAAAAAAAGAAATGCACGCATTTAAAATATAGTTAGGGGGCACCTGGGTGGCTCGTTGGTTAAGCATCTGCCTTTGGGTCAAGTCATGGTCCTGGCGTCCTGGGATCGAGCCCTATGTCAGGCTCCCTGCTCAGTGGGGAGTCAGCTTCTCCCTTTCCCTCTGCCACTCCCCCTGCATGTGCTCTCTTTCTCTCAAATAAATAAAATCTTTAATAATTTAAAAATAGTCCTTTGACAGATGGAATGGGTAAAGAAGATGTGGTGTATATATACATAACGGAATATTACTCAGCCATTAGAAAGGATGAATCCTTACTTTGATATGATGGAACTGCTGGAGGGTATTATGCTGAGTGAAATAAGTCAGTCAGAGAAAGACAATTAATTATATATGGTCTCACTCATATGTATAATATAAGAAATAGTGAAAAGGATTATAAGGGAGGGATGCCTGGGTGGCTCAGTGGTTGAGTCTGCCTTCAACCCAGGGCGTGATCCTGAAGTCCTGGGATCAAGTGCCACATCGGGCTTCCTGCATGGAGCCTGCTTCTCCCTTTGCCTGTGTCTCTACTTCTCTGTCTCTCATGAATAAATAAATAAAATCTTTAAAAAGGGGGGGGGTACTATAAGGGAAAGAGGAAAACTGAATGGGGAAAAATTAGAGAGGAAGACAAACCATGAGAGACTGCTAACTCTGGGAAACAAAGGGTTGCAGGAGGGGAGGACGGTCGGAGGATGGGTAACTGGGTTAAGGAGGGCACGTGATGCAATGAGCACTAGGTGTTGTATGTTGGAAAATTGAATTTAAAATATTTAAATAAATTTTAAAAATAAAATGTGTAGTTAGGTAAATTTTGATAAATGTAGACATCTGTCTAACCAGCAACACAGTCAAGATACAGAATTTTATCATCACCCAAAACTAGAACATAATTTTTAAAGCCTCTTAGAGGTTAAATGATCCTTGATTTATCTAATCAAAACTCCTTTTTTAGGTGATGTGTCAGTGGATGGAAAAGTTCAGAAAAGATCTGTGTCGGTTCTGGAGCAGTGTTTTTCCAGTATTTTTTATGTTCCTGAATGTCATGGTGGTTGGAATTATAGGAGCAGCCGTGGTAATAACCATCTTAAAGGTGCTCTTCCCAGTTTGTGAATACAAGTAAGTAATTATTATTTTTGAAACATTAGTGGTTTTAATGATTAAAGAGTGAGTTGTATTTACTGTATTATTTAGAGTAGAAAGTATAAATAATAGGAAGGCTGTAAGACGAGGGAGGGAAAATGTTCTTTTTTCTAGCTTGTCTCCCAATGTTAGCAAAATTAAGACATTTATTGGATATCTATCATGAACAGGACACTTGTCTTGGGGATTCAGATGTAAGACAAACTCTCTTCTCTAAGAACTAGTCTGTTAGAGAAAGGAAACATATATCTGTTATGGAAAATGCAATGTTAGACTAAAATGAAATGAGGGCTTTGCTATATATAATTTTCTACCTCAAAGTATCAATTTAAAATGAAGTAGATTTTAGAAGACCAGTGAGATAGTTGGTGTAGCATTGCTAGTAAAAAGCAAAAGAGGAAACTTAAGTGTTTATCAGTGAGGGCTTACCTAATTGTTCACACATGTAGTGGAATTCTGTGCAGCTGAGATGCAAAGAATCCAAATTCTATTAGATGGGGGAAAACGTTGTGTAATCGTATGATCCCATTTGGGTAAATACTTTTCTATTCTGTATATAAATGCATAGGAAATTTCTAGAATGACAAAATACGTTATCTCTAATGAGTGGGAATGAGAACAAGGATAGAAACACTTTTTCTTTTTTTTAAAGATTTTATTCATTCATGAGACACACACACAGAGGCAGAGACACAGGCAGAGGGAGAAGCAGGCTCTATGCAGGGAGCCTGACATGGGACTTGATCTTGAGACTCTAGGATCACACCCTGGGCCAAAGGCAGGAGCTAAACAAACTGCTGAGCACCCAGGGATCCCCACACTGACTTTTTCCCTTTGTGTACAGCTTGATTTTTTTAACCATAAGAAATTATAAATGTAAAAGTGAATTTGTTATTAGTATTTTTGTAAGTTAAACAGTCAGGGGGCACCCATCTGGCTCAGCTGGTGGAACATGTAACTCTTGATCATGGGGTCATGAACTGGAGCACCACGTTGAGAGTAGAGTTTACTTAGGAAAAAAAAGAAAGAAAAATAAGTTAGTCACTTCAGTTGTTTTAATAGAAGTAAATCTCCATAGATAGGGACGACCACACTCTTTGGCTTAAATTATATTGTACTATGTTGTAAAGACCATAGGATTTATGGGAAAAGAGGCCCAATTCAAGCATTCACTTTTCCACCTGCTTGCCTGCCATTTTTTCCTGTGTAACATTGAACTAATCCCTCCCTTAAAGGGTTTGTTCAAAGACCGTAACGCATGCAAAGTGCCCGTGGAGTAAAGAAATATTAGTATCCCTCCTACCTTTTAGTTTGGTTTCCCTTGAAGAATTCACATTTACCATTTCTTTCTGAATGAAAATTCTGGAACTTAATAAATTTTTTCCTTTTTCCTTTTTCCTTTGACTGCCAGGAATCTCAGGACCTTTTTTGAACTTTATTGTGCAAACCTGTATAGAAAACCATGTTGCACTTTTTTTTTTTTTTTTAATTCTTTTACCAAATGTTTTGTTACGGGCTTCCATGTGGGAAGAGACACAATAGAAAATTAAAAACCTGATTTGCAGTATAAATGGCAGTTGCCCTAAGGATACTTTCTGGTAGTAAAAGATTTCATCAATACAGAAATATAGAGAGCAGTTAAAATAACTCATTTCCCTATTCTTTAATTCTTATAACTAGAGGTAATCATTGTTAATCATTGTTAACTTTAAGAGTGTGCATCTTTTACCCACATTCTGTATATTGATATAAATGCATGGTAAGGGCAGCCCCAGTGGTGCACCGGTTTAGCACCGCCTGGAGACCTGGGATCGAGTCCCACGTCGGGCTCCCTGCATGGAGCCTGCTTCTCCCTCTGCCTGTGTCTCTGTCTCTGTCTTTGTCTCTCTCTGAATAAATAAAATCTTTAAAAAAAAAATGCATGGTAAGATATCATTAAAGTATGGTCCCATTTGGGTAAAACCAAAGTATTATGTTTATAATAATAAGATTGTTTATCAACCGAGGCTCTTAACTGCCCCACATATTGCTTTAATTTTTTTTAGATTTTAAAAATTAATTTATTCATGAGAGACACACAGAGAGAGGCAGAGACATAGGGAGAGGGAGAAGCAGGCTCCCTGCAGGGAGCCTGATGTGGGACTCTGTTCCAGGACCCCAGAATCATGACCTGAGCCGAAGGCAGATGCTCAACCACTGAGCCAGCCAGGCATCCCCAGATTGCTTTATTCACCTAATGACAGAAGCTCCAAAACTTTTTTGGTACATAGCAGTCTCAAGTGTGCCAGTAATTTTTTCCTGTTGCTCTTATCTAGGCCAGAAGAAAATTAAAAGAAAAATTTTTATTTAATTCTTTTAAATATTTTATTTATTTTTATATTAAGTAGGCTCCACACTCCACATAGGGCTCGAACTCACGGCCTTGAAATTGAGAGTCACATGCTCAACCGGGTCAGTGAGGCATGCCTATTTTTTTTTTTTAAGATTTTATTTATTTCTTCATGAGAGATAGAGAGAGAGAGGCAGAGAGAGAGATAAGCAGGCTCCATGCAGGGAGCCTGACGTGGGACTTGATCCTGGGTCTCCAGGATCATGTCCTGGGCCAAAGGCAGGTGCCAAACCGCTGAGCCACCCAGGCGTCCCGAATATTTTTTAATTTACAACTACACATATACATTATGTTACATTTACAAGTGAGATGTGTGTGCCTACAGGGCACCACATAAAATTCTTATCTGGTAATCAGATTGCACACTGCCACCCTCATTTCCTGTTCAACATTAGCTTTTGTACAGTATTTTTTTTTTAAAAGGATTTTATTTATTCATGAAAGAGAGAGGAAGAGAGAGGCAGAGACACAGGCAGAGGAAGAAGCAGGCTCCATGCAGGGAGCCTGATGCGGGACTGGATCCCGGGACTCCAGGATTAGGCCCTGGGCCGAAGGCAGGCGCTAAACTGCTGAGCCACTCAGGCTGCCCCAGTATTTGCTTTTTATTCAACAACTGCCCAGGTCCAACTTTGCAAAGATCTGACCTCACTGAATGTGTAGTATGACCTGATGTTGAAACTGTGAACTACTCTCAAAATGAAATCTTGAAAATGAAATAGGCTGTAGCCTGAGTATATAGAGCCACCACCGGGGGTCTCCATGCATTTGGGAATCAGACCTTTTCCTATCAGCACACATATTGCTTATTGATCCTCTTTCTGGCGGCGTGGTGTTTTACAGCATAGGTAGGCCGTAACATAACCACTCCTCCAGTAGACATCCAGGTGTCTTCCAATTTCACACTATTGCCAATAATGCTCTAGTGTGCACCTTAAATATACACATGGACGTCTCTTTGCACGTGTATTTACGGAGATAGACTTCTAAAAGTGAAATTACTGGGTCAAAGGGTGTTTGTATCTCAACACCTGAGAACAATCTTTTTTGTTTTTGCTATTGTGGAGAAATCTCATCTTACTTTGCATTTTCTTCTTGCTTATGTCCCTCGCAAGTCCAGGTCAAACTGAGTCTAGCAACTTTGTGATAATCAGCTATATATTTCTCCGCTGACGTGCCTGTTTATAGCCTTTGCCCATTTTTCAGTGGTGTTGCCTTTTATAATCAGTATGTGGGAGCTCCTTTATCTGTTACACACATATAATATCTATTGCAGTTTTTTTTTTTTTCTTAATCCCAGACTGTGATTTGTCTTTTGCTCTTGTTTCTGGTATCACACAAAAGTTAAATTTGGGGCCAGAGCACTTCATGCCTTTCCTTTGTGGCTTTTAGGATTTTAAATTTTTCTTAAGTTGACCTTTCCCATCTTAAAATTATTTTTCTTAAAACATGTTTTACTATCACTTGTGTATACGGTAAGCTGAGTTATGATTTTGTTTTCCAAAGAGAGATGCCGTCATTTCAGTTGTCCTTTGCCCTTGAATGGAAATGTTACCTTATTCTGAACTGAATTTCCACATACTTTAATCTCACTTCTGAACTTCTCTTCTTCCACTGCTTTGTCTAGTACTGTGCCAGTAGCATAGTTTTAATTACTATACTGCTTTAATAAAACCAGGCATGTTAACAGCTATTCTTACTTGTGACTTATTCTCCCTTGTGACTTTGGACTCCCGTTTGTCCAGCTATTATAAACTAACTAAAAGGAAGCAAAAACACTTAACCCCAGGTATATATTTAATTTTAACTCTGATACAGCCTTGTCTTACCATCAAACTGTAGATGGAGGAAATGTTTAATTTCTGTTTTTGTATTTCAGAGGAATTCTTCAATTGGATAAAGCAAATGCTATACCTGTCACAGCTATCCACTTATTTCCAGATAATCCTGAGAAAAAAGCAGAAACCCTTGAAGATAAAACATGCGTTTAAAACACTATCTCAAATCATGGACTCTGAATTAGTCTTTTGGCTCTCAATTTGCCACTTGAATAGAATTGTCTTTTAAATCACAAAGAATTTGTTTATACACTAGAGAAATTGCTAAACTCCTAAAACTGTCTGAAACTTGACCTTTTAGGAGACAAGTTAAAGTTCATCTTATTCTGTAACAGAGCTGGTTATTCAGATGATTAAGGAAAATTTAAATGAAGTGGAAGAGAAGATATGAAGAAACATCAAAATTACCAAAAAAAAGAAAAGGGAGAGGGCAGGACAAAATGCCACGTGCCAATACTTTTCAAGGTGCCTTTGTAAAGGAAATTATATCCACTTAATTACTATAATATATGAGACTTTATGAAAAGCACTTTATGAAATTCTAATTTAAAAGCTCAAGAATTTAACACTTATTTTTTTATTCAGTAAAATGTGCCTTTATATTAAGTATGTGACTCAGCATAAAATCACTTAAGTGTATCATGATTTGATTGTATCCTGTACGAAGACTACTTACCTTGAATGCACCAGGATTTAAAAATAGTAGTGACTTGTTCTCACTCTAAAATAAACTTTTTTTGAGGAAAACAATAGAGAGTTTTGGTATAAAAACATATCCTGGGCAAGAACTGCTTCTGTGTCAGAGTTGATTTCACAGACACTGGCTTTAGCCAGGGTTCAGACTGCGAATGAGCCCTTTGGTCCTGGAATTAGATTGTACCTTGCTCTTGTGCTCCTTAAGTGTCATTTATCCTTCAACAGTGATCTTTTTTTAACCATCACCCCCATTAACATGTTTTATAATGTGATGTAGTACATAAAATACTTGCTTTTATTCCAAATGACAGATATTTCCTATTTTGTTTTATTACTTTTTTATTGCAACCTGTCATTTTAAACACATTGTTCAGTAAAATAATGACTGACTGGTTTGTAAGACCACCTTAGTGGAGAGGGGAAAAAAATAAAACCATCTTAGAGTTGGGTTAAGTAGATATGTATGTGTGGGGTAAGGATGACAGGGAGCAGAGTGGAGGAGTGAGGTTTTATCACGCCTAGCTGTTTTTTGTTTTGTTTTGTTTTGTTTTCCGCCTAGCTGTTTTTAATAAGAAATATAACAGCCCTGTGAAATATACTTTCTCCATATTATATGAATAAATAATAGCATGTGATTCACTTTGATCCTAAAGTCACCCAGCCAGTAACACTTTATGTCCTTCCTCACTTTAAGATGCTGGAAATCACCAATTCTAACTTCAAATAATGATAGTCTATTAAGCTTACAGAGAATCTCATGAGAACTGTGGAGGAGGCTATGTGGCCAACTGGAGAGTGTAGGCTTTACAGTCAGCAAAGTCCTGTTCTGCTTTGCCTCCTTACCGGGGAGACCAGGAACTATGGCTTGGTGCTCTCTTTTCTATGGTTGGGATGATACAGTTATTTTTTTAAAAAGTAATCCTTAAAAATTTTTTTAAAATATTGTATTTATTTATTCATGAGAGACAGAGAAAGAAGCAGGCTCCTTGCAGGGAGCCTGATGTGGGGCTCAATCCCGGGACTCCAGGATCACACCTGGGGCCAAAGGCAGAGGCTCAACTGCTGCGCCACCCAGGTGTTCCTAAAAAGTAATCCTAAACAGGGAGCTTACTTAAGATTTTATACCATTAACTTTTATTAACTTATACCATTAACTGTTCATTTAATTATGCTTTGTATCCATGAAAGAATGGGCTAATAATGAATTTCATTCATTAGAGCAAAGGGAGCAGCCTGTAGTGCAGCCTCATATGTAGGCAGACTAAAGTCAAGCAGGAGTGTGTGTGTGTATTTTTTTTTCTCTTTAAGTAGATGATAAAATGAAGGGTCTTTAAAGCTCTCCCAGGAAGAGGAGGGAAGCTACCGTAACGCCAAGCAGGAAGGCACAGTGGGTGCATGGTTTGTGCCTCAGTTGGCTACTTATGTAAAATGTTCAGGAATTTTCAGTTATTCACTGGCACCCAAGGTGCTAGAGCCAATCTTACTCCCTAAAAGGAATGGCAGCCGGACAGTGGAAGAGAAGATGCTGTACCTAGAAGTCCATACAAAGACACTTCCAACCTAAGTAATTGCATCTGTGCTGCAAACATACATGGTCAGTGAAAGAAATTAGCTAATACTAAAGTAAAAGAGATTTGCTTGCAGCTTTAAAAAATTGCCTTTATTTATTCAGAATCATACTTTTCTTTTTTTAAATCTTACCATTATGAAAGTTTAAAAAAATATAGCACTCAATGCAATGAAATACTACATTTAATTATTATTCAAACACTTAAGGCAGGTTTCTCACAGTTTGCATGTGAGACTTTAGCATGATCCAAACTCAAATATCCATTTCTCATATCTTTCAATGTCTGCAGCAGAAACTGACTTAGAAACCTTTTTTAAAGCCATTTCAAAATCCTCCATAGTTGTAGGCATGTGCATTTCTTCTCTTGAAAGATTTCTGATTTCTTCTGGGGTCAAACCTTCAATACGCCTTCTCATTGCCATCAAGGATGCATCCCTAGGTTTTAAATAAAAACACACAGCGTTATTTTGATTGAATAAAAACCTGTAAACAACATTTTTTCAGTATTCTTATTTTGTAATTATCCCACTACACATACTTATGGAGTATTGCATAGAATCTTGTATCAGAATACAAGGCCTGTTTGGAGTTGTTTTTTATTTTATTTTATTTTACTTATTTTTTATTTTTTTATTTTTATTGAAAGTAGTTTATTTTATTTATTTATGATAGTCACAGAGAGAAAAAGAGAGAGAGGCAGAGACATAGGCAGAGGGAGAAGCAGGCTCCATGCACCGGGAGTCCGACGTGGGATTCGATCCTGGGTCTCCAGGATCGCGCCCTGGGCCTCCAGGATCGCGCCCTGGGCCAAAGGCAGGCGCCAAACCACTGCACCACCCAGGGATCCCTGGAGTTGTTTTTTAGCAGTTAAATCTTCCATGATGAAATAAGGATATTAATTAATTTAAATAACTGATAGTAGGAAGTCCAAGAAAAAAAAAGGTGTAAGAAGCTAGCAACTGAATTTCATTTTAAGTGTCCAATAAAGAATATACATCAGAAAGACAGGAGAGAACCAGATGGCTGAAGAACAGTATTTTCTAGATGTGTAGGGAAAACTAAATGATCAGGTTAGGGTGTTTCAGCTTTCCCCTCTATTAGTTCTTTTTGGTTTTGTTGTTTTGTTTACTTTTTATTTTTTTGTGATAGTCACACAGAGAGAGAGAGAGAGGCAGAGGCAGAGGGAGAAGCAGGCTCCATGCACCGGGAGCCCGACGTGGGATTCGATCCCGGGTCTCCAGGATCGCGCCCTGGGCCAAAGGCAGGCGCTAAACCACTGCGCCACCCAGGGATCCCTGTTTTTTGCTTTTAAAGAAGAAACTTAAGAATCAGGGACCCTCCTTTCACCAAGTTTCATCCTTAATAACAGCCACCATTTATTTATTCAAAGGGACGCAGCTGCTTTATGTACACATGTTCTCACTAATGCTCACAACAACCTTGTGTCGTTTACAAGAGTAGCCTCAGATTAGGACAAAACCTACTTAAATCAACTGGATTGGAGACTTTTTTTTTTTATTCCTGTTCCTGTCCTATTTTATAGGACCCTTGCACTGAAATGAGATTGTATTCCTCCTAGAGTATGCCCAATCAATATCACAATTGTATTTCTTATGAAAAAGTATACTAAGTACATCAATAGTTTAAAAATCCAATATAACTACTGATTTCCTGTATTATATTGATTGTTCTAACATTAGCTTCTTGAACCAGCAGCTTTCAAATGCACTGCAAACTGTTCAGTGATGTGCAACATGCCGAAATTCCTACCAGCGCCTTTCCACAAACTTAATACCAAAACTCCTGTCTGTGAATAAAGACTCTAATGTGGGTCTTTACTCTTCACATATCCCATTAATTCAGCATGAAAACTTCCTAACAGACGTTTATACTCGCAAAACCCCATACTTCCAAAATAATTCATACCTGCACACATTGGTAATGTCTGCACCTGAGTAACCTTCCATATTTTCTGCTATACTTGCAAGGTTAACATCATCAGCCAATTCCAGTTCACGTAGACTTATTCGTAACAGCTCCTCCCTGCCTTTTGCTAATGATGGAAACAAAAAATGTAAGCTTTCAATATAAACTTATTTTTTCTCAAGTCTACTTTAAATGAGAAGTTGCTTTCCAATTCTTAGAGCTCATTTGCTTAAAAATTTAAAAGCCCTTCCTCACTAAATTTAAAATTTCCCGATACCAAGTCTTTCAGGTTCTAGATACAGCAAAACCAGTTAATGTAAGAAAGATATCCTACATTTGTCTCTTTACAGGAAAGGTAATTACTACCAAATTTTAAAAACTCTAAGCAAAACTACCAAAGAGTTAACATGAGCTTTCTGACAAGATTTAAATGCAGATAACCTGATGGTAATGGAATATAGATTCTTTTTTCAAGACGTCGTCTTAACGCCTCATCAATATCCCAGGGAAAATTAGTAGCTGCCAGAACCATAACCATTTTGGAAGGGTCATCATTTTCAGAAGCACCTCCAACACCTAAAACAAAGGGTGAGGAGAAAGTAAAAATGAAGTCAGAATATACAAAATAAAGCTCAACTACTTAAAAATCGCATAGTTAGGACTAAATTATAAAGGTAGTGTAATAGTTAAGTCTCCCTAAGGCTTCTAAAGGTAAATGGTACATATGAATTTGTGGCCCCAAAAAATAAGGTTTAGTATGGAAAAAAAATAGGACTCAAATAGATTTTTTTTTTTAAAGATTTATTTATGATGGACATAGAGAGAGAGAGAGAGAGAGAGAGAGAGAGGCAGAAGGCAGAGACACAGGCAGAGGGAGAAGCAGGCTCCACGTGGGGAGCCTGACGTGGGACTTGATGCGGGGTCTCCAGGCCCTGGGATGAAGGCAACACTAAACCACTGAGCCACCCGGGCTGCCCGGACTCAAATAGATTTAATCAAAAGACCAGCTCAGTTTAACTACATACCAATTTCTAAAATTTTTCAAAAACACATATATCCCTAAAGCAAATTTATTTGCATTTATTTCAATTTTATTGTTGAAAACAAATCAGAGTATATGCCCATGAGTGCTCTGAACAGCCATTATTTCTGGCATGTCCCCAAGTCCATGTACCCAATATACTGTCAATCTCCAGGACCTACTTGCCAGCCCTCCCTAGTCATCAGGAGTTGTGTGGGTAAGCCCTAGGAGCAGAGCTTAGTCAATATACAGACATGCATACCATCCATTTGAACCAGCAGCTCGGCTTTCACCCTTCGGCTTGCTTCATGCTCTTCAGAAGTCCCTCTGCGACTACAAATGGAATCTATCTCATCGATAAATATGGTGGCTGGAGAGTAAAATCGAGCCTAAATAAAGAAACCATGTAACACCAGGTTTTTATTTCATTTAAAACATAATCTGTAGCAATTAGAAAAGAGCCCAAGAACCTGCCACATCACATCTCTCTAGTCCTATTACTGGGGAGAAGATAAACTGGAGCAGCTAAAAGACAGCTTCTAATAGAAACTTATCATAGACTTAAAAATTACATGGCAATTTTTGTACCATTCAGTACTTTAACTGGCAATATTTATTTATTTATTCATGAGTGATATAAATACAGAATTATCTTGTGCACTGCAACAATAAGGACAATAGTGGCAAGAAAACATTCATAGATATTGGTAAGTGTTCTACAGTTACCAGTTACAGTTCAAGAAAAAATTGGTTACAGAGAACCATTACCTTAAATAAAATCATATAGATTCCCTCTAAGAAACCTAATTAAATTGCCATTTTTCACTTGACAACACATTACAGTAACTAAAGAAGTTCATAATTTATCGTCTTTATTTTTAAAGACTTATTTTAGAGCAAGAGAGCATTAGTGGGGAGAGGGACAGAGGGGAAGAGAGGGACAGAGAGGGAGAAAAGCAGACTCCCTCATGAGTGAGGAGCCCGACATGGGGCTCGATCTCACAACCCTAAGATCATGACCCAAGCCAAAATCAAGAGTGGGACACCTAACTGACTGAGCTACCCAGGCGCCCCATACTTAAGTATTTTTAAGATTTTATTTATTTGAGAGAGAGACTGATCACAAGCAGGGGGGAGGGGCAGAGAGTGAAGCAGACTCCTCACTGAGAAAGGAGCTCCATCAGGAATCGATCCAGGACCCTGGGATCGTACCCTGATCTGGAGGCAGACGCCCAACCAATTGAGCCACTCAGGTGCCTAAGTAGTTAATTATTTTTAAATTAAATATCCAAACTTACAGAATCACTGCACAAGAGAGTTTGAACCTAAATGATGACAATGATTTCTCAAAACACAGCTTAATGAATAGCACTTTTCCAAGGTTTATCCAAAAATAAAGTCCATGATGGCAAATGAACATTATGAACTTGAACATGCAATTATACTGGGTCTATCAGTTCTTTTGGACCATGAAGTTATAATCTAGGATCTTCTAAGAGGCAATTCACTGTGTGGAAAACTATGCCTCCAAAAGTATGGATGCAGTTTTTGTCCACTTGGAAAATCCTAATACTTAAATTTCACTTTTCTAGTTGAAAATTTGAATTCTAAGTCATCAGTTCCCTCTAGAGAGATAATTTAATTTTAGTAAAGCATCCTTACTTGGATTTTAGGTACTGTTTACAAAAATTTTGTATTCTTTTCAAGAAATAGAATATGAAAAAAAATGTTCAGGAAAATTAAAAAAAAAAAAAGCATCCAAGAAAATCCTCAATTGAAATTCTAGCAAGAAAGCATGTCTCCATACCAGAAGCCCGACGGGGGACTCGATACCGGGACTCCAGGATCGCGCCCCGGGCCAAAGGCAGGCGCTAAACCGCTGAGCCACCCAGGGATCCCCTAAGATTTTAATTATTTATTCATGAGAGATACAGGGAGAGAGAGAGGCAGAGACACACGCAGAAGGAGAAGCAGGCTCCATGCCGGGAGCCCGACGTGGGACTTGATCCCGGGACTCCAGGATTAGGCCTTGGGCCGAAGGTGGCACTAAGCCACTGAGCCACCCGGACTGTCTAAAAATAGTAATTCTTAAACAGAGCAGCTAATATCTATTAGCCTTTATGAGTCAGGCTCTATTGTAAGCAATTTACATGCATTAGTTCATCTCACCATCCAAACATTACAGAGGTAATTCCTGTATTGTGGTCTTCCTTTTATAGATAAAGTAACTGTGGATCAGGAAAGGAATTGGTCCAAGGTTAGCCAGCTAGGGAAGTGTGACAGAGGTAGGATCTGTAGCTGGGCCACCTGACTCTAAAGACTCCATACTTAGCCATTTATTGTATTTAGCTTACTTTTTTTTTTTTTTTTTAAGATTTTATTTATTTACTTGAGAAAGAGAGAGCATGTGAATGTGCATGAGCAGGGGAAGGGGCAGAGGAAGAGGGAGAAGCAAACTTCCACTGAGCAGGAAGCCTGATGCGGGGGCTCAATCCAAGGACCCTGGGATCATGACCTGAGCTGAAGGCAGATGGTCAACTGACTGAGCCACCCAGGTGCCCATTAAGCTTACATTTTTAAAAAGCCTGGATATTCTGGAATTCTGGCAATATAATTTTTTTCCCCTGAAGCAAAGGGCAAACTAATTTTCCAAACTCATCTAAGAGGTTCTCCACTAGATTCCTACTGCAGTATAAACTACTGATAAACTATTAAGAACGTATTAGAATTTACATCCTGTCTTATGAATTATCAAACTTGAAGAAGAAAATGGGAATTGATACAGGGATAAAAGCTTTTACAGAAAATGGATAACCTCAAATTGTAAGGGTTTTCATTTGCTTGTTTTGTTTTATTTGGAGCCTATGAAGTAAGATCTAGTGTCAAATTAACACTGTCATCAAGGTTTTGTCCATGAAGAAATCTTTCGAGTTAAGAATGCAAGTCACTTCCTATATAATAAGCATAACTCTGCCCTAATGTATGTAACTACACTATTGTTTAAATGAGGCAAGACTGAAATAACCACTAAAAAGCTGCTGAATTCAATCCAAATGCTCTACTAGAATTCATTCACTTATATTCCCCTCCTATTGATACTCAGATTAGTGGGGTTTGAAGAAGGAAAAAAAGAAACTCAAATTAACAAGCAAAGAAGTAACAATCCAAAGGCTGGATCATTAAACTCAAGGTATTTAGCATAGTTAATGGATTGGAGGTGATCTAATCCATAACTACTTGATTTTCACTGTTCTGAGTTACTATTACTACACTAAATTTACCATATTATAACTAAGTCTACTGATTTCAAAAACATAGTATTCTAAACTCCTAGAGCAGATTAGTAATGCAGATCTTATAATGTGAACATGCCTATAAGCCAACAGAGATGACTCTTCCTCTAGAGGAAAGAACACACAGAAAAACTCAAATTAAAACTTAAAACTCATGTAATTAAAGGGCTCTAGTTTTGAGGGCATAGGAATCACACTTTGGAAACAGTATCAGCCTGCCTAGCTACTCTATACACTGCAGATAGTTTTGACCCACTCTCTCCCCCATTTGAGAGGTAAAGAATCATTAGAATGGTCTTAAACGTTCACCATTTCGAATAATAGACGAACAAGCTTCTCGGACTCTCCTCTGTATTTGGAAGTTAGAGTTGATGAAGACACATTGAAGAATGTTGTCTTGCATTCTGTAGCTACTGCTTTAGCAAGGAGGGTCTTTCCTGTGCCGGGTGGGCCAACCATCAACACTCCCTGTTGGGAAAATAATAACATAACTGAGATTAACCTGCCACTGTTCTAATTCACAAGAATTCCATTACTGAGAACTAATTTTCAACTAATATATAATATTAAGATAAATAAAAAAATTAACAAAAGGATGCTTTATCACCAATTTACATCATTCATTATAAAAGTTATATTAAAAATCTGAAACTCAGAAATGAGAAAAAGATAATGTCATAATACTGACATCATAATAATCATATGTACCAATAGTATTTGAATGTATTTCCTGCTAGTCTTTTGTTTGAACAAATTTGTCTTTTTGTTACACAGCTGTACTCAAGAATGTCCAGAATTTTGTAGCTTATCACTTAATATTTCAAGAATTTTTAGTAAGTGCAGAGTTAGCCATCAGCACATTTTCTAAATCCAAGAAAGAGTTTTTTTCAGTCTCTTTTCAGATCAGCTCATGATTTCTTAAAAAACTGAGACACAATAGCCAAACTGTGGAAGGAGCCTCGGTGTCCATTCAAAGATGAATGGATAAAGACGATGTGGTCTATGTATACAATGGAATATTCCTCAGCCATTAGAAACGACAAATACCCACTATTTGCTTCAACTTGGAGGGACCTGGAGGGTATTATGCTGAGTAAAATAAGTCAATCAGAAAAGGACAATCATATGTGGTCTCATTCATTTGGGGACTATAAAAATTAGTGAAAGGGGGGCAGCCCCAGTGGCTCAGCGGTTTAAGTGCTGCCTACAGCCCGGGGTATGATCCTGGAGATCCGGGATAGAGTCCTACGTCAGTTTCCCTGCATGGAGCCTGCTTCTCCCTCTGCCTGTGTCTCTGCCTCTCTCTCTCTCTCTCTCTCTCTCTCTCCTCTGCCTGTGTCTCTGCCTCTCTCTCTCTCTCTCTCTCTCTCTCTCTCTCTCTCTCTCATGAATAAATAAATAAAATCTAAAAAAAAAAATTAGTGAAAGGGAATAAAGGGAAAGGAGAGGAAATGAGTGAAAATATCAGTGAGGGTGACAAAACATGAGACACACCTAACTCTGGGAAATGAACAAGTGGTAGTGGAAAGGGAGGTGGGCGGGGGGTGGGGGTGACTGGGTGATGGGCATTGAGGGGGGCACTTGGCAGGGTGAGCACTGGGTGTTATGCTAAATGTTGGCAAATTGAACTCTAATAAAAAATTTTTTAAAAAAACTGAGACATACCTGCATCAAATGAGTACTTATCTATTTTTTCCCCCTCACTTCCCTGAATACAATAAATACTCATTTTCTACAACAATGTACTTGCCATTAACAGTAATAAACTTACTTTCCATGGCCTCCTAATGCCCTTAAAGAATTCTGGCATCCACATTGGTAACACCACAGCTTCCTTTAGCAACTTTTTAGCTTCTACTAAATCAGCAATATCATCCCTGAAAGAAGAGATATTTTATCAACACCCTCTTAGATTATGCATGTAACTGTATGCAATCACTCCTGAGAACCACAGAAGCACACGGTTTTACACTGCTGCCAGAATGCAAAGCCCCTCCCTAGGTACCAGTGCACTAGCACACTGTGATGAGGCCTGCCACACCAACCAGTATACACAGAGCACAATCTGATTCATCAATTCTTGGCAATAATGATTTCCAATGTGGTGAATGAGAACACTGGTCTATAGACCTACTCTAAGTATTTATCATGTGACTTCATTTTAAATTCCTGGCCTTGTGGTGCTCCTTTCATAAACTCCATGATTTAGAGACAATAAGCCCATTAAAAAATAATAATAAAAAATAAAGAATAAAAAAGGCATAAAGCAGAGGCAGGCTACAATATTGTTGCCCCCAACCCTTTTAAGAGATGGGCACCAAGGATGAAGAGTATCATAGAGACTATTATGAAGTCATCACCAACCACTAGAAAACTCTGCTACTACTATTACTGGTACATGTGGCATTTTCATGAAAGTATATGTTCACTGTATAAATATCAAATACCAAAAAATATTTTTAAAATACCCCCAAAACCATACCTAAAAATCATAAGGTTTTAATGAAAAATATATAACAGAATGAACCTAACTTTGTGGGAAAGGGGGCCTTTTATTTTTTTAGGTTTTTTTCGAAAAGGAGCTTTTAGAGAACTCACAGAATTACAGTTCTTTGATTAGATATGATAAATCAAGTTGAGAATCACTGCTCAAAATCACAGAAAATAAAAGCAACATCCACAGGGTAAACCTATCAATAACAAGCAACAATGGGACAACAGTGCATGCAACTCCAGGTCTTGGACAGGGTTTTGAGTTCAAGCGGCACTTGGGCATTGAGCTTACATAACAAAAAACAAAAACAACACACATGTGTAAGAATCACTGCCATTTCACCAGTAGAGGATGTCCCAGAAAGAAGATGGAATTTCTGTGATCTTATTCCCACTCTGTATAGAAGATTTTTTTTTTTAAATAGAAACTTACTTATCATTTGTTACTTTCTTAAATAAAAAAGAAATCTCAACAAAAACTTGGTAGAGCCTAAACCAAGTGCTGGGTTCACATTGCATGTACTCTGGTTCCATCCCCAAGGACTGATCTTCAGTGTATGCCCACATCGGTTCCATTTACTTTCCCTAAAAGCATTATCAGCGCCTAATTATTTTCTTGTGATATAACTTACCATCGAACATTGGGATTCTGAGAAATTATATCTCTTTCCAAAGCTTCTACTAAGTCCTTATCATATCCAGTACTATCAAATTTACTTGTCTCTGGTTCAGTAACTGCAGCAGGTGATTTGTTCTACATCAGGAGAAAAAAACAAGAGCTTCTGATTGACTCAAAAATTATACTCAGAAACAAAGATCGGACTCCAGTGATATTTTTAAAAGAGCTAATCTAATAATACAAGTAATAGAGAATCAAGGCTATTCAGTCATTCTTCTCTATCAACATCAGAGTGAATTATTAGAGTTTCATATTCAATCTTTATTTTTACATAAAAAGTATGACAAAAATGTTCAAGAAAAAAATATTATGCATACAAATTAGTCAGAATAAAAAAATCAACATTGAGATGAACAGTGATTACTAGTGAATATCAGATAGTGATACTTATCTCAAAGCTTTAGAGAAGATAAGATTAAAGACAGTTTATGTAGTTGAGATTACAGCTCACTCTTAAAAAAAAGGAAAGTATGTATGTATGATTGATATTTATTTATTTGATATTTATTTATTAATTAGAGTGAGACCATGCATGTGAGTAGGGTGAAGGGTAGACAGAGAGGCCGAGAATTTCAAGCATGAAATGCTGAGCACAGAGCCCCACATAAGGCTCTATCCTACAACCCTAAGATCATGACCTAAGCCAAAACCAAGAGTCAGATACTCAACCAACTGAGCCACCTAGATGTCCCATTTACAACTCACTCTTAATCACCTACTCATTAATGCTCTTAAAACATTGCTTTTCACTGTTCTTACCTCACTCCAAAAGAGACATCCCAGTCCCAGGTGTGATTCCCTCCCATCCTCTGTGACAGCAGTCATTAGGGCCACAGCTCCTAAGCCCTGTACTAAAGCATTCCAGGGCAAAATGGGAAACTCACAGAGCACTGCAGGATATTTTACACTTTTTTTAGAGAAACCCAGCAGTATATGTTGAATATTAGGGGAATTACCAGCTCCAGGCAATTCTGTTTCTAAATTAAAACTGCTGCATTCCTTTCAATAATGCCAAATTTTTGTAAAGCTGGGTTTCTGGCAGTTTCTATGATAAAACAAACAGTGGGGGGAATCCCTGGGTGGCTCAGCAGTTTAGAGCCTGCCTTCAGCCCAGGGTGTGATCCTGGAGTCTCGGGATTGAGTCCTACATCAGGCTTCCTGCAATGGAGCCTGCTTCTCCCTCTGCCTGTGTCTCTGACTCTCTCTCTCTCTCTTTCTCTCTGTGTCTCTCATGAATAAATAAGTGAAATGTTTAAAAAAAAATTTAAAAAAAAAAACAGTGGGAAAAATCAAGGTGAAAGAGGAATCAGAGAGAAATATCCACTCTGCCTCCAACATCTGAGAAACTGAGCAGTGCCCAACATACAGTTAGGACATAGCAAATTTGTCTGAACCTAACTTCTTCACCAATGTATGAGTATTCTTTTTGTCCTAAAGGTGCTGTGAAAAAATTAGAGACACTCATGAATTTTATAAGGCAAGAAAATTTATGAAGGTCTGCATTAGGGTAGACAGTCATTTACTTGGTCTTGTACTAGAATTCTTACATTGTCTCCTTAATACTGTTTTGCCCATACATGATTTGTCAGTGCTGTTATCTAAAGTCAGCATTAGGGATCCCTGGGTGGCGCAGCGGTTTAGCGCCTGCCTTTGGCCCAGGGCACGATCCTGGAGACCCGGGATCGAATCCCATGTCAGGCTCCCAGGGCATGGAGCCTGCTTCTCCCTCTGCCTATGTCTCTGCCTCTCTCTCTCATTCTGTGTGACTATCATAAATAAATAAAAAAAAAAATTTAAAAAAAAAAAATAAAGTCAGCATTAATGTATCTGTATTAGTATCTAAACTTAACCAATATTTACATACTCAAAAGTCTTACACTAGATGGTCAATAAGTGTCTGTCTCACAATATACATATTCACTATCTAATACCAACATAAAACAAACAAACAAACAAGGAAGGAAGGTATTGCCTTTAAAAGAGGAGAAGGGGGCAGCCCGGGTGGCTCAGCGGTTTAGTGCCACCTTCAGCCAAGGGCCTGATCCTGGAGACCCGGGATCAAGGCCCACATCAGGCTCCTTGCACGGAGCCTGCTTCTCCCTCTGCCTGTGTCTCTGCCTCTTTCTCTCTCTCTCTGCCTCTCATGAATAAATAAATTAAAAAAAAAAAAAAAAAGGAGGAGAAGGTTAGGGCACTTGGCTGGCTTAGGCAGAAGAGCATGTATTACTTGATCTTAGAGTTGTGAGTTCAAGCTCCATGTTGGGTGTAGAGATGGATGGATGGATGGATGGATGGATGGAAGGAAGGAAGGAAGGAAGGAAGGAAGGAAGGAAGGAAGGAAGGAAGGAAGGAAATCTGAGTATTTATGTCCTTCCTTCCTTCCTTCCTTCCTTTCTTCCTTCCTTCCCTTTCCTTCCTTCCTAGATTTTACTTATCTGAGAGAGAGAGAGAGAGAGAGAGAGAGAGAGAGAGAGAGAGAGAGAGAGAGATAGCGACACAGATTACAAGAGTACGAGCAGGGAGGAGAGGGAGAAGCAAGCTCCCCAGTGAGCAGAGAGTCTGAAATGGGGCTCGATCCCAGGACTCCAGGATCATGACCTGACCTGAAGGCAGATGCTTTAACAACTGAGGCGCCCAGACATCCTGCAGTTGTTATTCCTTCACAAATATTTACCAAGAACCCATTCTGTGCTAGCAGCTGTGGGGGACAGAAAGAAGACACTGTCCCTGATATTTGGGAACTCACACTGTGAGCCTAGCAAGACACAGACAGAAAGTACTTTCTAGTTGCTCTCTTTCCTCCCACAGAACACAGTGCTAAAGGGATGTCTGCAGACAAAGAAAAATGAATTTAAGCTAGGCAGAAAGGAGTAACAATTCAATAATAGGTCAGCCAAAGGAAGCTATGGACTTTCAAGTGTTGACATTTTTTTTAATAAAGATTTCACTTATTTGAAACAGAGGGAAAGAGAGATAGCAAGCACAAGCAGGCAGATGGGCAGAGGGAGAAGCAGACTCCTCCCTGAGCAGAGAGCCCTATGTGGGCTTGATCCCAGGACTCTTGAGATCATGACCTGAGCTGAAGGCAGACTCTTAACCGAATGATCCACCTAGGGGCCCCAAATGTTGACATTTTTTATAGGATTTTATTTAATTAGTTGAAATAGTACAATTTCCTTGATGCTTAAAATAAAGCTGAAGATGAACCAATTAACCAGGAAATAAATACTCAACTTTAAAACCAGTTACTGTAAAAGCTGACAATGTCGGAAACACAAAATCCAAATATACTGTCTCCATTAAATGAGTTAATTAAAAATGACAGCTAGGCTTTCACTCACAGGAAGACAGAGTAAATGTACTTTTCACAATTCCTTCTGCTATGGAGAACTAAAAACCCTGGCATTGGGATGTCTGAGTGGCTCAGCAGTTGAGTGTCTGCCTTTGGCTCAGGGCATGATCCTGGAGTCTTGGGATCAAGTCCCACACTGGACTCCCTGCATGGAGCCTGCTTCTCCCTCTGCCTATGTCTCTGTCTCTCTCTGTGTCTTTCATGAATAAATAAAATCTTTAAAAAAATAAAAGTAAAAACAAAAACAAACAAACAAACAAACAAAAAACCCAACCCTGTCGTTATACACTAAACAAAGACAGGACTTCAAAAAGTATAGAGAGAGGCAGGCCAACCAGGGAACCTAAACAAGGTTGTGTGCTCTCTAGATTTTCTTTCTCCTTCATAAATCCAGACTCAAGGTCAAACAAGACAGAAACCCAGAAACAACAATGTGAGCAAATAAAAAGACCCCAACAAAAGCTTATTCTCTCTAGCCAGAGGATCGAAAAAGAGGGAGGCTTAGCAAGATAAAACTTCAGACAACACTCTATTCTAGTCAAGAACCTTGGAAAAGGCTGGGGGCCTGCCCTACTCAGGTGAGCAAAAGCCAGGTGGGGAGCCTAGATATCCACTTGGGAGGCTGGAATGAGGTACTCTAACCTGCCCCAATCACAGTGTATCAGAGGCCAATCAGGGGACTGGAATTTTCATCCCTGCCAATCAGTAATCTTCCACTCAGTGGAGATTACAGAGGGAGCCTGCACTTCCATCCCCACCAGTATTACCCAGTAATGCGGCACTGGGGTGGTGTCAGAGGAAGACTCATAGAGTCAAGACAAGGTCACCCCCATTACAATGTCACTGGAGTTCACATGGAGAACTTCCACCACAACTCAGTGGTAATGAGAAGACCTCTTCCCCATTCCAGTGTCAAAAGAGGCTATGTGGGAACCTAGACTTCTACTTTCACCTGGGGGCAATGGCCCCCTAGCTTTCCTGCCACAGCAGTGTCAGAAAAAGTCAGTTATAGTTACCTATAACAGTAGGTGTAAATAAGATCTAGAGTCTCATAACATGATATGAAAATATCCAGGTTTCAATCTAAAAATCACTTGATATACTAAGAGCCACAAAGATCTCAAAGACAATCAACACATGCCAAGACCAAGAAGACAAAATTTCAAACAAGCAATTATGAACATGTGAAACAACCCAAAAAACAGGTAACTTCAGAAAGAAATAGAACACCCCAAATTAATCCACTGAGAGTAATAAGCAAAAATAACACCTTGCCAATAGGAAAAAAAAAAACTATTCAAATGAAAGTAGATTTCTCCTCAGAAAAGGAGGCATAAAATTTTTTTCCAAGTGCTAAAAGAAAAAAAAACTGTCAACACAGAATCCTCTACCCAGTAAAAATGTCCTTCAGGAATGAAAGGGTAATCAGACCATTCTTATATGAAGGAAAAGTAAGAGAGTTCTGTTGCCAGGAGACCAATCCTAAAAGAATGGTTAAAAGAAGTACTCCAAAGAGAAAAGAAAAATGTAAGGAAGAACCTGGAAAGATCAGGAAGGAATAAAGAACGTATTAAGTAAAAATACGGGTAAGTACAATAGGTTTTCTTTCTCCTTTTGAGTTTTCTTTTTCTTTAAAAGATATTATTTATTTATTTGACAGAGAGAGAGACAGCATGAACAAGGGCAGTGGCAGGCAGAGGGAGAAGCAGGCTCCCTGCTAAGC